GGGGGCAGTGGTTTGGGAAAACGAGATCGCAGCTAACCCCCCGGTCTTCAGGTGCCGACACCTGCGCCTCGGATGCGGGTGCATTGGTTGGCATAATACATACACCCACGACACGACAGGCCAAGACTTCACGATCGTTTTTTCTGTTTCGCATTGACAGTTCCCCCCCGACTTCGGGCTTTGGCACTGTCTGCTTGCGCTCACCGACTCTAGCTCTTCCTTCCTTCGCACCATCAATGGGTAATCCTATACCCGCTGGAGAACCAAGGATGTGTTCATACCCGATTCCATCACAGCTGTCTCTCGACTCAGCAGTCATCTCACGTAACTAACTCCCTTGTTTAGAAGCCTCATTTCTCACACTCAATTTCAGCCTCACGCTCTGATATCACCTCGCTTTGATGTTGGCTTACATCGAACGTCAGCGCAGACGTCAAATCCTCACTCAGCGTCCACGGACTCGACACTTGGAATCCGACTTCCAGCTTCACCGCAGCATTGCCGCCGCTTCCACATCCCCAACCATTCCTACCCTCAAATATTCGCGGCCGCCTTCCCCGAGATATCCGTATCACCACCCCTTTCCCCTCCCTAACCTCCGTCCACAGCGCAATTAAACCCCACCACGCCGTTGAAATAGCCATAAAATTTTTGCTATGGTATTGACTAAACAACGATCTCAAGAGTGTGCTCAAGCCTCCCACGACCACAGTACTCACAGCGCGCCAGCTCGTCTTGCAGATAGAAGAAGAAGAAGAAAGAGGGGCAAACGCAAGGTAAATGGGAGAGAAGTAAGCAGAGAGAGAACCCGAGAAAGGGAAAGAGCTTGCAAACACCCATCTCCCTAGCCCGCAGCGCGTATAGCCCACCACGCAACAAGCACCGCTCGGCACCAGCCCAGCCAACTCCCCAACCACAGCTCTGCAACCTCTCCATCCCCTGTCTCGAAAGCGCACAAAGAAAAACCTTACCGTGCAGTGAAAGGGTTGAGCAAGAGGTAACGTAAAGCGCACGAAAACGGCGACTTCGGGCACAAAGAGGACAAAGCCGTGCTTGTGTATGCTACGGTATCATGACCTGCCTTTCGGGACAGGACTTGCACTGGGTTTGTTGATTTTGTTGGTAAAGGCTCTTTTTGTTATTTGGCAGATGCTGAGGGTTGAGATGGTGTTTTTCTACCGTCTCAGGCGTGGCCTTGGGCGGGCTGTGTAGCTGTGCTTACGTCTAGGTTGAAACGGCAATGTCTCTTCCTGCCCATTATATGTGGGCACTGGTGCGGCAACGATGCGTGCTAACCAGTTCTGCATTCTCGGTAGACACGGATCAGTCCAACGGCTTCGGCGGTTGCTGTCTAGGCAGAACAAAAATGAAATGCCGAAACTTCCTATAAAGGATCAAGGAAATATACAATAGAAGCACGACATAACGGTAAAGGCAAAGTGTCATCAAAGTATCAAGATCACAAATCACGAACCACATCGATATGCCAATGTCAAGGACCAGAGTGACTTTGGTGCGGGGGTAAACTTCACTCACGTCACCAAGCCAATGGCAGCGAAGGGCCGAGGGGTAGCTGTTGGTTGTTCCTTCCTGTTTCTGCAAAGGACACTGCAACACGTGAGTGTTCCTGCTCATCTGGCAGTCACTCTGTCCGCTTCACTCCAGTCATGAGTTTTCAGTCTCGAATAAGCCGCAGGATGCCGTCGTTCAATCATTATGGTATTCCGGTCTTCTAAAAATTAAATTTGGTTGTACAGCATAAGTATACAATCTAACATAAGCTGCGTTGTTACATGAGCCGTCAGTTATTGTGGCGTTGTCCAGATAAAGAGCATCTGTGGATGAAGTGCAGCGGTAAAGACCGAACATTTACTCTATGCGGTTTTCTTTCAGCCACATTCAGCTGCAAATTATTTATTTAAGTGCAGGTTTCTTTCACCTCCAGGGCTCTTCTTCCTCATCTTCGGACGCAGCAGCTCACCAGCCTACACCCTTTTCTGACAGTACACCAGAATCCATATTGGATAGCACAATGTCTTCATCCACTCCTCGCCGCGATAGAAACGAACATTCTTCTACCGTTGAGTTCGAGGAAACCACCACGAAAAAGAACTCAGACAAAACCGATCCCTCGAAGTGGAAACTCTACGTCGGCGAACTTCCCGACAAAACAATAAAGAAAAAAAGGAGGGATGCAAGTAGGTGGCCGCAATACTGTATTCTTTCAGAAGATCATATGAGATCCCTGACAGAAGTACTCGATGAACTTCGAAAAGACGACAAGACTGAAGTCAGCCTTTACAAGAATCGCACTCGGCTCTGGATCCGGAATTTCGACGCCGATGGCAACCCCATTGATCCGAAGTTGACCGCGGGCTTGCCGCGAAACCAGCTGCCCCTGAAACGTAAAGCCACTACGATTAGTGAAGCCAACAAGAAGAAAAGGAAAAGGAACGATCCACCTGCGGACACGAACAAATCTGCTTCACCGTCGCGTGCCCGCGAAGCACGTCCAGCAGCGCAGTCGAGTGAAGTTGCCAGAGACAAAGAAAGTGCTACACTTCCGAATAAAGAGAAACCCGCCTCACTGTCACGTAACCGCGAAGCACGTCCAGCAGCGTAAACGAGACGTCCAGCAGTGAACTCGAGTAAAGTCACCAAGAACAGAGTGATAAGGAATACTCCATCTCCGAACGCGAACGAGTTGGTCCCACCGTCAGGTAGCCGTGAAGCACGTCCAACAGCGAACGCGAGTGAAGTCACCAGAAACAAAGAGAATGCTTCACTTCCGAACGCGAACCAAGACGCCACGGCTCCACATATCCAAGATGAAAGTTCGACAATACCTAACTCGAGTGAGGATGATCGTGAGAACATAGAAAATGTATTTGACACTCACTTGATCTTACGCAAGGGTATCTAACAGTTAATAGGTCAATTGGAACAAGAAAACTCGAGTCGTTATCGAAGACAGCCAATCTCCCACAGATGAGACGAGACCGAGGTTGTCTATTGCGGAGAAGGACAAAGAAATCCGGCAGCTGAAGCGGAAGCGAGTGGAGCTAAAGCGGAACCTAGACCGTGCTAATCGGCGTGGCGATATATACAAGGGCCGATCCAGGGTCCTGAGGGAAGAGCGGCAAATGTTAAGGGAGATCGCCGGAACAGTAATCTACTGTTTGGAAAGGGCGTACACGCAGACGTCTGATGATGACCGTGATTACCTCGAAGAAGCTCGTCAAGCTACGGACGTTAACGAATATCATGCGCTCATGGAATGTGGCAAGAGAAAGGTGGGCGATAACGACGACAGTATTGATGAGGAAGAGTATAATGTCAACGCTTAATACTCTACTATGAATTTAAAAGATCAGTGTTTTCTATCACCATCGTAATTGGCAATGTTCAAGTCCATGTGATGCAAACTTATATGTATAGCTTACCTTTAAATACCTGTACTTTTATACTTTATGAAACACCTTCGTCTCCTTTCACTTTCTTGCCATCATACTATTACAGAATGCCCTCGTACCCTCGTATCTGTTAACGTTTGTGTATAACTCACTTCCTTTGCGTGCTAACTGCAACTATCAGACAAGTTATTACCCTGTAAGGCAAATTACCCAGACTGCCACAACATCAGTACCATACCAACATCAGGAGCGACACTCCGGGTAGCATCGTAGCCCGCGCCATCCGCATATTTGCCTGCCTTCCATCGCGCTGGGTAGAGTACCGGTGTCAACAGCAGGGTTCGGTGTAATGTCCGTCACAAAGCTGTAGTAGAGTCTATTAAAGAGCACTATTAGATCCAGCAATTGGAGACTCCAATAGCGGCGTATCCTAAGTGATGTTAGACAATAGACAATTAGCCTCATATCAGCAATCTCAAAAGCCGTGTTCTAGTCACGCTGCTCAGTAGCAGGCTGCTTGGTATGCAGCACAGTGGCACATACAGGCAGCAACGCCATCCCTACTACCCCACCACCCGTGCAAAGAACACTCCAGCCATCTCAGCAAACTAAAAAATGAAACAAATCCCAACCGCTTAAAGCCCCCTCCACCCTTTTGCCTAAAATACCATTTACCCGAGCCCCCGCTCCGCGTCGCTCCCGCGTTTCGCGATCCGAAACACCACCAACCCGAGCCGCTCGCCCGCTTCCCGATCCCCGCCGGCAGCGTTTCGCGTTGTTTCAGCTGCGTTTGGCTTGAAGACGTAGGCGGGGCGAACCTTTGGTTGTACTACATGCTGAAGCAAAGATGTAGAGACGTTTGAGTGTAACGTGTTTGTGGTATTTTATATGCTCCTACCACAGCGTCGCTGGCTAATTGAGTACTGCAATCTGGTTATGCGAGGGGGTGCTTGATCATCTTATCTCCGGAAGACGCTCTACCGTGTGTTAAATCCAAGGGAGAAACAGGCCACGTGGCCGCTTTGCATGCCGCAAGGTCTGAGTACGTGGTGAGTGCGGAGGGAGAGAAGGCGGAGTAAAGTAGAAGCCAAGAATCAAGATAGCCGTTCCTTTTTATCTCTCCAAAATGATACGAAATACTACACCAAAAACATAGGCACTTATCTTATCTCTAATACAAGGGATGGAATTGCAATCCTGCTGCAAGTTTGGCTAAGTTAGCTAAGGAAACTCATTCTAAATCAGTCAGAATCAGGGGCCTATACATAGTACCGAAAGGGGTTGAGCAGCAAAAGTTAGTATTAACAGCAGTAAGGGCTAGCCGAAGTTGAAGAAAGCAGAACCAAACACACTTCGCTCAGGGAACATCGAACGCCCGCTCTTTTCCCCTAGGTGCCGATACCACCAGATATCCGTATGCCCCTAGAACGCCGCCGTGCTCCAAATTATGAAGAGTACTCCCAAAGAGTTCTAATAGGGGTTGTAGCAGAGGAGCTCTTGTTAAAGCGCTCTGCGAATGTATCAGACAAAGAAGGGTAAGCTCTGCACCAATGGCTGTAGCGTTAAAGATGTTCAACGCGGCGGGCGCGGGTTGTGCTTTCAATGGTCGTCAACGAGGATGTTGTCATAATGCGGTTTCCTCATCGCCAACGCCCTCCAAAAGGATGTACTCTAGAATGTCGCTAAGCGTCAGGACGCCCTTTAGGCGGCTGTTCTCGTCGATGACGACTAAGCGATGGACGCGCGACTTGCGGATAGTGTCGAAAATTGTGTCAAGGCGATCAAACATAGAGCAGGTGTAGATACCAGCAAAGTCCTGCTAAACGTCAGCAACGCTGTTCCCAAGATGCATGTAAAAGGTGCATTTATACATCACTGCGCTTGAGCAACGCCTCACCAACACTGAGATTCAGATCATCATATACACCACCTTTAATCAGAGTAATGACGTCGACAGCTTCGAAAACGTTTATAACAACGCCTGTTTAAATCAGCCTCGACCGTTAATTATGGATGGTAACGTTGCTTACCGTCCCTGTCCAGAATTGGTACGCTCGAGATGCTCTTCCTTACCAGCATATGGATGACATCCATGACTGGAGTATCCATGTTTGCCGTGGCCAGGCCCTCATAGGATCCAACGTTAATATCCTTCAATGGTTTGCGCAGATTCTCCGTCTCTTTGACATTGACCGCAATAAATTTGAGGATGCGGTATTGTGTAACAACGCTGACTACCATGTGCCGGTGTGTCTCATCGTCGATATCCACAAGGGGTATACGCCTTGCTCGCGATTCGAGCATCCGACGGCAAGCATCGTAAAGGGGCTTCTCGGGGTGAATGGAGACGGTCTCGATGGGTGTAACGCCAAGCGCTTTTTCGATATCTGTCCGCCGTCAGTCTTTCATTCGCCCACTGACATTGTTGCCTAGACGAACCTCGCAGGTTGTTCAAGCGGAACTGGTCGACTTGCGCGAGAGCATCGGGATTGTGCCAATAGTATTGGATGACATTGATGTAATCGGAGGTTGTGAGCAGGCCAGCGAAGGTGGAGGTCTTGGAGTCCCATAGCGGTGCGGAAACGATGCCTAACAGCGGGTATTGTTGTCAGCATGACATTCACCGTCAATTACTAGGCCTGACATACCGTTTTGGATAAGAATGTTGAGGCTCTTCTTGACAAGCAAGGCAGTGTCAAAGATGATCAGACGGAAACTGACAGGGAGGACGTCATAGCTCGTGCGAACTTTGAGGAAAGCTCTGATGGCGCGCTGCAACGTGCCGAAACATATTAATCAGCCCCAGGATGCCCTCGAACATGGCAAACATCATGCGACCTACCAAAGCCTGGATCTGCTCTTTATCGATTGGCGTCAATGTTTTGGGAGCGGCGGATTGTTTTGCCTGCGCAAGGGGCCGCAGGTAGGAAGCCGGGGTGACGAAACCGGGGTTTGGCGCTGGGGCGAGCTGCTCATTGGGGCTGGTGGGCGAGGTCCTGGGGGACTCCGCACCCTCTGCTCCGGAGGACATGGCGGTTCCGGGGACGAAACCACATGGAGCAATGGGCGCGACAAGGCGAAGAATCGAAGTGCGCGAACGGCGATCGGCGTTGAGCAGAGACGAGTGCAACGGGAAGGTCACGATAGAAAGCTCCGGTGTTGAGGTTGCGTTAATACTTAATGTGGGGTCGGCAGTGATCTGCACGGAGTCATCCCCTCCACCGATTCACGTGCGGGGAGATGGCAGGGGGCGACCACAACCAAATGTCATTTTGAAGGACATTGTCGTTCGAGTCGTCATTGTTGTTGTTAACGTGAACAGTAACCCAGAAAATGCAGCAGTCTTTGAGTAACGTCTTCACTGCAAGTACACGAAAACTCCGGCCGGCCTCATGCAGGCAAGCAAGCAAGCAAGCAAACAAGCCATACCCCCCAGTCGAACTGTCGGGGCGCATCCGACTGTAAAAGAACCCTGCCAATCCCTATCCATGCCACTGCGAGGCTATGTCTACCTCCATTCCTAAAGCAATCCCCCAAAGGTATACCTCCGGCAGAATCCGATGAAATCCCTGCCTTAAACCTGTGCCTTGTCTTTCTTGTTATCCTTTCTAGCCGCCTCAAGCGCCTGCGGATTCAGCTCAGGGCCCGGGTCCGCTTCCTCCTCTTCGAGAATCATGTCGCTGCTGACCTGTTCGATATCCATCTCGCCAACGTCGCCAAGCTGCTTCTTTGCCAATCCCACAATTGAATCAGTCTCGCTCACGCTTCCCTTTTTATGAGCCGGGTCGCCTTCGACACCCAAGGACATGTCGCTTTGGCGCTTAAAAAGGGCTTCGTTGTCAAAGCGCACTATCATGCAAGAAAGATTGTCGGTGGAGAATCGAGCAAGAGCATGGTCGACGAGGTGCTTAGAAGCAGCTTGCGGATCCGCGATATTGCGAACGAGATCTACGGCCTCTTGGTCGGAGCAAACGTCCCACAACTGCACACGTCTGGTTAACGATCATGGTGTCGTGGTTTTGGGGGGGGGGGGTTTCCACTTACTCCATCGCAAGCCAAAATGATGAATTCATCTTGATCAGGCTGAATAACAGTCTCGGTAGTATATGGATGTCCTGTGACAAGATCCTTCATGTACGAATCTCCCAGTGCACGAGTCACAGCAAGGACACCATTGACGCGGTTGTTGAGAATAAGTCCACCAGCGTTCGCAATGCGTCTTCCCTCGTTCTCATCGCTGCCCTTGTGATCGTACGACAAACGGAGGGCCCTGCCCTTTCGGCAAAGAACGATACGTGCATCGCCAACATTCGCGGTATACAGTACACGTTGGCGTTGAGCAGATTCGCGGAGCTTGGCCTCGGTTCCTGGTTGGTTGTTGGCATCAACTTGAGGAGGCACAGACCCGGAATTAACCGCACTGGCCTGCGCAGTGAGCTGTTGTTGGTTCGTACCCGCGCCCGCATCCGTGGATGTATCCGCAGCCTTAGCAGATGCAGCAGCAGCGAGCGGTGCAATCGCAGATGAGCCAGTCGCAGATTGAGAATTGGGGACTCGATCTTCCCATCTAAGGACCGCTATAACGGCAGTGCAACCGCTGTTTCTCAATGGAAGCTTTTCAAGCTGCTGATCGACACTGGTGAACGTCTGGTCCAAGAGTTCGGGGATTGGCGTGTTCGGTTGTCTCCGGATGGCATCTTCAAGAAGAAGATGAAGTTTCTTGCCGCACCAATCCGCCGCGAATGTGCCGGCATGTCCATCAAAGATCGCGAAATACCCGTTGTCGGTTTCTTGTACGGGTTGTTCCGCCATCTCGGAGAGGCTCGGTCTTGAGTCCTGCGTCGATGAAGAGCTCTTGCGCTTCGAATGCTGCTCGAGCGAGGGTGCCGGCGTACTGAGAAAGTTGTACAGGTAGGCATGGGTATCTTCCATGGTTCTCCGGCATTTCTTGTTCTTGTCTTCCGTAACGCCAACTTTGAACGTGGAATGAGGGCCGGGTGCAGACTCGCCCGCAGAGTTGTTTAGTGCTCCCTGAGGGACGCTGAGGGCCGGGTCGGACTTGCTCAGCTTCTGGATTGGAGTTTGCGGGTTCCTCTCCGTCGAAGGCGAGGTAGGCGACGAGCTGTGGAGTGATAACGACTGCTTGGCGCTTGAGAGCATCTCTCTCGCCCGCGAGACACCACTACTGCGGCGCTTCTTTTCTGTCGAGGTTGCATCATCGGCGGAGGCGCCCGAAGGACTTCCGGAGATGCTAGAGCGCTTCTCGCCGCCGTTGTTGGCATTGTTGGGGATATCGATACTCGGTGTCTTTTGAGGCTCGTTGGACGGATTGGCGTCTATACCAGCTTCATCTTCCTTTGCATCCTTCCCAGGCGTGGAGGAGCTGCCGAACATCCTGTTCAGCAGTCCCTGCCCTTGCGAGGAGAAGCTCCTCCGCTTGCTCCCTGCCAGATTGATGATTGTTGAAGCGGCCGGCTTCTCGCGGGGTGGCTATAAGGCGTGCGGCGTTGAGTCGCGGGCGGCGACGGGGCGTCGAGGGGTCGCAGGACAAGGGCGCTTGGGCGCAAGGCGATGATGTACGTGGAGATGTCAGTCTCAGCGCGGGACAACGGGTCGAGTGGTGGGGCGAAGCTGGCACGCTACTGGCACGCGAGTTGTCAGCAAGGGTGAGTTGGAGGGCGAAGCTTCCCAAGTGTCTGACCGGAAGTTGGAGAGACGTGGGCGTGCGTCCTGATGGTAGATTGCAGCCAGATGGTACCCACTGATCGGCCAGGGCGGGGCTGACGGCTGTTGATGTGCGGCTAACTGCTGGAAATGGGCGCGTGGGAGGTGCAATCAGGATGTGAAGGCCAGCCAAAGACGGCTGCTGTACGAGGGAGAGGAGCAGAGGGCGAAGTTGGGTGTATGACGCGCAAACGAAAAAGGCAAGTTTACTAGTTGATCTAGGAAGCGGAGATTTCGATGCGTGCAGAGGGACCCTGAGAAGCAGACGAGTTCACTGCATGACGTAGTAGGTGACAATGAAGCAGAAAAAAAGAGGTGCCGGCGTGCATCGCGACGGCTTCTCGAAAGCACTAGCTGGCTACTGCGACATACGCGAGTCTTCTGCAGGAGGCAGTTGCATGTCTGTCTGCTCCTCATGCAGCCAGCGTTTGGTCACAGCCACCCATATCCTCCCGATGCACCTGTCCCAAAGCGTAAGTTCGCTGCCCGTTTTTAAAACTTATGCCCATTGAGGAAACTAACTGCAGCTGCCCTGTCGACGGGCCCACCACAGCTGACAAGCTTTTCTGATCACGTAGAGTTGGAGACGCAAAGGCGTCCATGTGCTCGCTTTATCACCAGCGCACCGACGCCTAATCGTGACCACCTCGGATGATACGGATGATTAAGTTTCTCAGTCGAGATGCTGTGCACCGTTGGCCAAGGGGCAACAAGGTTAGAAGTTAACTCGTCCGCATATACAGGATCGCCTACAGCAGTCTCGTGACGCTCATTTCCGGCATCGCCCTTGCTCATGCTCGCAGCAGACACGGCCTAATTCTCCGGACAGTGCACGTTGCCCTGCGCTTTGATTTTAATCGCGCTGAGCGGCCATGTCACATGGAAACAGCAAGGGGTTGCTTCTATGGTGTAATTTGATATCGCAGACAATCATATCACTACTCCAAACGCCTGATCGTCTCTGCTGTAACGCGGATATTCCTCGTTTCACTCGTGTTAATAGAACGCGTTCGGGTCAGCACGGCAGGTTATCCATCTTACCTACAGTATCCAGATCACCGCCTCTAACAGCTTATGCCACTTTACCCTCAATGGTGCGAAGTTTGGTCTTGAGGCGTCTCGCTGAACTATAGAGTTTATAATAAAGCAAAATTGGAGATGGTGAAAAGATAACAAAGACGGAGGCTTAAGGCGCTGAGCCCAGGGCCATATATACACCTTTCAGTAGTCAGAGGCTATCGTAAAGGCAGGCAAGCACGTTGCCGCCACAACTAATTATTTGATATATATAACGTTCGAGCAGGTCAGCAACTTCATAGTTAAAAAGATGGCTGCTGGTATATTCGGCTAGGCCTTGCGTAACCGTTTGAACACCTTGACTTTATAGAAAGAAACATTACACAGTCAACGTAGAAAGGACATCCATTCGGACTATAGCGATTCTGATATCAGTCGGTTCTGTCTGGCCGTTCCAATTCAAAAGCACGATGCATCGGCTCACACAGGTCGAATCGCTGCAGTCAATGGACTGTCAGGCTGTAGACATCTCTCCATGATATCGGCCCCTGAACGAATGGGAAGATCGCTTCACCTTTGATTTCTCGGCTTGTTAGGCCTCTCTCCTCTAGTTCCTTATCGGAACACTCCCCGCTCGTTTCAGCAGTCGAGTTTTCTTTATGTCTTCTTAAGTACTCGACGTGCTATACTATAGACGCCTACGACAACCTATATACGATATCAGTGCCTAGCAAGTCAAGTGGGAGATTTTCGACGTGGCGCACGTTCATTGTGGAGACGAGAATAGAGTGCAGGTCTCGAGTTTATCGGCGATCCTGCTGCAGGTCCGGGGGAGTGTACTACTGCAGGCCAGCCTCGACCACGTTGAATGAGTGGGGGAACGTGGAGCTGCCTTGGGCACCCGCGGCAAGCGGGAAGTCGTCACCGCCGAAATGCGGCGTAGTTGGTCCGTGCGGCTTCTTGAACGAAATCCTGACGCTAATATGTCTCACGGTCTTTCTAACCATCCACCCGCCACCACACATCGCGTCTCACGACATGCGCACGACGATCAGAATCTATCCTTAAGATCATAATGGAGAACGGCAACCTGAACAACTCGGCCGCCTCGTCCGGCCGCGGATCGTCATCGCGACCTCGCCACAGTAGTGAATCATACCTCGCTGGCCATACGCGACCAGGCTCGCGTCCGGGCTACATGACTGTCGGCAGCGGTTCGACCTCGGAAAGCGCTGCGCGGTTGGCAGCGATGCTAGATGACGACTCTGGTTATGGTGGTAGCATTGCCGATGGAAGCAGCATGCAATCGGGATGGCACCCTGGGCTCACAGAGGACCGACCTACGCCTGCTCATACGCCCGTTGCTCCCGGAGAGACCAATCCCGCATCCGAAAACGAGCGGCGCACACTTGCTAGTCACGTCCACCAGCTCTATTACAACCAGAATAAGACAGCGCTGGCCCGCTGCATTGGCCGGACCGTGGACACTTTGAAGAAGCTTCAAGACAAGAATGTGGATTGGCCGGCTCATTACCCTCAAGTTCAGCGGCAGGGTCCGCCTGCGCCTACTTCAGGTAACCAGGAGCCTAGGTCCGGTATTCATCACACTCAATCGACCTTGGACAACCACCGTGGTTTCGAGCAAGAGCATCCTCACAGGCCTTCCCCTCTGCGCCGGGCCGGAACGTCGCTGGGAGAGGAGAGTACACTCGCCGAATCGAGCTCCGCAGCTACGCAGAGGCCTGCGGCGGAACCTCGGTTGGTCACGCCACAATTGGCACAGGACTTTTCGGTGCTGAAGATTGACTTGAAGATGGGTGCTCTGTCTCAAACTGAGCTTGTACACTCGCTTGAGAAGGGAGCTATCGCGCAGCTTTTGGATGGCCAAATCAACAAGAGCATCAAGCACTTGTATTCCTTGAGAGAGAGAATCGAGGACACTTCAAGTAAGGTGTTGGTCACTGGAGACCTCAACGCCGGTAAATCGACCTTTTGCAACGCCTTGCTGCGGAGGAAAATCTTGCCCGAGGATCAGCAGCCCTGCACGAGCATCTTCTGCGAGGTGCTTGACTCGAGAGAAAACGGAGGTATTGAAGAGGTACACGCGGTCCCCATTGGGTCTGTATACAACCGTGACAACGAGGCCACCTACGATGTCTACACCATAAAGCAGTTGGAAGACATTGTTACCGAAAATGACAGATACGCCTCGTGCAAGGTCTACATCAAGGACATTCGCAGCGTCGACGAGTCTTTGTTGAACAACGGCGTCGTCGACATTGCGCTCATCGATGCCCCTGGTCTTAACGCGGATTCTTTGAAGACTACTGCAGTCTTTGCCCGTCAAGAAGAGATTGATGTCGTCGTGTTCGTTGTTTCCGCTGCCAACCATTTCACTCTTTCCGCCAAGGAGTTCATCTTCAACGCTGCCAGGGAAAAGGCGTATATGTTCATGGTCGTGAACGGTTATGACAACATCCGGGATAAGAACCGTTGCCAGGAACAGATTTTGAAGCAAGTTGGGAAGATGAGTCCGGCTACTTTCAAGGAATCTTCGGAGCTAGTGCACTTCGTCTCCAGCATAGCCATCCCAGTGGCTCCGCTCAAGATCCCTGGAGACGCAGGTGGCTCTGGTTCAAGCTCCGGTGGTCCCGGTGGGGACCCAGATGGTGGTGATGACAATGAAGACCCATCCGCCAAGCATGGTGACAAGGGATCCGCGTCAGACAAGGGCAAGGGCAAGGAGCCTGAGAAAATAAGGGATTTCGAAGCATTGGAGTCTTCGTTGCGTCGGTTTGTGCTGGAGAAGAGGGCTAGGTCGAAGTTGGCTCCAGCGAAGACATATCTCACAAATGTCCTTGGTGACTTGAGCAGTTTGGCCACAGTAAACCGAGATGTCGCCCAGGCCGAGCTGGACCGTGTCACGAGGGAATTGGCAGAACTGGAACCTGCCTTCGAGCAATCCAAGAAGTCGCGCCGCGAGGCTAGCGAGGACGTGGATCACACAATCGAGGATTCTGCCTCTGAAGTATATGCTCACACTAGGGACACTGTCAACATGTCAATCTCCCGAGTTGCGGACCAGGACCTTGGACTGGAATACCCTGGCGTGTTCAGTGCCTTCCAGTACGCTGAAGACATCAAAATCGCCATGATCCAGGAAATTTCGGAGAGTGTTTACGCCTGCGAGGATTATGCTCGAGAGCAAACCACTGTTGGCTTCAACAGTGTGTCACGCCTTGGGATCTTGCATCTCGGTGACAACTGGTCGAATTTGACTTTCCATCCGGAGAAGATGTTCCGTAAGAAGCGCGATGCACTCGTACGGCAGGTGGACTTTGAGGTCGAGGCCTGGGACTTCTTCGACGTAGCCAGCCTTTGGGAGCGCCAGGAGAAGGTTGCTGGCACCAGTATGGCTGTTACTGTTGCTGGTGTCATTGGCACTAGGTTGCTTGGCGGTGTTAGTTGGGTTGACGGCACGATCGGTGCCATGCGCGTCATCGGGTTGGGCAACTTGCGCAGGATGTTCATTCCGGGTGTCGTCCTTGCCCGTAAGTACAAACACTTTCTTATCTTGAGAATATGGCTAACACTAGCACAGTCGGTCTCGGCGTCACATATGCGCTCACCAGCATCCCGAAATCGCTGCCTAAGCGCCTCTCTGCCAAGCTTTCCGAACAGCTCGAAGCTCTTGACTACACGCACACGAATGCGCTGCGCATCAGCACCGAAGTGCGTAAAGCGCTCAAGCACCCTGCCGATGAGCTTCGTGTTGGCCTTCAGCGCTCTGTGGAGAAACTGCACACCCAGAGGGAGAAGACGACCAAGTTCCGCCAGGAGGCTGATGTTGCGCGCAAATACTTTTCGAACCTGGTCAGAGATGCGAGTGACATCAAGCACTCGGTTGAGAGGGTCGACTTGGAGGGTCCGGCGCCGGGTGTGGCGGCAGTATACGATCCGTGATGTGGCTGATCCACGAGATCAGAGCATGAAGTGGCCGTTGATTGCGATGAATCAATGGCTTATGGGGCAAGATTACTGTATGGCAGATGTTGGAGGCAAAAATATCCCTCTCCTTTTCTCTTCTCTTCTACCTTTTACCTTTTTCTTGTGTTTCACCTTTTTCTCCTTGTTCTTGATATACCAAGCGCGTCGATACCAAAACCTTCCTCGCCCAACTCAGCTCAGAATGGATTCTTTTGCGTTACACTGCGCGTATTGTACACCAATCGGGACTTGCGTGATCTCCGAGTGTTAAATTGTGGTTCTTTGCGGGGTCCCGATACGAAATGATTTGCGCAAGGTCCGCTGTGCAGGAGCCAATGCTTGGTATTTAGCTACGTGCAACTGCTAGCTATCGAAGTATCTATCTTGGGAGAGTCTTTCTGCCAAGACCAACGCTCTCCACCTCGTGCATTCCCATATGTCATGACACGCTTTAAGCAGTGGTCAATGCTTGGTCCGGACAAATCTCCGCTGTTGTGTTTTTCCCTTGTTGACTCCTTTCTGGGCTTGAGAGCGGGGTAGACCGGTGCTTTCGGAGGAGCCAGAGGAGTCGGAGGAGGAGCAAGTGAACATGTCAAGACCACTGGTCGAGGGAAGAAATGCACAGTGAAACAGTGAAGATACACAGATGAAGGATTTGGGGTCTGGTTTACATGGATCTATCTCTTTGTTGGCGTGGGTTGTTTCATGTAATACGAGCATCTCCTGCATATATAGATAGAGTAGAGGCTTGTATGGAGTTACTGCCGCCTAGAGACAAACATCTGCACATGCAAATGTAAGCTGTACTGCCGCATGGATGCGGGTGCTTTTCTATGTCAATATAGAAAATGGTTTGGCCGGTGGCGTTGATCCCGTTTACGAAGTGCTCGAGTCGAGCACATGTGACGATTACTACAAAGTTCGTGCCTCGTTGCACTGCATGCAAGGCGGCGGGGCTGAGCTCAAGATCTTGTGCCTGCCGAGGCGACTCTAAGACGTTTATGACTGTCTTCTTTTGACGTGCTGCAGCCGCTACTCTTCATCGGCAAAGGACAATTTGACAGCTTTTGCTTTCTTTTTAGCTTTCTTTGGCTGAGGTTTCTTCTTGCTCAGCTCCTCTTCCTCTTCGTCGTCTGCATCGCCGCCAACTTTGACCGCCTTGCGCTTCTTGGACGCTGCGCCAATCGAGGCAGTAGGCTGCTTAGATTTGGTCGTCTTGGAGTCGGCTTTTGCAGCTTCGTCATTTTCGGGATTTTCAGAGTCTTTCTTTTCTTCACCATTTGCTGCATCAGGCGTGCTTTTTCCGTTGACTAGGGCTTCATACTCGGCCTTGGTGAGTGTATCGTTGCTCTCTTCCACGACATACGTAGGCGCATCATCCTCGTCGTCTTGCTTGGCCTTCTTGGGCCTGGCGATGGAATATTCCTGCCTATCAGGGTCACGTCCTTCGCTGAGATTGCCTTTGATGCGACGCAGGAAGGCGGGTTCTTTCTTTTCTACACACGTACGCTTTAAATTAGCACACGGTGTCCGGAGGTTATCGCAGATCGCAAATACCGTAATTCAGGTTTTTGGCATTGAAGGCCATGTTGACGGCGAGGCCCCCCGGATGGGATAATTAGGGGGCACCGGGGGCCACAAGACAAGGGCTTGAGACTGGGATGCGGCGGGGTCACGTGGGCGGGTAGGATTCGACGGGCAGAAGCTTGTGATGGCAAAAATCCCGAGATAGAGGCTGACAAACACGAAGCTGACGGCAGGACGACAGACGACGTTTGGCGAGGGGTAAATAGTGACAGCCGGTGGTGGTGGTGAGAGGCAGCGTCGAGGCAGCGCGCCGGGAGGGAAGGTGGCGAGGGTACGCGTACCGTGGGGGGGTCGTTGAAATCAAACAGTGACAACAGCGATGATCCAAGGCTGTCAAGGGGCTTTTAGCCGCAGCCTCCAAAAGTAAGCAGCCGGCGCGCGGATTCATGCGCCAGCTCCCCTCCGACCTGCAGCCGCTTCTCATCGCCGGCATACACATCGCACACGCGAGGTGAGCGTGACGAACCAGGCAGCCTTGGTGTTGCAGCCATCCTTGTCGCAGCGCAGAGCAGGAGCGTTCTGGCTCGTTGTCTTGGCCTCCTGCGCCCGACTTCACCCCATTCCTCCGCCAATTGTCCCTCCACCGCAGAAACCACGCTATCCCCGTCGGCGCGCACCATCTCTTGCTGCGCGACGACCCCGTCTGGCCGTCTTGAGGGGGCTTCACTTGCGGGAGACGCTCCCTTCTCTCCAGCCGTTCGTTTCCTACTTCTTTTAGACGCGGCGCCAAGGCGTACCGACGTCCCTTCTCCAGGTCTCGGCGCCCTGCCTCCTTTGATCTTCCCGCTTGATCCATCCAGACCTCGCCGGAACCGCAAGGACGCCTTCGCAAACTTGCCAGCTGTCGCACACGGGCTCCATCTCGAGCGGCACTGCCCGCAGTACATACTTCTCCGACCCTCACCGTAGTCCGCCACGCTCCCTTTCGCACCCATGACGTTCCTTCAGAGGCTGGTCAAGCGCATACCCTCCTCGCGCGAGAGCCTGCCGTCCATGGATGACATTTCCAAGAAGGCCGACCGGATATCGCCGCGCCTTGCTTTCTTCCGTCGCCGCATACGCATCAAAGGCAACTCTTCCATCTCGATACCCTTGGGGCTGGTTCTTCTCTTCCCATGCATTGTCATAATATTAATTCTGGTTCTGTTCGTGCGGCATCCGTCGTCACCGGGGAGGATACTGGTTCCCGCGGGGTCACCTCCGTCCATCAGGTATGTTCGTTCTTATCGTAGCTTGTCGTAATTTTTTTGTGCCACCCTCCATACTAATACGCTCTGCCTGCAGAAAAATCAGCGACAAGTACGACAAAGTATTCTACCCCGGCTGCCTGGAGCCGCCCAAGCCCGATGAGGACCGCCCCAAGGCGAACGCCGCTTTTGTCGTCCTGGCGAGGAACAAAGAATTGGATGGAGTTATACAATCAATCAAATCGATTGAGAGGCACTTCAATAGGTGGTTTCACTACCCCTACGTTTTTCTGAACGACGGCGATTTCAACTCGACGTTCAAGGAAACTGTTCAGAACTACACCAGTGCACCCGTTGAATGGGGCAAGATTGACTCGTCAATGTGGGGATTCCCAGACTGGGTGAACAAGGATGTTGCGCAAGAGGGCATCAGGAAGCAGGGCGACCAGGCCATCATGTACGGTGGCATGGAAAGTTACCACCACATGTGCCGATTCTACTCTGGGTAGGTTTTTGCGCCTTCAATTGCATCTGTTCCCAACTAACAGCATTTTTGTAGTATGTTCTATAAGCACGAGCTTCTACAGAAGTATACTTGGTACTGGCGCCTTGAGCCGGAAATCAAATACTTCTGTGACATTACATAGTAAGGCAACTCTTGTTACACCTGGTGTAGTGGGCTGCATTTCCTAACAGAACTAGTGACCCTTTTATCCACATGGAACGCAACAACAAGACTTATGGCTTCACGATCGCTGTCAAGGAACTGAAAGAAACCGTTCCGAATATCTTCCGTTATGCCTCCGCCTACAAACGCACGAACAATATCACTTCGAAGGGTTTGTGGGAGATGTTCGTTGAGAAGCCCCCAGAGGAGGAGGAGGCCAAAGAACTCCCCAAGGATGATCCGAAGTACAAGAAACCGCTTCCGGAGGAGATTATGAACATTGATCCCGAGTCGGGTGCACTTCCGGAGATTGACCCTGAAGCCATGGAGGGCGAGGCCTACAACATGTGCCATTTTTGGAGCAATTTCGAAATCGCACGTCTTGATTGGTTCAGGAGCAAGGAATACAACGACTTCTTTGAAATGATGGACCGCAGCGGAGGCTTTTGGATGGAGCGGGTAAGAGCAAACTCACCCTCTCGATGTGGTATGCATTTAGCTAACAGATTCCAGTGGGGTGATGCGCCCATCCACTCCCTCGCAGCCGGTGCCCTGCTTGGCCCTGGTGACATCCATTACTTCCGCGACTTTGGCTACCGGCACACGACGATTCAGCACTGCCCCGCAAATGCGCCCGCGCGCCAGCTCGATCACATTCCGTACCTCGAAAAGACGACCCTGGATGAGAAGAAGCGCATTGAAGAAGACGAGTACTGGGCCAACCCCGATCCCGTGAGGGAGAACGGCGTTGGCTGCAGATGTAGATGCGACACGGATATCGTGGACGTCGAGGGCAAGCAAGGCAGCTGCCTTGCGGAATGGGTCGACGTCGCCGGGGGCTGGGCTAGCCCATAGACGAGGACACGGGCAGGGTATCGGTACGACATCACGGCCTTCCGCGACTGCCAGGGCAGGGCGGAAGCGAGGCGGAGGGCAAAGGCGTTTATTGCGAGCGGAATGTGCGGTCTGTCTTTGTGGCATAATATACCTTTTTCAGTCACGCTGGTAGGGCCTTTTTCTTTGCGCTTGTTGGAGCGAAGATAGGCGCGGCGGCGATGGTTTGCATGAGAGCGAGACGAAGTGCATGATGGGCGGGTCGATTGGTTCACTTCTGGGCTTGCGAGGCTTTTGCGCGCTGCATGTAATTGTAAAAGTTGACATAGCAAGTGCTCTTTTGCAGCAGGATGTCACCGTGGCAGTCGGTGATTGTACCATGGTTCGTTGACGGCCATGCCCCCCTCCGGCGCTGTACAAAATGGTTGGTGGACTCCGCGGCCTCGTCGCCAGCTGTTCGCCCTTCTCCTTCTCACTCTCCGCACGCTAAGCCGGAGAGCCTAGCGCAAGCGACCGATAAGGCGATAAGCCCCGCCAAGGTACTCCCCCGTGTGAAGCATCACACCTGCCTGCCTTGCATTCGTGCTACTAAAGGAAAACTACCCTTTCCACTTCGCACCTGCTCTCGTCTTCTGCACTGCACCGACAGTCTCGACTCTGTTGCTTGCGCTTTCTCCCTGTCTGCTCACCCGCTCACCTGCTCACCCTGCTCACCCTGCGCGCCCTGTAGCTCCGTACGCACTGGCCCGACGGGCGTTCCCCGCGGGAGCTTGATCCTGACTTCATAACCAGGCACCAGGCAGCCGCGTCTACTCACAACCACGGCTCCCTCAAACTTGGTAGGTGTCCACTTTCTTTGGTGACGAATCTCGCGCCTTCTTCCCTCCTCGGGAAGCACCTGGCTCTTACCATGCTTCTTTCGCTAGGTCCCTCCTACTAACATGGAGCTTCATATGCCGCAGCCTGAGCAAGCTTCCGACGACCCTTCACACTCTCCTAACCTCAACTATAAGACCTCCCCGCAGCTGCACTCGCAGCTCACGTCGAATGACCACATAGCGAGCTACGAGTGTCGCTCTCGCAACCCTACCACCTCTCCGCCGACACACGCCGACAAGTACCAACCCCCGCAAATCGGCGACATGACGAACGCTACCGATCCCCCGAAGGATCCAAAGGAAAACAACGCGATGGGCCAGGACACCGCTAGCGGTCTTGGGGACGACGGATATGAGCTTCTCAGCGACTCTACCGTCCTCCACTCCGAGGGAGATGCTGAGACCGTCAGCAGCTTCTCCCTTGACGGACCCACTGGTGATGATGTCGTCAGCGTAGCTGGCAGCAACCACTCCGGCGACAGCAACGCCTCAGATGGTTCCGACGAGGATGAGGCAGCTGCGGATACGCAGGATGAGCCTGTGTTCCAACCTTCCGACAGCGGCATGACCGCCCGTCCCAACATTCTATCCCCCTCGGCTTCCATGAGCAACGGTCAGCTGGCTCCAGAGGAAATTTCCTTTAACCAGAAGGGATTCAATGTCATGAGTCCCTTGAATTACCTCGACGAGTCCAACACGCCAGGTATTCGCAACAAGTATGGTGTCGAGAAGCTCACCGTTACCCTGAAGTACGGCATGTCTTTAAAGAATCTTACTTGGTCTGGTCCTCTTCGCATCATGTTCGCAGGCCCCTCGACTCCGGAAATGAGGGCCGCGATTAGCCAAAAAGTTGCTTCTGCACTTGCTGACACCAACCTTGACACCGCCAGTGGTCCTTCCCGCTTCAGTGTCGTTCCGATTTCTTTTGGTGACGAGAAGCCCGAGGTCCAGCTTATCGAATCCACGGATTTCAATCTTATCTTGGACGAGTGTTTTGCTGCCGAACACCTCCACGCATCTGGTACGGGAGACCTGACCCGGTTGACTTTAAGCGATGGACGGCATCTGGACATCCCCGCCAACAAGTCTCCGGTGCCTTTCCTTCCCAATCTGGCCGTCATGTCTTATGGCGTTCAGAATGTCAACAAGAAGGAAATCAAAGACATGACTGCCTTCCGCGAGGCCATGAAGGACCGTGGAGTACCTGTATTGGACATTGTCGAATCCGCTGAATTCAACATGTACTATCCATTTTTCCTTGAGCATGACAAGAAGTCTCTGGGTGTTTACTACCAGCGTCCTGACACCGAAGTCATCAGCGAGCTCCCAGTGGATCTTGATATCTTTATGCAGTTGGATGCTGAGAGACTCAACCGTCATTTGGCTTGCATTGGCATCCGCCAGACCACTGTCGAAGAGGCGGTTCTTGCCTTCAAGACGGCTCAGCGTGCTGCGAAGAGGGACCGTGTCTTCAACAAGCGTAAGGTGGCCGATGTTATCCAGAACCTATGGAATCAGTTGAGCCTCAGGCACCTTTTGGTCTGCCTGAGCACCATCATCGTCAGCCTCATGTTGATGCAGATGGCCAACAATATGTTCCAACCCCATCCTGTGGATCTCGCCAGTCAACGGGTTGCCCTCAACTCAGCTATCGAGGCCTTCAAGGTCGCAAAGTCAGGAGCTCCGTCTTCCCTTGTTAGTCCCGGATCCACCGTACCTTTGGTCTCAGAAATGAAACCTGTTACCGACGTAATGGCTCCCAAAGACAATGCGAATTCTCTTGGTCTTCCACTCGTTCACCCGTATTCTTCCAAGGGGAATGAATCCGAGGAGTTTAAGGCGCACATAATCGGTGATTGTCATTTCGTGCTGACACCACCCAAGAAGCTCACAACCATGAGAAAGCCGCCCAAGCTTTCCATTCGCATCCAGCGTGGCGCTGAAGAAGTTTCTCACGAAGGCGAACCGCTGGTTGATGGAGTTTATGCTGTGAGTCTCGAGCGCAAGGACGCCTACGGCACTCTGAACGTTACTGTCACGACCTTGTCAAAGCCGCGTATGCAGCAAAGTGTTGAGGTTGACTTCGGGTCCTCTTGGTTGCAGAAACTTGGATACGACAAGACAGCGAGCAAAGCATTGAGCAAGATCAAGACCGACGTTTCGATTGCTCAGTACAATGCCATGAACACCTCTCTCCAGCTTTACACTGGCCTGCAGCGTGTCTGTGACAGCGTCAACGGCGCTATCACCAACGCTCAGGAGAAGTTCCACAAGAGTCTCGAAGCCGCTGCCGTAGCTACTCACCGGCAGGCAGAGGCTTGTCGCAAGAAAGCTTCGGAAGTCAAGACTGCACTTTTCGAGGCGGCCTCGAGGATGGACATTTCCAGGGCTTGGAAGAAGACACCCGCTATCAACGAAGCCAAGTCCGTGAAGAGGGCGCACAAGAACGCTGCTAACATTGCCACGAAGGTTGGCAAGATGGTAGCCGGTGTTCGTTCCAAGACCGCAGCCCGCCTTTTTGGCAAAAAGACTAAGAAGGAACTCCGCACGGAGGGTAAGGGAGCCAAGCCGTGCAAGGAAAGGAAGGGCAAAAAGTCTTGCCAATCTTAAAGATTCGAGCTTCCATGGTTTTCTTTGTTTTGCAACAAGGCGTATCGGGGATTAGGGCTACGGTCAGCTGGATTTCTTTGTGGCATCGGCGCTAGGAAGAGCAATTTTCAAATTTCCACCGCAGCAAGATTGGAGTGGAGGGACCCGGGACTTATTCCATAGAGCTTCCTCTACGACGTGGATTTTTGCTGACGGCTTGCGATAAGAATGATTGAATTGATATGAAAGTGTCCCATGCGGCGTGACGATACGATTTTCTGCCTTAAGGCAAAGCGAGAGATCGCGAATTTGCACGGTGACGCAGTGGTAGATTGATAAGATTTCATTACGCACGTGCGTTCAACCGCCCGCCGCCAAGCCAATGTTTTGCTGTTAACGAGGGGCTCATCTTGCAAACCACCACCTCTCAGACATTTCACGCTTCTAAGCTTACATCTTGTCACACCCTCGCGACAGCATCCAAGTCGCTACTATCCTTGTGCGATCGCATACCCTCTTCCAAAATCTCCCATAACCCCACATTAAAATGGCTGAGCCTTCCGCCACTAAGCTCAACCCTGCCGACGAGCAGGCTGCCGGCACCCAGCCGCAGCTCGCAAAGGAGGAGACCGAGAAGCTCACCACGGGTGTGACGGAGTCCAAGGACGAGAAGCCCAAGGAGGAGGCCGGCACCGTCACTGAGAGCGTCACCAACGCTGCGTCTGCCGCCACTTCTGCCGTCAAGGACAACGTCTTTTCCATGTTCGGCGGAGGCCCCAAGAAGGAGAAGAAGGAGGAGGAGGAGGTCACGAATGAACCCTCTGGCTCTTCCAAAGCGAAGACTGGCGAGGTTGGTGCTTCCGACGCTCCAAAGCTACCTTGCGCAGATCACTAACAATGCTGATCTAGGAGGACGAGTCGCCCGAGAACCACGAGCCTGATGTCGAATTCAAGCCTGTCGTTCACCTGACGGAGAAGGTCGAGACCAAGACCAACGAGGAACTCGAGGAGCAGACTTTCAAGATGCGCGCTAAGCTCTTCAAGTTCGACCGCGAGTCGAGGGAATGGAAGGAGCGCGGCACTGGCGACGTCAGGCTGCTCAAGCACAAGGAGAACGGCAAGACCCGTCTGGTTATGCGCCGCGACAAGACCCTCAAGGTCTGCGCCAACCACTATGGTATGTTTACTAAGCAATGGTTGTATGATCTATTCAGCGTTAACGGTTTCGCAGTTGTCCCCGACATGAAGCTTTCCCCCAACGTTGGCAGCGACCGCAGCTGGGTCTGGAACGCGGCGGCTGATGTTTCTGAGGGCGAGCCCGAGGCTCAGACCCTTGCCATCCGTTTCGCCAACAGCGAGAGTAAGTTTAGAAGCCACTCTGCTCGAAAGCGGTCTGCTAACTTGTTTCCAAGATGCCAACCTCTTCAAGGAGTCTTTCATCAAGGCCCAGCAGGAGAACGAGGCTCTGTTCAAGAACGAGTAAGGACTTATAGCTAGCTCCGTACTATTCGACGACCCGCAATGTCCCGCTGTCTACGACTATGCACTCACGACCACCGAGCCCTCATCAGTAGTGGCCTCGCGGTATCTCCTCCCCAGTCACCAACACGTCCCTGCCCATAACATCCTCACATCGAGCCTGCCCCTCCTGACCGGAGGCCCCACCCACCCTTCACCTATAAACCCTAAGCAAGCATCGTCATGAATCCAATGATTTTTTTCTCTGAGCGCGTCGGTTGCAGTGATGGAATTAATTGGCGATTCCGACATTCGTTGCTGGAACGCATGGCTCTGGGCATGCAGAAAGTCGCGGATTGGAGAACGTAGATAGAGTTCGCCTCGTGTATGTAGAGCCAAGATACGACTTTCGATCCCCCCAGGAAGCATGTTGCACGCGTGCGTGGGAGGCTGGCGGATGTGTAAGCATCCGCCTCGGTGACGGCCCAGTTGTGATCTGAGGACATGGATGAACGCTCATCTCCACGAGCCATCGAACACGTGCACCCATGCAAAGAGTATTTGGTCGATTGGGCGCTGCTCGATTACATCGCATGGTGGCAGAAGCCCTTGTCGAAGTTTAAGTGAATCACGAACATCTTGCTCGCGCGGTCCGTGCCGCGCGCGTTCTACACCCCACGACGGCAACTGCTGCCTCTCTTTATTAGCTGCCCGATCTCACCCCGCCACCTGATCAAAAAGCCGACTGCTGCGGGCAACTTCATCTCCACTTGCAACACAACCAGCAACCAATTTGCACCCCGACAAACCTAGAACCAGCTCACAATGCCCGACGTAAGTGCAGCGACGGCACCTGTTCCCGCCGCATAGCTTCTAACGCGACAACCGCAGGTCAAGCGCCAAATCAAGCTCATCACCGAGCAGCGCGTCACGTAAGTCCTGCGCCTACCATCCCTCCAACAAGCTGCACAGCTTTGCGCGCCTTCCCCATCGCGGCGCGCATCACGGCGCGAGCGACGAGCGACGTATGATGGAAATCTGACGACGACGGTTCATATAGAGACAAGCCTGCCGTGATGGAAGGCTTCCCCATGCGCGCCTGGAGCATTGAAATCTGGATGCTCAACGAGAATGGCGAGGAGGTGCCTGCGAACATCTTCGAGAAGGCGACGTACCGCCTGCACCCGTCGTTCGAGAAGAGGGCCATTCAGAGTATGCAGCAGACGTGACGACGTTGAGCTAGCGAAGACATGCTGACGAAGCTCTGTCATACAGCCATGAAGAAGCCACCCTTCCGCATCGAGGAGGAAGGCTGGGGTGAATTCGAGATGCAAATCACCCTTACCAGTATCGGCAAGGGAGGCGACCACACCGTTGAGCACGACCTCAACTTCCAGCAAGAGCGCTACGAATCCAAGCACGCTGTCACATTTAAAAATCCCAAGCCCGACCTGCTGGCTGCGTTGGGCGAGACCGGCTCCACCGGCCAGGAAAATGGCGCCAGGCGCGCCAACGTGCCTTCCAGCAAGAAGCGCAAGGACAAGACCGTTGATATGGAGAAGCTGGCGGATGGCCTGCAGAGGCTCGGTGAGGACGACTTGCTCCAGGTTGTCCAGATGGTGCATGACAACAAGACCAACGACACGTACACCAAGAACGACGTTGAGAGTGAGTTTGGCCCTCGAACAATGGCACATGAAAGGCCAACTGAAAGTGTTCATCGCTGGATGCTGACTAGATGCTACAGACGGCGAGTTCCACGTCGATCTCTACACCCTGCCCGACCATCTTGTCAAGATGCTCTGGGACTTCACGGCTACGCGGACGGATCTGTAAGATGATGCCAATTGCACATAAGCAATTCCCACAAAGCATCATTTTATACACATCCTAGATACCCCGGTAGCTTGTTGAAGGTTAAAGAAGCTCCAAAACTAAAAATCACTTTACTCTAGCATGCTGCTCAGTACTGCCTTCCTTGCCGAGATGTTTACTCAAGGTTCCCACGAGTAGGTTATAGTTTCGACTGAGCCAGAAAGCTGCAATGACTCTCACCTGGCATGCATGCTTACTGCTTGGCCGATAGGTAGCACACACACACACATTCACAACGACAGTCGACTAGTCCTTCCTCGTCTTTTATGGCGCACGCCTTAGCTTGCTGCCGCGTTGACTACTGCATCGCTTGCTTGGATGCAAGTCTTAAATTCCGTTTCTGGCGATCGATTTCGGTTTTTTTCTCTGCCGTTTACCTGGATATGAAGCTTGGCGTTGCCGGTTAAAAATTGAGGCATGGACGACGGACGGACCTCACGTCAAACAAGCAAATGCACACATCAGGCGGGACGGATGGAGCGAGCGAGCTGGAACGTTGGGCGGACTTATACTACTACGCACGTGCGGTGGGGATGGGACGGGCGAGTAGACAGTGCTCGAAATGAGTATATCTAATTTCTTGCATTGGTCTTGTGCGTGGTTTTGAGCTGGAGTGATGTCGGAGTTGTGTCGAGGCTCACCGATATTGGACTGGAGCTGCTGTGATATGAGTGAGGTTTGAGAGGGGTTTTCTTTGTTAAAAATCTTCCTTGTGCGCGTGTTGCTGACCGCTTTCACTGGCATAGTGGTTCTATGGCAGCTCGATGGTTGTTAAGTAATGGTGCACTAGACCGGACCACTGAGGCCCAGCATCACCCACAGCATGCTCTAGACAGAGGGTCGATATGGACGCTCATGGAAAACCATGGTATTCTGTGTTTGATTGACGACATTATCAACGACCCTGATATCCCGGACGGTTGCAGTAAATTCTTTGAAGTGAACAAAGAGTCTTGGATCCAGTGCTTTCTTGGGACATCGATTATCCCGTTAAGAACAACCGGGTCCAGCTAGAACAACCCGACTCGCCGAAACATGGTAACCACAAATGACGGGACCACAGACACAAAGTCGCAGCGTGGCGGTCGTCCTGCTGGGGTAGCTGTGTGCCTTTTCGCTTTCAACATGTTCTGTCAACGCTCGTCGGTAAAGCTCAGTGGCGGTGGTGAATCTTGCTTTCAACACGTCCTGTTGACACTCGTCGGTAGTAAGACTTAGTGATAGTGGATATCGCTATTCTGCAGCCTAAGGGCGCGAACGTGGCTCGTGTGCTTGGGGGATACGCCGTACGGTTCGTGCGTGAAGTCTGAAGGCGGTGTTGTAGCTCCCGATGCAGTCGTTATGCACGGTGAGTGGAGCTGATAGAATTCAGAGTCTTGCAGAACTAACAAATGGGTGCGTCCGCCTTTTTAAGTAGACCGTTCTAGTTGATGGGGAAAGCCCCCTTTCTCTGGTTGTATCTTGACGTTAGTAAGTTATCCGCATCGGATATTGCTTTGGTGAAGAAGATGATGTCCAGGGTGATGGTATTGGATATATGGAGTATTTTCTGACCGCAAGGCAGTCATAGGGAACTGTTAGCCACGACATTGTGTAGTCTTGCTTAATATAAAAGGTAGCGGATCGATTCTGATAAGTGTTTACTGGAGATAAGTTTCTGTTGGGAAATTATAAGTTGCTCTGGTGATAATCATCTAACTTATAACACTCGGTAGTACAGTGGTCAGTAGCAGACTCCAGAACGCATTAGTGGAAGGTTTAGCTTGGGATGCGAAGTTCTAGTATAGAGAAAAATTAAAGCAGGGCATCGTACACATGCGAATTTAGAAAAGCCAGAACCCCATTTAGGACTTACGAAAAACCTCTCCGCTACAAGAATCGTTATGATCTTCATCAAAACAAGAACTTAAAAGCCCACTAGAACAGGACCAGGAACCAAACACTGCACACACCTAGGCTATAATATATACCGTTGTAAATCAAGCAAACTACTACGCCAGCGACGCTAACTTTCAATTCCAAAGTACCAGAGGGTGTATATAAACTGTCCTTCGTAGTCATCTGCCTTAACTAGCACCAAATAGCCCACCAGCTCTTCTGAAAGAGACAACATCACGCTATAAATGTGCCGGGTACAGACGAAGCAACAAACAGACAGAGAGAAAAGCACACATCGCTATATTAGAAGCTATACCAACTCAACAGACATCCAATTAAAGCTAATAAAGCACATCGCCTCCACACAGAAAAGCCCATCTACACCAGTGCATCAAAACTATGCAGTCCAGCATATCTTGCCCATAACCACCATCACCACCACCAATAGCTACTCCACAAAAAACAAACACAAAAACGTCTTACTCCATCAACGACATTTTAATTAGAGAGAGAGAAAGATATTATACTTACCACTTTGCGTTTCACTCAATATCAGCATTATGAAGCAGAACCTGCTCAGTGCAGGTTTGGGGGCGCGGACTCTTCGACAACGCATTGCATACTGCACAAAAGCACAATTCCCGACCAAGGGAGAGCTTATTATATGTGCTGTCACAACTGCTTTGAAAGCAAATGCCAGACCATTTAAAGGTACACTACCTCTACCCCACGCTCTTCTCTTCATACCTACCACTTCCACGCCTTTTCAGCATCTCAAGCACCAAGCATCAAGCCACCCATTCCTAATCGCCAGTATAGTTTCCTATCCACGGATAACGTCAAGCTCGTTAACGGGAAAGCTATTATGGGGTTCTCGTCACTGCTGTCGTTTTCGTTGTGGGTAAGGGAGGGCTTTTGCTGTTTGTTGTTTTGGGTAGAGGATGGAGGTGAGAGGGTGTGTGGGTGTCGAGGTAGTGTGTTGGTGGCGTTGGGTGCGGCTTGATGGTGTGCGAGTTGTGTGCTGTTGAGGGAGTCATTGGCGAAAGGGTTGCTGGTAAGACGAGATGTAGTGTTAGTGTATCACGAATTGCCATTTGACCCGTCTGACTGATGTCCAACTGTTCTACGCGCTAAGTTGGGATCCATGGCTCATTAAGCATCCTTCTCCGGGTAGCTAAGGAGAAGAGGACATGCCAAAAACGGAGCACGACACTGCTAGGTAGAGCCACAGACGACAGCAGCGTACAGTAACCACCAGCAGGAACGACCACATCAAAGACCATTTCATCAACATATCCCAGCTATGGTAAATAATGCCACGGAAATAAATTCATGTAAGCAAGCGCTGTCTAGATAGGCACGGCATGGTCCACGACCCGATGCCACAGAGCAGAGCTCCCACTCCATGCGCCACGCACGCCCATTACGCTGAACAGAACGCGCCGAGGAAAGAGGACGGGTCTTTGGCTGGCAGCGAGAGTTTGTTGTCGAGCAAGCGGAGGCAAGACTACTGCGAGGAGCCGCCGGAGACAGTGATGACCTGGCCTGAGGGAGCGTTAGCAGAAGCACACGCAATAGCAAGAACAGCAGCATGCAGCTTGGACGTAATGAAAGTGCAGGAAATGACAACGTACCGTTAATCCAACCGCCATCCTCGCTAGCCAGGAACGCGACCACGCGCGCCACGTCCTGCGGCACGGCACAGCGACCCAGCGGGCAGTGCTGCGCCATGAGAGTCTCGATCTTCTCGGCGGACCAGTCGGGCGTGCCGCCAGGGATATAGTGCCAGGCGTTCTGGGTGAACATGTCGCTCTTGATGCCGCCAGGGGCAACACCGTTGACCGTGATGCCCCTGACGCCAAAGTCGGTGGCAAACGCCTTGATCATGCCAATGACAGCCATCTTGCTAGCATTGTAGAGGGCATGGTCACGCACGCCTAGCAGGCCCGCCGCAATCGACGACATGAGCACCAAGCGGCCATTGTCCTCGAGATGCCTGAAGGCGGCCTGGCCGACGAAGAACTGGGCGCGCGCGTTCAGGTTGAAGACGTGGTCGTATTTTTCCTCGGTGACCTCGGCCGTGGCGTCCCAGGACTCGGTACCCGAGTTGCTCATGACGATGTCCAGGCGACCAAAGTGCGACTTTGCGAGCGTGAAGAGCCGGTCGATCTCGCTGACCCGGCTGACGTCTGCTTGGATCGCTATCGCCCGCGCCCCCGTCCCGTTGCTCTCAATCTCCTTGACTACTTCGTTGGCCGGGCCCGCCGACGACACGTAGTTGACTACGACGGACGCGCCGCGCGCGCCCAGCTCCAGCGCTACGCCCCGTCCGATGCCTCGGCCAGCGCCGGTTACGAGGGCGACTTTGCCTTCGAGGCTTGCGCTGGGGACAGTGACGACCATGGTGGCGGTGCTGTTAAGTGTTTGGAGAGTGGGTAGGTATATTGTCTGCTATAATAATCAGCCAGTGTTCTTGTGGAATCCTGATATAAAAGAAAAGCAACCCAATATGGAAAACAACTTACAAGTCAAAACAAAGTATCAAAGCAGTAGACTCTTTCTTTCTCTTGGTCCGCAAACAACAAACTCAGAGGAAGCAACAAGCTGTACTGAAAGACACAGAGCTCTCATTCCCGACCAGAAAGACCGTCGCTATATACGGGGGGCTCGGCCTTTCGCGCTTTCGCGCAACCGCGTGCTCGCGCTTCGGCAGGCGGGCGGGCGAGGGCGGGGAGCCGAGCCGGCCGCAACGCCCGTCGCGGCATGGCTGCCACTACGGGTAACATTGTTTGCTGTTGCTGCTACATCAGCCCAGGGTCTTTGTCTCGAACATGTCGGGAATGGGTCCCCGTTCGGAAGGGCAATGGTGCGAGTCCGGAGGTGGGGGCTGTGGTGGTTCGGATGGCGCGTGGGATCCGGAGCTGGTGGTGTTGGATAGTTGACGTGATTCGCGAGTGAGACGTAAGTAAATATAACTATAAGTAGTGCTCGGAGATGGTTGCCCGTGGAAGAAGGAGAAGAAGACGACGTTCACCATCAATGCCTATCGATAAGCCGGTGTGACGCAGTCCTGGCAGGCAATTCGCGGGGCTTTGGGCTGGACCCAGGCTATTTGCTGGCATCAATCAAAGCCCGTTGAAGAAGCCAATGGCCATGAAGCACGGCCATGAGCAGGAGCAGGAGCCGACAAGCGGAGACCTGACGTGATCGCTCCAAGCTCCTTCCCCCGTCCTCGCTCTCCCGCAACTACTCCACCAAAGACATCACCACCACCACAACCCCAAACCACCGCCAACATGCACATCCTCGTACCCCTCCCCGACCCATTGCCCCCCTTCGGCGCCCACCTACTAACCGATTGGCTGGCCAGGTAACCAACGACGACGGCCCGCCCAGCAACGACTCGTCGCCGTACGTGCACCCCTTCATCACGGCGCTGCAAGAGGCCGGGCACACGGTGTCGGTGGTGCTGCCGCACACGCAGCGCTCCTGGATCGGCAAAGCGCACATCGTGGGCCACTCGATCCGGCCGTCGTACTTCCGGCCAGACGCGATTCCGAAGCCGCTCCCGGCGAGCGCCAACAACCGCTTCCCCAACACGGGCAGCACGCACGCGGCGCCGCTGCCCGCGTCGTCGACGGACGAGGAGTGGCTGCTGGTCGACAGCACGCCGGCGTCGTGCGTGCAGATCGGCCTGCACCACTACTTCGGCGCGCGCGGGCCCGTCGACCTCGTCGTCTCGGGCCCCAACTACGGCCGCAACACGACGGCCGTCTTTGCCCTCTCGTCGGGCACCATTGGCGGCGCCATGGAGGCCGCCGTCTGCAACAAGCGCGCCATCGCCCTGTCCTTTGCCTTCTTCGACCGCAACCACGACGCCTCCATCATCTCCGAGGCTTGCCGCCACGCCGTGCGCGTCATCGACCACCTCGCCGCCAACTGGGACTCGCAGACGCACCTGTACTCGGTCAACGTGCCGCTGCAGCAGGGCGTCTCCGGCAAAAAGACGGTCTGGACCGAGATGCTGCAGAACACGTGGGACGAGGGGAGTTCCTTCCAGGAGATTGACGTCCCCGAGGGCGACGACGCCGGGCCTGCCGAGGCCGAGCGCGAGATCCGTGAGGAGGAGAGCAGGGAGGAGGCGCCGCGCGGGAGCGGCTCTGACACCCCGGCTGGGAGCGCCCATGCCCGCTACACGCACAAGCACTTCCGCTGGGCGCCGAGCTTCAAGGCCGTTCACGACAGCGTTGAGAGGAGCGAGCCGGGCAATGACGGCTGGGCCGTCCGCCAGGGCTTTACGAGGTATGTCTCTTCCGCGTTTGTGTCGATCTGTTGAGAAAGGTCCCAATACTGACTCTGTGTTAGTGTCACGCCGCTGCGCGCCAACTTTATGCACGCGCCGGCGAACTACAAGGGCGAGATTACCCTGTAGAGGGCGGTGCGGTGCTCGGGTGGGAGATGAGGGTGTCTTGAAGGACGGGCGAGGGCTGGGACATCCCGCTACACGGAGAAAAGACCTGGGGGCATAGACGAGGAGCATGTGCGTGTGGTAGCACTCGCACTTAAGGCATGTCAATTAGTAGGCATGATAACAAAACGAAATCTACCAAGAAATGTACAGAACACCTAGTCAGTCACACATGCCACAACAGACGGAACGATTGCAAGACATCACACAACAAAACAGGATCAAGCCCAAGACTGCAAAAGCCTCCTCAATATACACAAATATACAAATCGTAGCATTACTCATTAGACATTACCCCTCCACGCACACGCCCTCTCTCTAAGCGTTATAAATGCCCAGCACATTCGTCGAGTTATCGTAATCGACGCCGCACTTCTCGCCAAACTGGCCAAACATCTGGCCGCGCTCAGCGATCCACTTCTCGAACGTAGCGCGGGCGCAGGTCTCGCCAGGGCCATCATCGCAGCCCAGCAGGGGCTGGGGGCTGTTGTTGACGAGGACGCGGAAGAAGTCGGAGCCGGCGTCCTCGAAGCCGTAGCTGTCGCAGCTCATGCGCTCGACGGCAATGTTGGTCAGGAACGTCAGCATGTGGCTGCTGCGCCAGGCGCGGCGGTAGTTGACGCGGTCGGTGGGCATGGTGGCGTTCTGGTTGTCCGACGCGCTGAAGGCCGTGTTGTTGAAGAGGCCGAGCGCGACGAGCACCGTGGGCGGGAGTTCGCGGTGCGTGAACGAGACGTAGAGGTCTTGGGCGGACGCGGCGCTGTCATCGTCGTTGAGTAGCGCGTCCACCGTCGCGTTGACCCACGGGAAGCCGATGTGCCCGCTCACTTCGTTGCCGTACCCCGTGTTGTGGAAGTACATGAGGTCGTTGGCGTACTCGAAGGCCAGCCACTCGGTGGGCGAGAACAGCTTGAGGTCGCAGAAGGGCGAAGAGCCGCGGATGACGCTCTCGTAGCCGCACAGCTGCTGCATGCCGTAGACGTCGCTGCTGGTCCAGTTGAACTGCGGCGCGGCAGCGCGCAGGCGCGCCAGGATCGGCGCCGTGTACTTCTTGACCCAGGCCGAGGACTGCTCCGAGCCGCGCGAAGAACTGTATGCCGGGCACCCCTTGTACGGCGTCAGGGACGCGGCGCCCTCCTTCTTGCCCTCGCTGACCTGCACGACGGCGCTCTCGTTGGCCTGCCGGTCCAGCCCCGCGATGAAGCTCTGCGCGCTTTTGACCGTGCGCTCCGCGGTGCTGGTCCAGATCTTCTGGGGCGGGCGGAAGCCGAGATAGCGGCGATTGAGCTCGACGCCCAGGCTCATGCTCTCGAGCATGCCGATTTTGGTGAGCTCTTCGAGGTCGCCGTCCTCGACGGGGCTCTGCCAATCCTTGAGGAAGTCGAGGGGCGCGGCCGTGCCCGCCGTCGCTTTCCAGTCGACGCTGCTGTTCTTGAGCTTGTCCGTGAAGGGCTCGACGTAGCTCTCGTAGTCGAAGTCGTTGGCGTAGATGGCCGCGTGCCGCACTAGGTACGCCGCCCGCGTCACGTTGCACCCTTGCGGCGGCGCCGGGTCCAGCGTCGGGTCTTGCGGGTCGAAGTACGGCGCGATGCCCGACAGGTGCTCCAGCGCGTTGAAGGCGTAGTTGTCGGGGCTGTAGAGGATGTTTTGCGCGACGCCGACGGCGCCGGTCACGGCGAGCGAGGCGCTGAGAATCGTCTTCATCGTGTGTATCGTGTCGTCGATTCGATTCGAACGGGCCGGATAGTAGTAGATGGGTAGTAGTAGTGGTGGTGGTAGGTAGGTGCAATGGGCAGAGGAAGGTATGGTATGCTTTTCTCACTCCACAAGCAGACGAAACCAGCCCAAAGAAACAGCTCAAACGAAACCAACAGGCAGGTCCTCGATAAGCACGCTCACCCGTAGCTCGAGCAAGCGCAACCAGCCCTTATACCCAGGGGGCTCGCCTACCGACGTCATCCTCAGGTCTTCCTTGGAAGGATTGCCGGCGTCGGCTCCCAGGCCAGGAACAGGCAGCGATCGCCTCGCCACCAACCGGTTTTGCCCTGTGGCGCTCGCTCCGTGCCGAATCTGCCGACCCACCCTGAGCTTGTTTTGCACAGTCTCTTGGTCTGGCCGTTTCAACGCCCTCTTCACCGCCGCGCTTCGACCCTATTGACGTTGCGCGGCTGATGCGTTGGCCTCGCAACTCGTTTTTTGGCGTGGCCGGGCCGGGCGGATTCGGCCTGCTGTGTCGTCGTTGTCGTGTGATGCGTTTGCAGTGGTATTTGCGCTGCGCTGCCGATCTTAACAACGGCTTTTTTCCTTTTTGCTTTCGTTCTTGACGGTCATGAGCTTGTTGGCCTGGTGGATCGTCGCTACTTATCAGCTGCTGCAGCCTGCTCATCAATTGCACTGCCAAGCTGCTGGAATCTGCTGCTATTTTTGAAATATGAGGGTCAGTCGTTCGACCGAGCGACCGTTGACGTCGGGTTTATGGGGACGCCACTGCCGCTTGCTTGTGGGTGTATTGTGGAGCTGCGGGCGCTGAGCCACAATGGGTTGATGGGAAACGAGATACGCATGCTTCTACCTACGGTTAGACTCGGCTTTTGCCATTGATACCTACAGTCGTGGGATTCGGGTCATGCTCACTGCCATGGCCGCTCAATGGCATCCGATAACCCATTTGATGGCATAAATGCTTCATGACGTCTCAAAAGAGTTTGGAAGCACAACATACTGCCCTATAATGGGTTGTTTGGATTCTGCTAGAGACGTGAGTGTCCTGGTGGTATACTTGACCCAACAAGGACCTGGTCGAGTATATACAATACCCCAATCGTGTCCAATGCGTTATTCGTATTCCATGCCTAGCGTACCCAAGCCGACTCGTTCACCGCGACGTCTGCCCTCCACCGTTTCTGCGGTCTCGGGTTATCGTCAACCTGCCCCTGCTCGCCATTAGAAGTCATACCAGGGGGAAGATCCGTTGTCTGCTTCTGCAGCCTCTTCCGCCTGCCCCTCCTGATCTCCCTGCTGCTCGCCGCCCTCGCGCCGTCCATCTCCGACTCCGTCGTCGTTTGTGGGGTGCTCCTCGCCGAGCCGTTGACCGGACTCTCCTCCGCATCTCTCGCCCGCTTTTTCGGCCTTGTCTCCTTCGCTTCCTCGGCTGCTCCTACGCTCATCCGCCTCACGCCGTCTGTCGCGTCGGCTAAAGAACCACCCGATGACCGTTTTCTTTTGGCGCCCGCTTTGCCCTTGCGCGCTGCCGCTCGCTTCGCCGCCTGTGCTGCCAGCCGTGCCTCGACCTCCGCGCTTATGTCTTCGTACTCGACCGGCGGTTCTGGCGCTGGGTCGGAAGCGGGCGTATGCGAAGGCCCTGCGGCTGGTGTTAGCGGCTCTGCGGGCGCGGACATGTTAGGCTCGCATGTTCTCTGCCTCTTGCGGTTCGGTTCCGACGGGGACACGGCGGGTGTGCCAGACACGCGCCGTTTCGAACCGGATTTGTTGGTTGGTAGTACTTTGAACGAGCGCACTACGAGCGCTTGTCCGTTTATAGTAGTGCCAACTAGAGAGGTAACTGCCCTGATCACTTGTGTTTCATCCGCTAGTTCAGCTATGGCAAATCCATGCTGATGGCTGAATGCGGGGAGCTCATATTGCTTAATGTCGGAGTGTTTGGGGCGTTGCAAAGGTCCAACAATAGTGTTTCTACATTGTGGTCAGAGTAACAGTTCGTACTGCAACGGGCAAATACTTACACAACCACAGGACTGAGCATTGTCGTAAGGTCCTTGGCGGAGATACCCTGCGGGAGGTTGGCGAGCACTACTCCCGCGCTGATATTTGTCCGGCTTTTTGCGCGCACAGGATTCTGTTGCCCCTCTTGACCCGCAGCGCCCGAGCGTTCTCCTTTACTTGTCGATGTGGTGTCCTCCGCGAGCGCGCCACTCGAAATGCGGCGGGGTTGGGCAGGCGTTTCTTCGCGCATGGTCCTCGCTACATTAGGCGCCAGTGTCCGTCTCTGTAGTAATGAGTCATCCGGAGCCGCAAAAACCTGACAGGTAACCGTACCAAGAGCTCTCCAGCCTGGTTGGCATCCTCCCAAATAGTGTCGGCGCGACTCTGCATGCTTTCAAGCTCCGTGACGACTCCTACATCGCTATTCTTGAGCAGCTCCACCATTTGTCCTAGCATTGCGCGATGAGTCCGGAGAGTGGCTAGGTGCGTATCGAACAGCAGCTGCAGCGCTGCCTCGGAGGCAGCCATGGTGCCTTCTTCGTTGCGCGATGCGCTCGGGATGTGGTGGTGTGCGGGGATCGGTGGTCGGGCGCAAGTGTACTAGGTAGGTATGCTTGCGTTATAGATGTCGCTCGGGTAAGTGTGCCTATTTGAATTCGTGTGCTCCAAGGTTTGGACGGTGCTTGGAGTCGCGGAGCAATGTCATGCGCGGGTTGTATGCAGGGTGAGGAAATCGCGTGGGAGGCTAAGACTGGCAGGCGCGTTACACACGGACCGAAGATGAGGCAGATCGGCACAGGGATCATGCGGGGTGGAACTGGAAGGGCCTGGTGCGGTCAACGGCGATGTCACTCCCGCTTTGCTCGGCCAGAATGTGCCACGTACTACCTACCCGTCAAACCGCTCAGATGGATCGCCCATGTTAACTACTACGGGTGTACGAATATAGTCAGGTAGAAGCCTGTCATTAAGCCGCATATAAACCCACAGGCTCGTGTACCATATTGTCGTCTTGTTCGTGTGGCTTCTACAGGATACAAGCTTACGCCAGGAGTCACTGATCAGTTCAACTGCAGGAACAATATACCCGCATACATACAGGAGCAGCAGGAGCAGCAATCTACGTCATGGTGCTGCAACTAAACATGGTTCCGCCTCCGTTTCCTGCCGATGCGCATATCTAGATTAATGTGTTGCTGAGGCTCACTTTAGTCGGAACTTTTTCTGACAATTTTATAGTGGACATATGGACGCTTTTCGTACTCTTGTATTTTGTATCTTGTGGTGGGTGAACCGTCCAGTGTCGATATATTTCAGGGCATACCGTTCAGCATACCGTCCAGCATAGGGAGACGTGGAGCCAACAGCCAAATCCTTAAGGTGCTTCATTTTTTCTAATTCCACGTACCCTATGGTTTCCAACTTTTCAGGGTACAAAAGTTTCTCTAGGTTTCTATTCTAGACCACAGCACTTGACAACATATTCAGCCGCATCCCATATCTCGGCCCTTGCAACTCTAGCTGTCTTTGACGAAGTTGTCTTTGGGAGGTATCTGCACCAGCCCACGCTGTTCTTTCGTTCTCCATTGGATAGTTTTGCAAATGCCATACAGCACCGTGAGCGTCGGCATTGGGACGCCCAGCGCCGTACCTTCGCGCAACGGTTCTCCCAGTATATTTTCGACTTCGATAAAATTGCCCTGGACACCGTCAGATTTATAAATCACGAAGCATTCAAATTCGCTTACCTTTCTCAAGTCATTCAGCATGCTCGGTGGCAGATACATGGTCAACGGATCAATGTTGATCATCGTATCCACCACTTCAGGCGGCAGCTCATACCCCGCCGCCTTCGCCGCAGCCCTAATCTCCTCCATCGCGGGCCTAACCAGGGCATCCACCGCGCCATCCGCCAAGCGTATGCGCCCGGTATCGAGGCCCGTAATAGCGCAAATGCTATTCAAGCAAGAATTATAGACCAGCTTGCGCCAGCGCGAGAAGCCCACATCAGCCGTAAACACACAGTCCGTCTTGCCCGCGGCGCTATAAATGTCGACGAACTTCCTGGCGGCGGCTTCCTCGACGGCGCGGTCGAGCGCCGGGTTGTGGAAGGGCCCGAGCAGCACGCGGTCTTTGTCGTCGTGCTCGATGACGCCGTGCGCGACCTCGTGCGAGCCGATCATGCTCACGCCGCTGAGCACCGGGTTCGTGGGGAAGGCTGCGAACAGCGGCTTTTCGATGTTCAGCCCGTTTTGGAGCAGCACGATTGTCGTGTGCCCTGGCGTCACGGCGGGCTTGATCTGCTCGGCCAGTCCCGGTGGGTTGTCGGGCACGTTTTTGGTGCTGCAGACTATGAAATCGAAGGCTGGGAGGGTGGGATCGCCGTAGGTGTCCGGGACGGAGTTGACGACTGCGAGGGGTGTGAGTTGGTGTTGTTTGACGGGGAGGGTGTATTTGATATAGACTTTTTGAAGGCTTCCATCCGGTTACGGTTCCATGGTCGCAGGACTTGATATGAAAGCCGTTCTTCTGCACGTGTGCGAAATTCGACCTCAAGACAGCAGTGACGTTTGCTTGTCCACCGGCCTCAAGATTCAGCGCAGCAATTGTTCCAACACCCCCGCTACCAAACAGCAAAACGTTAGACTTGGGCGACATGTTGGGGACGAGAGAGAAGAAAGCATTCGACGAGAGGATTATCGTGAAGTAGACAAATTTAAAAGAATCCCAGGCACTTCATGATGCGCCGCTTACCGTCGGCGTTCTATCGCACGCAATCACTCCATGCAGGAAGGCTAGTCCGATTTTGCCCGCGATTACTTACCCCGCCGGATCAGATTGCGGGGTCTTCCGCACAGACCTGAAGGGGTTTCTTGCCTCGCTGGGTTTGGGGTGTCGAAAGTCGTCCAACATCAAATGTTCAGATTGACGTCGGGTGTTGACGTGTCGAGAGATAAGACTAGCCTCTCTTGCCTTGCTTCGTCTATCTCGCGATTCAACGGTGTCTTAAGGTATGGTATCTTGCGCTGAGTGAGCATGATAGGCTAGTCTTGTCTCCAAGCGATCTCGGGATGGATCTCGCATCCGAAGACCACTCTTGCGGGCCGGTTTAGTCAAGCATTTATTATTTTATGCCCGGTCGACGCCATCCATAAGGCTCGAGAAAGGCTAAAAAACAAAGACACCTTCCATAGAGAAGCTGACACCTCGTCTCATGCTGTACACCTAAACCGCACCCCTAATACAGCTTCTTACACTCCCAGCTCTCCACCGAATTCACATCCCCTTCCCCGGTATACGTCGCCTCTTTTGGCCACGCGCAAATCGGCCTCTGCCTCTTCACGCCCTTCTCCAAGTTCGTCTCATCAACAAACTTGGTCGCGACAATCTGGTCCACCGCTTGTCCCTGCTCCACCCACGCCACCAGCGCCAACAGCGCATCATGCTTCGCATCCGTACATCCCGGGACGCCCCGCGCACCCGCACCCGCGTTAAACTCGCCTGCCTGGTTCGCCCCGCCGATGTACCACGGCGCAGCCATGTCTTCCGGTGTTCCGCTGCAGTGCTGCATGCCCGGGATCAGGAAGAAGCGGTACCAGTCCTCCAGAGGGGCGTCGCGAGCTGAAAGTGCTCGCTGCACCTGCGAGTGGAAGTGTGTGCTAAAGCGAGTGGGAATGAGGGCGTCGGCCCAGCCGTGGTAGTGCAGCAGCTTACCGCCTTTGTCCGCGAAGTCCGCAAGCGCGGCGAAGTCGTCTGCTGTGGCGTCGCCGGGGTCTACTGCCTCGGCGCGCTGCACGACACTGTAATCGAAGTTGTGCCAATCGAAGGATGGCTCTTGCAGGAAGTACTTGACGTAGTCTGGGCCAAGGGCATTGGGGGCGTCATTGCCGAGCAAGACGAACCATTGCGATTCGGAACCGAGGGAGAGGGCCGGTGCCACAAACGTCTGGTTCACGTCTGTGTAGTCCGCGTAGATGCGGTCGAGGGTTGTCAGTTGCGCGGGAGTAAGACAGCTGCTGCTGTTGCTATGGCCGCCGCAGAGCAACGCTTCTCGGTTGAAGGCGCACCGACGGGGGTCTGTTATGATGCTGTCTTTGAGACCGTCGGCGCCATCGCACTGCTTGAGAACCTCGGCAGCGATAACGGGGAACAGAGTCGTGGGGATGTGGTGCGCTGCAGTAGCCGGAACGTTGTATGTCCCGACTTTAATGGTCCAGGTCTGCAGATGTGTCGTCCACCACGCAGGCGCGCCGACAAGGACTCCATCAAAGTCGTCCGGGAACTTTTGCGCGCTCTTAAGGCCCTGCCTGCCACCAGTTGAGCAACCGGAGTAGTACGAGTACTTGATTTCGGAGCCATAGTAGGTTTTCGTAAGTTCCTTGGCCAAGACAACGGACCCATGCATGGCGCGCCAGCCCCAGTCCGTCAGCTTCTCCGGCTTGTCCAGGGCCCAGGATCCGTCTCCCGAGGTTGAATTGTGCCCAGTGTCTGTGGACATGCTGGCAAACCCGTACCCCACACCCGAACCCATGTCCAACCAATTGATGCCACCAGCAAATCCTCCATTGCCGAGGGCCAGAAAGCGGTCATTCCATTGCGTAGGAAGGAAAAGTCCAAAAATGAAAGAAGAAGTGCTGGACGAAGTTACATTGACTGTGACGGCGCACAAAGCGGGAAGACTGGTAGGGTTTGTTGGGTAGGCAATGTCCGCAGCGCCTTGTCCGTACGTGCCGTTTTCAGGGACAAGGTCAGCGGCCAGTACAGTAGCATTGGCTGGTAGTGCGCTCTGGAGCGTCTTGATGGAACAATCGAGCGCTTGTGCCGCGGAAACCGAAGCGACGGCCTGGAGAAAGACGATACCTGCCTTCATGATTAAGGAGGGAGCGGGCCTGCAAAGCTGCAGCGCAGCATGAGGGATCGATCTCTTTTAACCGGCGGCCATCTTTAAGGCCCACGACGGAGTCCCGCACCTCGCTAACTTTGTTCTTGGTAGCTCGGAGTATGTGCCGAGACTGGATGGCTTTGTGGGGTATCCCTTTCGTCGTGTGCGGGGGCGGTCAGTCAGTTAGATTATGATACTCCGAGGAGGCCGAAAACGGGTCCATAGCCGAGCCTTGAACAAGGCCATAGCGCAATAATATGGAAGAAACATGGAAGGCAAAAGAGGACATGTCAGTAGCAGGAAAAAGAAAACATAAATGACTACACTGAACAAACATGGAATGCAACGTTCCTAAGAAATTGGAGCTGTGTTCTCTGATATTAGTATGTACGGAGTAGTAGCCTGGATACACACATTTTGTAGCTTGTATTTAGAATGACAGCACAACGTCAGTTTTTGATATTAACTAGAAGTCAGTTGTTTTCTGGCGCGTTGAGGGCATGATTACGGAGTAAATGCAGGGTTCGATCGAACTGGCCCTGGCCCGCCTGTGACGTATAGACAGCTTCGCATAGCCGGAAATAAGGATGTGTTGGAGGACCGAAAGACAAGGAGCTTTATGCCGACCACACGTACGATCATGCTTGCTGCCCATGGGCTTCTACAACCCTTGGTATAGTTACGTCGAGACGCAGAGCGGACAAGACCAATTTGTACAAACCTCGGTCGGACCTCGGTAAGCGACTGATGACAATGGGGGGCGTGGCGCTCTTCTGCCTTGGTCAGCTACGAAAAAAATGATCTTGCTCAGGCGTGCAGGTAGCGGTGGCCGCAATAACACTGCATCCTAAGGTGATCGTGTTGAAGCTCGTGTCAAGCGTTGGCGCTTTGATTCAAGCCACGGCGGGCCCCTAGACCATTTCAAGTCCGGGCCGAATCTTGGCTCTGTTTTCGAAGGCTTGCGTCAGCGTCGGTGGGACTTGGGCTTGGGCTGACTTTGTGGGCTGGTTGAAGGCAGAGACGCGTGGTGTTTTGCGGTCGGTGTTGCGGTTCTGCCTGGAGCAGGTCTGAGTGGTTGTGGTCATGGTCGGAGTACTGATAAGACCTGGGCTCCGGGTAAGCAAAGGGTGTCTGTCTACGCAAAATGTGAAGATCCAGCAGGCCGGTTTCAAGTAGGTGGGCGACTCATGAATGCGACAAGCAGAAGGTTCTTCCTCTTAGCGTGGATACGAGATCAACAGAACAAGGCTGTCGCAAGGTCGCGAGATCTGAGAGGCTCCGCCTCCATCGTCTGAATCACTGGGACCGCGGGTCGTCCCGCAGACGCTTCCGGCGGCGCGGAGCCAGAGAGGGTTCAGCCGTTCACCCCCTCGGTTCCCAGGCAGTGCTCGCTCGCTGGGGCAAGAAGGCTGAGAGAAGCCGCGTCAGTGGCACAGGGTGTGCTGGCGAGACGACAAACGCTTCAGCTCATGTGCGCGCCGCCCCTCCACACGCGGCAGGTCAAGGGGCCATGGTGTCGTGGCACAGCCACAGGTCGTCTCTTTTAGCAGCGCTAGAGCTGAGCGCCGAGCGGCTGGGCAGAGTCAGGTGTCGGTGTCGGCGCAGCAAAGAGGGCTTATGAGCGTCGTAATAATTGCGGAGAAGCATATTTATAGCTAACCCAGATCGACAGCGCAGAGAGCCCAAGGGAGCCTGTCATTGCCTGGGCGCGCGTCACTTCTAACACAAGAAGCCTTAATCAGCCCCAGACAGCCAGCCACTACAACACATCCGCCCTTACGCTCACATCCTGAAACATCCGCGCTTCACTCGCTTTCCACCAACGCGTCGCCCGCTCGTCCTCCTGTCTCCCGTCGCCCGAAATCTCAACAACAACATTTCGAGCTGAGAATCTCGCGCGCGCCTTCTCCGCACTTCCCATCCCATCGTCTGGCCGTCATGGCTGCCAACGATTACTACAACCCCAGGAGAGCGGACGCTCCTCTACCACCCCTGCCGCCTCCATCGCCACAGCCCGTCAGACCTCAGGTCGATACGCAAAACCTCTACAACAACTCGCCCATCATGCACTCGAATCCCGCCTCCGCGCAATCACCCTTTGACGACCGGTCCTACCCTGCGTACCCCAACCCTTCGCACAACCCGTACGGACCGGATGCCAACGAAGACACCGCCTACCATGGAAATGCTGGCATGTATGGGCAGCCGCCGCATCCGTATGAGCAGACACCCACAGATCCCTTTGGCGATTCAAATGCTATACCCTTGCATTCTCAAAACCCAAAGCTTGAGGCTAGTCCGAGCAGATACAATGCGGACCCTGAATATCAGTATCCTCTGGTCGGCGATCCGGCGCAAAGGAAATCGGATCGACGAAGGCACAAGAAGAGGAAGCAGGGCTGGTTTACGGGAAAGATTACCTGGGTAGTGTTTATTTTGACGCTAGTCGAGATATGCGTCTTTATCGCTGAGATTGCTCGCAACGGTAAGTGAGAAAAACTAACATAAGAATGAAAGTTAACTAACGTGGTTATAGCCATCCTGACCGGGTCGCCAATCATGATCCATCCATACTTCAACCCCATGATCGGGCCCTCACCCTACGTCTACATTACCATGGGCGCACGCTATGTTCCCTGTATGCGGCACATGGGTGGCAATAACGAGATCAACATCACCCCGCAAATCACTTTCCCGTGCCCTAACACGACCTCGTCCACGGCAACGGAATGCTCGTTGGCAGAAGCCTGCGGCATGAGTGGAATCCCAGACCCTAGCAAAACTAACAACGAGTGGCACCCTAACCAGTGGTACCGATTCATCACGCCCATCTTCCTTCATGCCGGTCTCATTCATATTGCGCTCAACATGCTCATGCAGTTGACTATCGGGAGGGACATGGAACTGCTCATCGGCTCCGTTCGCTTTGCTCTCGTTTACTTTGCATCCGGTATTTTCGGCAATGTTCTCGGCGCCAACTACGCCGCAAACGGCATGCCATCTACGTAAGTCATCATACTGGTACAGTGTATATAATACTAGAAGTTAACACATAACAGTGGTGCTTCCGGTGCGCTCTTCGGTCTTATTGGGCTCACTATCTTGGACCTGTTCTATCACTGGGGCGAGCGCCAATCTCCATGGAAGGAACTCTTGTTTATCATGATTGATGTCGTTATCACGTTCGTTATCGGCTTGCTTCCTGGTGTCGACAATTTTGCCCATCTCGGCGGCTTAATCATGGGCATTGGCCTCGGCATTACCCTTCTGCATTCACCTGCTCCCTTGCGCGAGCGCATTGGCCAGAAAGAGCCGCCTTACTCCGCCGTTAGCAGCGTGGCCAAAGACGACGACAGCGGCGAGGGTATCAAGGTCTTTACCAAGCAGCCCATGGGCTTCTTCAAAGGCCGTAAGCCGCTGTGGTGGGCATGGTGGCTGTTCCGAGCGGGCTGCCTTGTCGCAGTCATTGTTGGATTCATCGTCCTGCTGAACAACTTCTACTTCTACCACAACCAGTGCAGCTGGTGCAAGCATATTAGTTGCTTGGTAAGTCTCTCCTTCTGCTCTCTTTCTAAGGCATCTGAAGTTAACTTTTTTCCGTAGCCTGTCAAGAACTGGTGCGAGATGGGCAATCTTGAGTACACGAACACCACCCAGAGCTCCAGTAAACGTGACTTGCTCGGCGTCGCGATGCTAGACCCTTTGGCATACCCTTTCTAATCTTCTCACGCGTCTCGATGTCTCAACGGCCGTGGGTTGCCTAGTCCTTCGGAGTACAAAACTACTTTTTCAAGTCTCATCTTCTACTTTTTGATTCCTCGTTTCACTATCGCTTGTCATTCAGAGCGGTATACCCACTCAAGGCATCATGAATGGGACGGCATGGCGGACGGCGTTACATATTCTTAGTATTAAGTGGTTCTATTGTCTTCTTTTCGATGGCCTATTTTTGTTGGTCCCTGCCTGGTGCGGATATCTCTTTACTTTTCGGACAACGGGAGGGTAGCTGCATTTTACAGTCTGGATCGGCAAGGCAAGGATGCATACATACCATACCACTGGGGGTTAATTGGCTGTGTGATTAGCTGTTTCGTTACTACCCGGGCTCGGGTGCTGCTGGCAGAATGGATTTCTTTCTACTTCAGAGACTGAAACCTCGATGTTGTAACCTGATAGTGAATGTCATGAGAGACGGAACAGAGACTGCTTGCCCAATCTGCTGCCCATCGTGCCATCCGCCCATCTCACCTCATCTGCAGCCACCAGACCACGCCTTCCTCGCCACCCATACGTCGCTCAGTGCCTCACTAATCACCGTCGACGTCTCCCCGAGATCTACGCACTCATGAAAATCCAAAAAAAAGTCTGTAACATCACCATTCCAAGCTACAAAGCTCCGGTTTCTCACCGCTTCTCTTACTCCCGATATTCTCAACCGAAGACTGCGTAACTACCCCACGTCCACGAGTGCCAAGCCAGGACCCTATCATACCGAAGAGGCTTAGTGCAACGGAGCCCTGTTTTTTCCGGGCGGCGAGGGGCGATCGAAGGCGGTGTCGTTCCACCTGCGAGGCTGGCATTGGTAAGCCATCTCCGTGGAGTTCTGCCTGACTCGGCGCTCAATTATATTCAAGCGCTCCCAGTCACATTTCTCTTCCCTTCCTTCTCACTCCAGTCTGCCAACTTTTTCCACGATTTTCGCCATGGCGCCCTCTGTCACTATCGACAATGCCTCTGATTTCGCTCCGAGCTCCGCTCACCCCACCAAACCCTCTGGCCGCACGTTGCTCCTAGCCCCGCCGTCCATATCAGCGCACCCCGAAGCGCTCAACCGCGTATTCGAGGCCCATGATCGCAGCGTCACGGATATTCAGATGCTCGATCGCCTCGCTCTTGGCCTTGTCGCACTTCCTTCCGCCACCTACGATACTGTCCTCTTGCTCACCGACGCTGATGGCTCACGGACCAAGAGCCAGAAGCTCTTCGACAGAGACGTCATAGGCAAGGTGGCCCAGGCGCTTAAGTCGGGAGGCAAACTTCGCAGCCAGGACGGGAACTTTGGCGTAGACGGCGCGGAGAAAACGGAGGCGATTCTTGCTGGATTGGTCCAGGAAGGCACAGATGGCTTCAGCAAGCCCGACCAGAGTGCGGAGCAGTCTGTTCCTTTGCGCTTCGGAAAGAAAGCGAATGCTGCTGCGAACGGTGCCGTTCCTCTGCAGCTTAATGGAAAGAGAAAGAGCATATCCCAGGAGCCAGCAAAGCCATCAGGTGTAGGCTTTGTGGATTTCAGCGATGATTTTGGAGTCCCTATGGTTACCGGCGAGGAGGATGACGACCTCATCGACGAGGATGAGCTGTTAACTGAGGAGGACAAGACGCGCCCCATGATGCCCCGTAAGTTCACGTTCTACCAGTGGAGACACTCAATTAACACTATCACAGCACCTGAGTGTCGCCCCAAGGTCGGAAAGAAGCGTCGCGCTTGCAAAGACTGCACCTGCGGCCTTGCGCAACAGATCGAGGCGGAAGACGCAGCCAAGCGTGCTGAAGCTGACAGCGCCCTTGACACCATGAAACTGGGCGCTGACGACCTCGCCGAAGTCGACTTCACGGTCCAGGGCAAGGTCGGTAGCTGCGGCAATTGCGCTTTGGGAGATGCGTTCCGCTGTGATGGCTGCCCGTACATTGGACTGCCTGCGTTCAAACCAGGCGAGGAGGTCCGCCTTGTCAACAACGACGTCCAGCTGTAAATCTGCCCCCTCGCAGCCGGGTATTCGGCAAGAGAGGGATGTACGTCTTATCGGTGGAGACCATACTCCGGTGGCCTGGAGGCGGGCCATCCAGTATATACTGGAGCGTGGCAACATAGACGGAGACGAAGGTGCGCAGGCCGAAACAAGAGGGTCCGATGCTGGGGTTCCAGTGGTAAAACTGTGTGGTGGTCATGGTGCTACTCAGTGCCGCCATCTTCGCTGGTGCTCGCCTACTTCTTAAGGCCGCCGTTGACAGCCGTGGGCGGTATTATACCGTCGTGCGGGGCGAAGCTCGCCGTCTCTTCAGTTTTCAAACCCATTCAAGAGCTCGTCGGCAAGAATCCCTGGGCGAAGGTGTGCGGTACAGAAGTTGCGGGTGACCGCGGGTTGCGGGATGAGCGCATGTGCACGTATGTCGTTTGCGAGCAAGTTGCTTGGCTTTCATGGGCGCGGCTCAAGAAGATGTGGGAGTGGCGAAGGGCGAAGGGCGGTGGGCTATGTTTTGGGGCAACAGAGTCTCACGGTCTTGAAAGCTCCAGTCTCAGCTACGGCTTTCAGATTGCCATTTGAGGGTGATACGCTGCAGGGATATGGGGCTAGCGAGCGGGACGGCATCAGACACCTGCTGCTGCTACCCGCTTGCGAGTAGCTTGGTGTGGAATGTAGCTGTTGGTTTGGCTTGCGCTGTCTGGATTGTTGTGCTGTGCGTTTGGGAGGCTTGCAGGGTGTTTTGAGCCTTGGGAGCAGGAGGCACATGGGTGCATGCATGGGGTTTGACGTTTGATGTTTGTTGTTTCCTTAGAGGGAAATAGCAGTAGAGTGGATGAGACTGATAGTATCTAGTTTGCATTTACCGTTGTCAGACAATAGGTACGCTACTGCTACATGGATGATGTCTTCAGAAGGTACGGCCTGGGTATTTAATAGAACAACCGAACCTATGAAGTGTGTGCCCGTCATCAGTTGCACAGATGACCTATACTCTGCTGTCTAGCCAGAGGAAAAGTGAAAAGCGTGACGCGGTCGCGCCCCAACGACGCGCCCAGCACTTGGCAACGGCGAGGGTGCAGATCGCCCTCCACTTTATCTGCATCATCTGCATCTAGCAAACTCAGAATGCCGGCCACCAACTGAGCTCTACCCCAGACTTCCACCATAAACATGTCCGCTTCGCTCATCGGCATCGCCGTCGCCGTCACCCTCAAAGATCCTCAGCGCACCGTCGTCCACGGTCTTGTCGCCAGTGTCGTCGAGCAGACCGCAACCCTCAATCTCCAGAACGGTGTGTACCTGCTCACTACCCGGCCATTGACGCGTGCTGACCCATGCTGCAGTCCTCTTCCCGGCTACCGGCCATCGCCTGCCTGGCTTCAGCATCCCGGGCGCTCACATTGCTGACATTTCTGTCCAACCGCCTCCCTCCGCTATCCCTACGCCAGTATATCCACCAACTCAGCCTCCGCCCTTACAGCAACCTGCACACCCTCCTCCAACTCAATATGCTCCTCCGACTGCGCCCTCGGTCCCTCCGCCCGTTGCGCACGAGGCCCCGGTCCCGCAACCGGCCAGGACAACTCAACCATTCGTGGATCCTGCTATCATGAGCATTGGCAGAAGACCAACAGTCGTCTCTTCCACGCACATGACGCCGACCGTTTCTCAACAGACACATGCAGCTGCGGCTCAACCTATGGCTCCTACCGCTTCTGTCGCATCTCTACCTACGAACGTATCCTCAGTCGGGGCTGCAAAGAAGCCCTCTAGCACTGCCAAAGTCAGGAAGGACGACCCTACGGCTACGCTCACAGGCCCTTTCTCTGCGATGAATATCGAGGCTGGAGACGACCTGGAAGAGTCTGATGTCCCGACCATCAATGATACATCTGACAGGAGAGCAAGGATTCGAGCGGTCAAGGAGGCTGAGGCAGAGGCAGAGGTGCCAGTCAAAGCAACCGAAGTGGCGAAGAGGACTAGGAAAACGCGGAGTAAAAGACAGGCAAAGAAGGAACAAGAAGAAGCCGCGAATCCGGCCGCCTCTTCTCCGGAGATGTCACGCAAGACACCGGCCAATTACAAAGGAAAGGGATGGAGACAGACGCCAATCCTACAAGATCAACCCTCGACCGCTTCCCGCACACCCGGGCTCATTGGTGGAAAGGTTGGCCTGGCTGCTGTGACCGCCTCAAATCGCAAGTCGAGGAAGCAAAAAGCCATGGATGCTACCAACGGCTGGGCCACCGAGGATGCCACCGACGTGCAGGAGCTTCCAGACTTTGACTTCGCGGAAAACCTGTCCAAATTCGATAAGCGTACCGTCTTTGAGCAGATCAGAAACGAGGACACCACAGCTGATGAGGACCGTCTCGTGAGCTTCAACCGCCTTGTCCCTCGCGCCGGAACTGCTGGTGGAAAGAACCTCCACCCCACTGAGAATGTCCTTGAGGCTCGCGAACCTCGCTTCGGAAGCGAGTCGTCGAGCGAGGACGACTTCTCTGACTTCGACAGCGGCCGTAACTCGAGAAGAAATATGTCACGGACATCTTCCAAGCCTGCACCCTTCCGCAACGGCGGTGTTCAGGACGATGCTCTGCCCGCTGCTGCTCCCACCTCCATTCTCACTCGGTCAACTCGTTCACAGCACAACCGGCCCTCGGCAGTGGCTAGCGTAGCTTACTCTTCGACTAACAGCCCCGTCCCTGCGCGTCCAACTCCACCTTCATCGCCTTCTGTCTCCCTCCTTCAACAGGCCCACGCATCTTTCCGCATCGCTTCATCGAATAGCACCTGTCACACTATCACTCCGGGCACAATGACTGCCGTGGAAGAAGTTGCCGAGGTCGAGTTCGGTCTCACTGAAGAAATGATGTCCGAGAACGCCGCTCGCGGCATCGCCTCCATCGCACTGTCGGCCGTCAATCCAGGTGGCAGGCGCCTTGCCCGCGAGAACCTAACCGTCAACGCACGCCCCGTTGTGGTAGTCCTAGCAGGCAACCACCGCACCGGCGCGCGCGCCATCGCCGCAGCCCGGCACCTGCACGCGCGTGGACCCAGGGTTGTAGTCGCGCTTCTGGGTTACGACCGGCCAGCGGACTACGACAAGGACGTACGTCGGCAAGTGGATACGTTCAAACGGTTCGGGGGCTACGTGCGTGGCTGGGCCGACGTACAACGCGGCCTGAAGCGCCTGGAAGCACCTCCCGAGCTCATCATCGACGCGCTTCTGGGGCGCAACAAAGAGTTTGATGCGCTAGGACGCGAGGACCGCAACACGGCGCTGACGATAGTGGGGTGGGCGAACAAGTCGCGAGCGTCGGTGCTGGCGGTCGAGGGGCCGTCCGGGGTAGGCGGCAGCACGGGCGAGGTCAGCATCCTCGAGGGCGAGCCGCTCGAGGTGCGCGCCAAATATATAGTGTGCTTGGGGGCACCGCGGACGGGCCTGTTCCGCGCGCTGAGGTACGGCTATGTGCGCGACCCGGACTGGCTGATTTGGGTGGTGGATCTGGGGTTGAATCGGCCGTGGAAGCGCGTTGGTGGGCCGGGGGCTAAGGGCGTCAAGTTTGGGACTGAGTGGGCTGTGCAGGTCAGCTTTGAGTCTGGCGAGGGAGGGCTGGGTGATGAGGGCCCGGTGGATGGCCGGTAGGTTGGTTGGTTGGTGGGTGGCGTTGGGCTGAGACTGGGACTGGGAGTGACTGGATGAGTGAGCGCATCTGGGACCTGGGGGTAGGGGCTGCATTCATCTTCTAAGCTATTCGGACTATGGACAGAGAATACCTGGTAGCGGGGTTTGCATAGAGGTTTGCTTATGTACAATAAGACTTCAGAAAGATGGGAAGGAGGCATGGCTTCATTGTTAATCTTTTGATGGAGCAATGGGAGCTGGACAGATGTTGTTCTCGGCTTTTGCTTTTGCTGTTCATATAGAGAGCGTAGCTGGCATTGCATGAGAAAGTTTTACAGATTATTCGGATAGGGTGAGTATGGAGGGAACCAAACACCTACCTAGGGTACTCGAGTCATAGGCAGAGCCGGGTGTTCGGGTCCCGCCCAACCCTGGCTCCCATGGTCGCGACTGCTGGGGCTAAGGTGGCTATATCTTCGTCGCCGGCGACACCTTCACTCTCTCACCTTTAACCACCCACCATTGCCAACATACGCAGCAAGCTTATCAAGAAGACACTGTTACTTCCAGTCTTTTCACTATGCCAAGCCGATCTGCAACACTCATACTGTCAGCGATACAGGCCGACCTTCGCTCTTTGAGATCAACTGCTCAACAACAAGGCATCGACCTAATTACTTTGACAAATTCCGTAAACAACGGATCAACTACAATCCTTTCAAGGCTCGATGATCAGGACAAGTTACTCAAAACAACGTATGTATACCTCTTTCACCTATTCTTATAGGCTAAAAGCTAACATCTATAGGCTTTTCAATTTACAAAGCCGGCAAGACAACTCACGGCTCCAAGGAAACCTAAATGCACGGGTTTCGCCTTTGCAATCGCTAAAAACTCACCAAGCCATAGAGGGGTTTCCTGTGCGTCTACGAGACATCAACACCATGGACCATGCCCAGCTAAACCATCTATTGTGGCATTTGGAGTATCCGAGGTTGATGTTCAATACTCTCGACCAAAAAAGGCACGGATTAAGACACGCTTTGGGGATCGAGGCCTCTCCAGCAGACGAGTAGGATGGGCGCTGCGATAGGGCCAATCATGTATGGGAGCCAACGACGTCAGCCCCGCATGCCCGTGTACCACGTAGAGTATTACCACTAAACTAAACAATCAATCACCCCACATTGTCCGTTTGCGCGTGTCCCATCCTGTGCTTATGCGTGTGTTTGCGGCTCTGTGGGACTTTATATACTTGCGCATGTCCCGTCGGGCTGCGCGGTTGGGGGTGTTTGTGTGCTGTGTGCTTGGTTGCTTCGTGGGCTTGGGGGATGGCTTTGCTCTTTGCTTTGCGGCGGGAGGGGGTTTTGGGATTGAGGTAACTGTCACTGCGGACGGTGTGGTCTTTTGCACCTTCCCCAGACAATCGCCATCAGCTCGCTCAACTGCTCGTTCAGCAGCCAGTAGCTCAGCCAGTAGCCAGATCAGCCTGCTATTCCCCTTCTCTTTCACTCACTCCCAGCAGTCAGCTGCTCGCTCACAAGCTCGCTGGCCCCGCCGCTAGCAGCTCACATCGGCTAGCAGCCTGCCTGCCTTTGTCTGGCAGCCGGATTCTCGTCTGCAGCTGGTCTAACACGCAAGGCAACTAACATTCTGTCGTCCTCTCAGCGAAGCTGCCTCGTCACAGGCAACGATCGCCACTTGCGGAGTGGTTTTGATATTGTTTGGTGAGAGTTGACTTCAAACTTTCAACTCGACTCCCTCCCGTGCCTCCATCTACGTCAAGATTCTGCCAGTTACTACCGCCTTGGGGCAGCTTTCAGATGACTTAGTCAGCGTACAGGACAATAGCACCAGCTTCAACTTCCCGTCTTCAACCACTCTCTATCACAGCCCAAGAAGCAACTCGACGACAGCTTGCGTGAAGAAGTGACTCGAGCAGTGAGCCGCCCACGAAATCATCCAGGGGTTTTCGTCGAGCGGTCAATTTACCAATTAAGGCAGTCCGTTCACCGCCACCAAAACACTCGACCTGGGCAACTCCCCATTGCCCAGCCGTCCTACCGCACTCCGTCCGCCACAACATAAATCCATCCCTCGCCTCACCCCCAACAACCTCAGCAAACATGCCTCCGGCATCCAGCCAAAAGCGCGCGCGCTCGCGCTCACGCTCACGCTCACGCTCACCTCCGCGCAAACGCCCCGGCGCCACAACGCGTGTCAACCGCAATGAAAACCGGCGGCCCCACCCACTGCGAGAAGAGCGACGCGAAGAGCGCGAACGGCGGGAGTCGCCTCCACGCTCGCCGTCGCGCTCGCCTCCGCGCCAACTGAAGCGGCCCGGAAAATCAGCCCAGATCAGCCAGAGAGACCGCGAGATAGCGCGGAGGCGGCAAGAAGAGTGGGATCGCGAGAAGGAAAAGGAAGCCGCTGCCGCTGCTGCCGCTCGCGGCGTCCACGACGTCGTCAAGCAGCACTATAACGCGGTGCCGGAGCGGGGACGCGACTGGCGCAAGACGAACAGCAAGATCAAGGGCTTGCGCAGCTTCAACAACTGGATCAAGTCGACTGTGATCCAGAAGTTCTCGCCGGGCGACGAGTCCATGGGCGAGTCGCAGTATGGACAGAACATCCTCGTGCTGGACATCGGGTGCGGCAAGGGCGGCGACCTGCAGAAGTGGCAGTCGGCGCCGCGGCGCGTCGACCTGTACGTTGGCCTGGACCCGGCCGACGTGTCGATCAACCAGGCGCGCGACCGGTATAGCCAGATGCAGCGGCGGCCGCACCGCGGGCGTCCCCAGCACTTGTTCCACGCCGAGTTCTTCGCCAAGGACTGTTTCGGCGAGCCGCTGACCGACATCCCCATCATCCACGACGTGGGCTTCGACCCCAACGCGGGGCCGGACGGCGGGGGCATGAGCCAGCGGTGGGGCGGGGGCGGCTTCGACGTCGTGTCCATGATGTTCTGCATGCACTATGCGTTTGAGAACGAAGCCAAGGCCCGCACCATGCTGGGCAACGTGGCCGGCGCGCTGAAGAAAGGCGGCCGCTTCCTAGGCGTGATTCCCAACTCGGACGTGCTCACGGCCAAGGTTGAGGAGTACTACAAGAAGAACAAGAAAGCGACGACGAGCGACGACAGGCCGTCTGGCCTCGACGACGACGACGACGACGACGACTGGGACCCTGAGAAGACGCTCGACGACCCCGCAACGCAAGCAGCGCCCGACGTGTCCAAAGACGACGAAGACGGCGAAGTGAAAGAAGAAGGCCTCGAGTGGGGCAACAGCATCTACCGGGTCAAGTTCCCAGGCAAAGTGCCCGAGGACGGCGTGTTCCGGCCGCCGTTCGGGTGGAAGTACTTTTACTTTCTGGAGGAGGCGGTCGAAGAAGTCCCCGAGTACGTGGTGCCGTGGGAGGCGTTCCGCGCGCTGGCCGAGGACTTCAACCTCGAGCTGCAGTACCGCAAGCCGTTCAACGAGGTCTGGGCCGAGGAGAACGGCGACCCCGTGCTCGGGCCGCTGAGTGAGCGGATGGGTGTGAGGGGCAGGGATAGGGGCCCGCTACTTATTAGTAAGGAGGAGATGGATGCGGCCAGCTTTTATCATGCGTTTTGCTTTTATAAGGTTTAGGGCTGGTTGGGCTTGGGGTTGGGGGGGAGATGGTGGTGGATGTGGATGTGTGGGCCGACAGGTCGGCGTTTGGGCTGGGTGGATTAGGTGCGCGGATGCTGGATGAACGAAACACTAGGTACCTAAACAATGGTCGTGGGACGGGGCCTTGTCGTGAAGCTAGCTGCTTTGCTTTACTTTGACTCTACGGACGAAATACATGGATCCAATCCAGCCCTTGCGAGTCTCGAGACTACAGTACCGGATACCAGCCCGTTGAGTGCCGGACAGAGACCACTCAGTCAGTTTCTTTTCGTGCACCACCATCACCGTCGGATCGGATTCTGCTGGGGTACGTGGACGACCTAACCAAACACTCTTCCATTCTTCGCTGCCTGTCCTAGGTACCTACCTACTTCTCTACCCACCCATCCTTGATACCATACGCACAACGCTACGCACTACGCACTAACCTCCCCCCCAACCCCACCCAAATCCTCACCCTCATACCCCTCCCCCTCGACATCGACATCGACATCGACATCGACCCCCCCATCCAACCCCCCCGCGGGCCGCTTCTCCCCCGCCCGCTCCTCGCCCACCCACTGCCAGGTCAGGAACTTCCAGTTCAGCTCCGCGGGCCGCCAGAACAGGCCGTGCCCTGCCACGGCACCTACACTTATGCCGCCTCCTTCTTTCCCCTCGACCTCTGCCTTAACCTCCACACCTGCATCCGCCTCAACCTCACTCACAGCCTCAGCCTTCACGTCGGCTTTCGCCTCGGCAGCCCACTCCTCCGCCCCCAGCCCCCCGGACCGAGGCATCCGCCGTGCAAACACGCACCGCCCGAAGCGCGAGTGCAGGATCGCCATGGAGCACATGACGCACGGCTCGTGCGAGAGGTAGATCTCGAGGTCGAGGCAGAGGTAGCCTGACGGGGCGAGGGTGTTTTCTAGTGCGTCCACGGCAGCTTCGAGGGGCGTGAGGGGCGTGTCGGCGAAGATTGTGGGGACGGGGGCTGTGGGTGCGGGGGCGGGCTTCGTGGTGGGGGTGGGGGTGGTGAGGTTTAGGCGCTTTTGCGCCACCATCCCGATGGCGCGCAGCGCGGCGTGGTTCATCACGTTGCCGTTCGCGGTGCTCATGGCTGCGCCTCCAGCGCCGCTGCCCGTGCCACCATGTCCATGTGCGTGTCCGCCCTTCGCGTGCTGCCCAGCCAAATGCGCCTCGCCCAACAAGCCGCAGCGGCGCGCATCACCCGCCACAGCAACGAGCTTCCCCTCCTCGACCGCGCGGCCATTGCCATCGAGCCGTCGCTCCACGACCGCGCACCCGACGGCGGGCCCAAGGCCCCGGTCAGCAGCCTGCAGGGCGGCGCGCTGCGCGAGCGCGAGCCAGCGGCCAGCTTGGGGCTCGATTTCCGCTTGGGCGCGCGCGACGAGGCTCGGGTGCGGGCCGTGCGGATTCGTGTGCTTGTAGGCGACGGGCCAGTAGGTGGCGGACCAGGCGTCGGCTTGGGGGGCGGAGGTGGGCGCGAGGGCGGGGACGGGCAGGACGTGGATCGCGAGGGGAAAGGAGGCGGTGTTGGCGTTGTCGTCGTTGGCTGCTGGTGCAAACGGCGCGTGCCTGGCTAGCACGCCCTCGAGCTCGGCGGCTGGGATCAGCGTCGCCCGCGACACGAGCAGCAGCCGCGTCTCCCCCGAGTTTGGAGGCGGAGTGACGCGCGCGGGCGCGAGGCGGGCCAGCGCCGGCGCGGGCAGGAAGTCTGGCTTTATGACGCGGCGGAGGTGTTGCAGGTCTGCGGTAGCGGCGTCGGAGAGGGCGGTTCTGAGGACGCTGTGGAGGCGAGTTGTTAGGTCAGCTCGTCCACGACGGTGCAGGCAGAAGAGAGGGAGGGAGAGAGAAAAACGTACCTCAAAACGGCGTTCGCGGCCCTAGCCGGCAGCTCCACGACGTAGACATCGACTGCGCAACGGAGGAGCCATCAGTAAAAAAAAAGTTGATCCAGATCAGAAAGAGCGAGAGAGCGAGCACCCGTCTCATTGGTGGCGCGGATCTCGCCCTTGGTCTTCAGCGGGACGAGGCGGCCGCGCTGGGGCTCAATGGCCAGTTGGTCATTCATGTCGTGAGGGAGGGTTTTGTGAATTACGCAGCAGCGGGGTGGGGTGCGGTGGTGGGGTGTTTGCTGGCTTGGCAAACAGCCCCGATGCACGGACCCAAGGCTACTGCTGTCACCACGCGACGTCGTGCACCAGAGCACTGCGTTTGCTGCTCCATGCCTGTGCCCACAATGCCGGTATCAGATGCCGCAGTGGACATCTGGATGGGGACACTGGGAAAATGGACGAGCTGAGCGAGCTGAGCGAGCTGGTCGACTTCACATTCTGGCGCGCAGTCGCCGTCGTTGCTGTTGTTATTATGTATTTATTGTTTGCGAGATTCTTCGTCGTACAGCCATGCAAGGGAATTGAGGGTTGGCACAGCACGCTGGGGCGGGGAAGCGAAACCGGGGAGTGGCACAGCACAGCTGAGGGCTGGAATGCGGAGAGAGAGAGAGACAAGAGCATGGGACACCGCGCCGCTTTGGGCTTAACGCGTCTCGCCGCAAACGGACAATGCAAGCCAGCTGACTTGCAGCCGCGCCCATTGTCGTGCGACAGTAAGAACGGCTTTGGGACTCACCGAGTCTCGTGGTAGACGCCTTCCGATCGGAGCCGAGCGCGCGTTTTTTTTTTTTTTTTTTTTTTTTTTTTTTTTTTTTTAATTCGAGATTTTTTCTAGACTGCTTCGCTGAGAGGCTTGCCTTGGAGTCGCGCCGGCGTCGAACATATCACTCTGTGATATGCGGGTGTTTGCCGTACATACAGCCTTGCACGCGACACATGCTGGCCTGCATGCATGCAGATGCCTCGTCCCCAAATAAAGCTGCAGGACCATCCAATCTCTTTTCTCTGCCGGTGCGGCTGGGCCTCGGCTATGTCGTACTCGCTGCACAGAGGGGCACGCTTTTCGGGGAAGCAAACTTTGTTTGGTAAAAGCAAGTGGGTACTACTGATGAATAAATTTGTTGTCATCCATGTGCGGCTCTGGACTCCCCGATCACAGGCTTCCAACAGGGTGGCTGGGCCATGAGGAGCGAGGTCGCGAGTCCGTCATACGTCGCGTACCGGTTCACCTTCAGCTCCCGATACATGGATGAAGTGACAGTACCACCACCTCGACGGCGGTCAGCCAGTCAGCAGCGAGCAACACAGGAAAATGCAAAGGGCGTCAGCTGTCCGACGGACCGCTTTGGCTGGGGGGCGCCGTGCCGAACAAGCCAGACGACGGCGAGGGTCAGGATGAGAATCCTTCGGATGCAGGCTCGCAATACCTGCCAGGGCGGGCAGAGCCAGTGAGCTCGCGTACCCTGGTCGCTCGCATTTAGCCAGAAGCAGGCGATGTTACGCTGACGACTGGCTACGCCGCCAGGCTGCCGCGCACACGCCCTGCGCCGCGTTCTCGAGCTTGGCGACGTAAGCTTGACTCGGGTGGCTTGCGATGGCTAGGCAGGAATGGCATTAGCATCTGCTTCCATCAAAGACGAGAGCAGCGGGAGGCGTTGCGGACGGTTGTTGGGGCGACGTTGATGGCGCATGTGGGCGGCGGACCGTGAGTGTAGCCGGGAGCGCCCCCGTGGGGCATTAGGGCTGGGACATTGGGCCGTGGACGCGGGTGCCAGGTGACTGGAACACGATGCATCTCGTGGAGGACAGCGGCTGGCGGAAATTCTAAACAGTTCCGCGGCTCCACATGGCGAGGTCAGACCAGAGGGCGGCTCTGGACTCTCCCCGCAAGGTCCCATTATTTCCCCACTAGTCTCCACGGGGTAAAGCAGCCGATCTGGGGATGGCGCATCTCGCGCTGTCAGCCACGGGCCTGTCATGTGCAGGTGCCACTGCCTGCCAGAAAACGATGCAACCAGAATAAGCCAAGATGCTGCCTTAACACACACTCATTCACCCAACCGTGCCTGCCTGCCTTTCTTTTAAATGCCCTCCCCCCCCGCCGTCGCTGCCCTGCCCGTCGCACGCCCGCCCGCCCGCTTCCCAAACAAAACAAAAATCACCCACAGCGGTGCACCCTCAACCTACCCTAATCTCGCTCCATTGAGCACCCAAGTTGCCCACTATGTGGAAGAACACTTGGTATATCGGCAACATCTACTTCATCGCCTCCATCGCCGTCGTTGGCGGTGGTCTCTTCGGCTTTGACATTGCCTCCATGTCCGCCATCATTCCCACTGAACAGTACAAATGCTACTTCCACCAAGGCGCGGGCACATGCAAAGGCCCCAAGTCGGATGTTCAAGGCGGTATCACTGCCTCCATGCCTGGTGGTTCCTACATCGGTGCTCTGGCTTCTGGTATGTCAATTCTCGCCGACCATAACTGACTCGCTACTAACCCGGGTTGCAGGCTATCTTTCCGACAATCTTGGACGTAAGAAGGCAATCATGATCGGCAGCGTCATCTGGTAAACATTCCTCCGGCAAATTTGTGGGTTCAGCTATTGATCTTTCCGCCTATCAAACAGGTGCATTGGTTGCGTTCTCGTCGCCGCTACCAACGGCATTGCCATGCTGATTGTCGGCCGCTTCATCAACGGAGTTTGCGTCGGCATTTGCTCCGCCCAAGTCCCCGTCTACATCTCTGAGCTTGCTCCGCCCAGCAAGCGTGGTATGGTTGTCGGCGCCCAGCAATGGGCCATCACGTGGGGCATCATGATCATGTTCTACATTTCATATGTAAGTCCAGCCCAGTGCAACTCGAGGGGTTAATGTTGACCCTCGCGTAGGGTACCTCGCACGTTGATGGAACTGCTGCCTTCCGCATCCCATGGGCTATTCAAGCACTCCCTGCCATTCTTCTTTTCTTTGGAATGATCTTCCTACCCGAGTCGCCGCGTTGGCTCGCTCGCAAGGATCGCTGGGAAGAATGTCACAGCGTCCTTACATTGGTCCACGGAAAGGGTGACCCCAATAGCCGCTTCGTCTCGACTGAGTTCCAGGAGATCAAGAACACTGTCGAGTGGGAGCGCCAGAATGCCGACGTCACCTATCTGGAACTCTTTAAGCCGAAGATGATCAACCGTACGCACATTGTCATCATGACCCAGGTTTGGTCGCAGTTGACTGGCATGAACGTCATGATGTAAGTTTTCTGCTCTTGGATGGCGTTTACCCAAAGTCTGACCAATCCACCAGGTACTACATTTCGTACGTCTTTACCATGGCCGGCTTGACCAACACTCTGCTTGTCTCTTCTTCCATCCAGTATGTCATCAACGTCGTGATGACTGTCCCCGCTCTCCTGTTTGTCGACAAATGGGGACGCCGCCCAACTCTTCTGATTGGCTCCGTACTCATGATGACTTGGCTTTTCGCTGTCGCCGGCGTCATGGGCGCCCATGGCAAACCTGCTCCCCCTGGAGGTGTCAACGGCACGAAGGAAGCTTCGTGGGAAGTCAGTGGAGCTGCTTCCAAAGCAGTCATTGCCTGCTCATACCTTTTCGTTGCCTCCTACGCGCCGACCTGGGGTCCTGTCTCTTGGGTGAGTGCAGTCCCGGCGACCTGGCTACGAACCTAAGCTAATGCTGCTGTAGATCTACCCGCCGGAAGTTGTCCCGCTCCGCGTGCGCGGCAAGGCCGTTGCGCTTGCGACGTCGGCAAACTGGATCTTCAATTTCGCCCTCGCTTACGTATGTTTTCTCCTACCCCGCAGCGCATCACCCCATTCTTGTGCAACCCCAGCCTTCCCTTGCAGATCAGTGGCCTGACTGACACAACTTAAATAGTTCGTCCCACCCGCCTTCGTCAACATCCAGTGGAAGGTGTACATCATCTTCGCCGTCTTCTGTCTTGCCATGACAATCCACGTTTACTTCATGTTCCCGGAAACGGCTGGAAAGACGCTCGAGGAGGTCGAGTCCATGTTCACCGACGACGTCAACGGCATCAAGTACATCGGCATCCCGGCTTGGAAGTCGCACAAGTCCACCAGCTTCGTCAAGGCGCTCGAGCGCGGCGATGTCGAAAAGGACGGTGTCCCCGATCATCCCGATCACAGCCCCGAGCGCGTCGAGGTGGAAAAGACCAAGGAGGCTGCATGAGGCGCCGTTCACTCAGCGGGTTAAAATTGGTCTGTACAAGGTCTGGGCATTTTGTTTTTGTACTTTGAGCGAGACGGCCATATGGCGACAAAGGCGACAAGCCTTTATGAAGCCTTGGCCGGCCGCTTTTTAGCATGGTGATCGTTTGTGAGTAGTTAGACTGGAACTCCATGGTAGAGTATCCGGTTTCATACATTCACTTTAATATTCAGTGGTTTGAACTCTAGGGTTTCTTTGATTTTTGATGACTGTCGATATACCACCTACTTTTCCATCTCACTGACTCTATTTTCCTGTCCCTCACATGTTTCTCACCGGACCTCTTCATATTTCCGTCCTCTCAGTCTCGAATTTCCTCTGCACGTTCCTCATCTCTAGTTTTCCATATTCCAGTCCCTCCCAACCCTCTCCCCACCTCTCTAAATCTTCCTCTCAGCACCCTATTCCTCCCTCCCCTCTCTCCGCCTCCATCCCCCTCTCCTTCCCTCCTCGCTCCCCACAAACACAAAGGCGTCGGCAAGGGGATGCAGACGGAAAACCTCAATGTCTGCGTACCTCGTAATAGGCGCCAAGATCGACTAAGGAAATCTGTCTGATTTTTTATGCCACGCGGTGGGACCTGGTGCGCTCTTCTGCTGCTGCTGCTAAAGCTTGCTACGCTCGCAGCGCTGTCTAGACCGGGATGGTCGGGCGCTGATTGTGGGCTGCGTCTGGTTCCGCTCATGCGTCTTTGGGCGCGTGTGTTGGCTTGCATGTTTTTTTTTTTTTTTTTTTGGTTTTCTGGGTGTTTGTTTTGGGTGGGTTGATGGATAGTCGATAGGTAATTAAATCAAGGTACTGGCTGCTGCTGTATGTCGCGCTTTCTGCAGCTTTGGCATATTAGGTCTCTCTTTGAAGTCGTCTGCATCAGGTGCGGTTTGTGTGTTGATTTCTTTTTATCTCTCTCTCTATCTCTCTCTCTTTCTTGCACTGTTTAATATACTCGTCTCTTAATAGCTTAGTATAGTAAAGCATATATAGATCCCCGCCATTGTCTGCGGATGTGCGCGTTCTTCGGCTCGCGGTAGTGATGAGTATCGGTCGTACTAGTTGATAGTCGTTATCGTCATTTAGTACTGATGCTGGGCTGGCGTTGACGTGGCTCTAGACTCTAGTGGTGGTGAGAGGGCGTCTTGCTGCTATTGCGCTGAGGTGTTGTTGCTGTGCACGGCCGACAGCTTAGTATGTCGCCTCATGTTGGTGACCTCAGTTATCTTGCGATGGCAAGCCGTGATAAACTGCTTGTTGAGCTCGTGTGGTTCGAGGGTTACTTGCTGCTGTTGGTTTATTTATGTATAGTCTACTCGGGAGGATAGTGCTTACGTGATTGGTGGCAAGTATGCTGGTACCTATCGTTCTTTAATAGGAGAAGTCACTCCGGTCGTGGGGATAGGTAGTTTGACGGAGTATTAGATGTACATTTAGGTACATAGTTGTGCTGTGGTAATGCTTTTTGTAGACAACTTTGAGGGTGGGCCCTTCTAAGGCAGACGGTCTTAATAGCAGTGTTACTTAAGGTGTAGCCATTGGATCTTACAACAGCAGTGCAGTGCTTAGGTTGTTCTCAACTACAACAAAACTCCACACTGACCACTTTCCTCAGCCACCACCAACCACTCACAAAACCAGCACAGCATCGCAGGCAAACGCAGCGCGCGAAAACTAAGGTATATGATATAAACAAAAACGCAGCCGCAGCCGCACCCACGTCGCGTCGCGTCGCGCCTCGCCCTCGACTATACATCTGCGTAACGCGCGCTCACCGGGTGGGCAGCTAACTAGATAGGGAGGTATCGCAGCCTGGCAGGCAGCAGGCCCAGGCCCAATTAGGTAGTAGCGCCCCGCTTGCTCGCTCGCTCGCCCTTTCCCTCCCACACCATCACCGTCATCGTCGCCGTCGCCGTCGCCATCCCGCTAGCAAGCACAGCAGCGCTCACTCACTCACGCGCCGTGTACATATAATATCCTCTGCCCCATCTCACGACCCAACGCATAGAAGAAACAAATGCAATGCGAGCAAACCACTCGACCGCCCCACGCACCACCCTCCTCAGCTATAATACCCGTTCCCGAGCGCCACGCCGCCAATGCCCATGAACGCAGCCAGGTCGTCCAAGCCCAAAAGGTGCTGCTCGAACTGGCCGCTGTCGATTTCGACCTGGCCATCCGCGCACGGCACACCCGCGCCGGGGGGCTTGTCGTACGGCCCCGGCGGCGGCACAGTGTCGTACGGCGTCGGGGCGCTCGCATACGGGGAGGGGTAAGCCGGCGGCGGAGGCGGGGCGGCGACCGCGCCTTGTCCGTCCATTGCAGGCGGGGGCGGGCCGTTCAGCGGAGGCAGCTGCCCGTTGGGCTCGGGGTAGCGGGGAGCTGTTGCGCCGGGCGGAGGCGGCAGCGGCGTGCCTGGCCCTGTTCCGGGCGGGTGTTGCTGCTGCTGCTGCTGCTGCTGCTGCTGCTGCTGTGGTGCTGGCTGTTGGTTCTGCTGTTGGGCCGCGGCTGCGCGCCCATCCAGCACCCTCACCATTCGGCATAGCTCGAAGTACCAGCCCTCTGCCAGCGGCCAGATGTGCTGCGACTTGCGCAAGATCTCGAGGTTGGCACGCACGATGGTGAAGGACTCCTCGCGCGGCTCTGAGAGCTCTTGGATGTTCATGTAGGCGACTGTCGAGGCGGCGGTGAAGGAGGAGAAGAGGATGAAGATGGTGTAGATCTGCGAGGGTTCCGACAGGCTGGATGAGTCTAGCGTCGCGACGAGCGTCGTGATACGCTGCGCCGAGTCGAAGATCGTATTGACCGTGTGAGTTGCGTAGTCATTGTCACTATCTGCGCCCGCCCGACGGCCAATCCGATGCAGTTGGCGCCTGTTGAGGAAGATGCGGGCGCAGTGGTAGATGCAATGAGTGAAGGCGAAAGTGTGGCCGTTGCCGAGGGGAATGTGCAAATCGATTTTGCCTGGCGTGTCTTGCTGACGCGAAGGAAGTGCCTTTTGCCAATCAACGAGGTTCTTCTCAAGCTGATAGTAGGTCGAATCGTCCTGCTCGTCTTTCGGAGGGTCCAAGACCCAGGCGATAGCCTTCCGCCACAAGATAGCCACCCGGATCATGTGGCCAAACTCTCCTACATCCGACCTGGCCGCGTCCGAAGTGCTGTGGTCTGGAAGTTCGCCGTCAAGTTTGGGGACGAGCACTGCACTTCCGAAGTGAAAGTCGTCCTCGCTGCACGGGAGTGAAATGTTCATTTGTTCCTCGTGGAAGGCGGGTGGCCGTCCACTGCCATTGGAGAGAAACTGATCCATGATGAAGCATACCCAGATGCTCCTGCGGGCAGTTTCTGAAGCGACAAAGTCCGTGTCTCTCGACGTCGCCTGAGGCCAGAACATCTGGGCCATCCGGGCGGCCATGCCAAGGCAAACATACGCCCTGGTCCCCCTCCCGGAGCCCCAGAAGTACATGGCGAGGAGGCAGAGGGACTGGATGTCTGGGACGGACGGACAGTCCATGCTGGAGAAGATGGTTGCTTGGGCCTCCTTTGAAAAGTAGTCGGAAGCAGCCGATGGCGATCCGAAATGGCGCAGCAGGCCGGGCGAGCCTCTACAGCGCACGTTAGCGGCCGCGGGGCTATCGGATGGACCGGGCTGGTTACCTTGCAGAGACGGTGAGCATGGCAAAGTACAGGGCGCGCGGCAGGCTGCCCTCCTTTAGCTGCCGGATGAAGCTGGGGCGGTGAAAGCAGGGAAAGGGCCAGCGGCTGTGCTCGATGGCATGCTCGCAATCATGAGCGTAGGTGGGAGAAAGATCGAAATGCTGCTCGGGGACCAGCTGGGGAGGGAGAGGCTGGTCCATGGGCGGAGCCATGAGAGCAGCGTGAGGCGGGATATTGGCGGCGCGAGCGGCACGCGGCACCCTGCCGGGGAAAACGCACTGATGGCGGGCCTTGAGACAACTCCGGCAGGGCTGGCCATCGTCGTCGTGCAGGCACTTTGTCTTCATGCGACGACAGCGCATGCAGGCCGTGGCCGAGCGCGTGCCGGTGGCGCTCATGCTGATGGCGGGCGGGAGGTCGTGGTGTTGCCGAGCGCATGTTCGGAGGTTGATGTCTCAGGCGCTGCTAGCGGCGGGCCGGCTCGGATCGGCCTGAGGTTTTCGCCGGCCAAGCCCCGTCCTAGCTTCCATCTCCCTCACACCTTTTCCTTCCGTGACATGACTGACTTTATCCACCCGACTCCTCCCCTTCCTCCTCACTCCGTCTTCTCGCCCGCCCAGAGACGATGGATCGTCGCCATAGCATCGGTCGCGGCGTTCTACTCCCCTTTCACCGCGAATATCTATTTCCCCGCCCTCGTTGACATCGCCGCCGACCTGGCCGTCTCCTCCGAGAAGATCAACCTGTCCGTCACCACCTACATGATCTTCCAGGGCATCACCCCCACCTTCTGGGGTGCTTTGACCGACCGTAAGTGCGACTCCATGCCGCCACGCCAGAAAGCCCGCTCACCGCATCCCCAGACTCGGGAAGACGCCCCGTCTACATCTTAACCTTTACTGTGTTCATTGTCGCCTCCATCGGCTTGGCCGTGGCAAACACCTACTGGCTGGTTCTCGTGCTACGCATGCTCCAGGCCGCCGGGTCGGCCTCCGTCGTGTCCATCGGCAGCGGAACTATTTCCGATATCTCCACCCCCGCCGAACGCGCTGGCTACCAAGGTTTCTTTTCTGTAGGGCTTTACGCCGGGCCCGCCATAGGACCGTTTCTTGGTGGTGTACTGACTGGGTCGCTTGGCTGGCGATCAATCTTTTGGTTTCTGGTCATCGCGGGCGGCGTGTACACCCTCGTCCTGATATTTTTCCTCCCAGAGACAATGCGCAAGCAAGTAGGCAATGGCAGTCACCAGCCGACAGAGTGGTGGAAACTCCCTCTGATGTACACGCTCCACCTTTCCAAAAAACCTGAACCTGAAGGCCCCAAGCCATCCCCGCCCAAGGCATGGGCAAACCCACTCAGATCGCTCTTGATCCTGAAAGAAAAGGACGTCTCCGTGATTCTGCTCTTCAACGCCGTAATCTACACGTCCTACTACACCGTCACTTCCAGCACGACCCAGCTCTTCTCGAGCCACTATGGCCTTGGCAGCTTGCAAATTGGCCTCTGCTTCCTCGCCAACGGCATCGGCGCCATGTCCGGCAGCGTCGTGCGGGGCAAACTGATGGATCGCACTTACCGTATTCGGCGGGCGGAATGGAAGGAGAAACGCGCGCTCGAGTCTGATGTCACTGCGCCCGAGCAGTACGACGACAACGACCTCTCAACATTCAACGTCGAACACGCGCGCATGAGCTCCCTGCCCGCCTGGTATCTCGTAAACGTCGGCACCGTTATCGCGTACGGATGGTTCGTGCAATACAGAATCCACCTCGCCGCGCCGATCGTGATGCAGTTCTTCATTGGCATGTCGTCGACAACCATCTTTGGCATTACGAACACACTCATTCTAGACATGTTCCCTGGGAGCGCAGCCAGCGCTATCGCTACAAACAATCTGACGCGCTGCCTCTTAGGAGCTGGCGGCGTCGCACTAATCGACAGGATCCTGACATCCCTTAACGGCCCTGGCTGGACATTCACCATGATCGCATTCATCTGCCTCGCTATGTTCCCCCTGCCACTAGCAGAATGGACGTGGGGATTCCAATGGCGAACCGAGCGCACACGAAAGCTGGCCGCGAAAGCCAAAAGCGAGAAATAACAACCGTTATCATCAACCGTACAAGCACCCCACACACCAGCACACGCACCGTCTGTTCGCTAAACTCGTCTCCCTTTGTGCGGGCCAAAAAAGCAGTCGTCCGTGTTGGCGCAAGCCACGCGCCAGCGACCCGGACACCGTGGATCCCCTCCTCGTTCCCCGCCCGCCGCTGACGTACCCGGCCGCGCCGCGCTTCGGCGTGGCGCGACCGAGATCCGACGGAAATCCGACCCTCTTTATCCGATCAGCCGAGACCGCCGAGCCGATGCGCGCGTGCGTGTTTTCCCGCGTGGGCGGGCGGGTGTGAACTAGGGTTTAGCTGTGGGTTGAGGTGGGGGTGCGGCCGCTTGAGCGGTGGTGTGGCGGAGTGCTGGGGCTGTTTGAACCCGGGGCCGAATTCTGGGTCGGCGGTACGTGATGCCGTAGTAAGTACATTCATTTCTTTTTGGTATAGGGATGCACTATTGTCGATTTTGGGGTGTTGTGGTGGGTTTGGTTTACCCTGAGGGGCTGTGTATAGTTCTGGATAGCGTTGTTGTTGGTAAGATGTTTCTAACGCTTTGGTTATGAATACTCAGTAACTAGATTATAGCTCTTACAATGAATAAAGAAGAACACACCTAACAGACAATCCCAAGCACATTGCCTGAGACGAAACTACGCTCTTTCACTGAGGTTACCTTAGAGCTCATTTAGATAGCCCAAGGGACTCAGCGCCACTATATCTAAAACCCGTTCCGCAGAAACCCACTACAAAAAAACCCATCATATATGCATTTCAAACACCCGAAACCAAAACCAAACCTCCGCGCCTGCGCAGAGCTACATACAACATATGCAACAACTACGTAGTATATACACCCCAAACCCAGCGCGCACTAGTACCGAGCACGCTGCACAGCTCGCCAGCGACCCACACTGCCTACGAACAGAGACCCACGCGGTTTGCGCTCTCCCTGTAGCAGTAGCTGTAGCAGTAGTAGTAGCAGCGTCTTCCTCGCACAACACCCGCGTACATACAGCGTCCACTCACAGCCCCCGCCGCACGTACTCGCACCGCCCTGCCCACTCGTTGCCGAGGCAGTAGTAGACGTTGACGTCGTTGTCGTCGGCGACAGCGGCGGCAGCGACGGCGGTGGCGGCGGAGGAGGCAGCGCCGGGGAGCGTGACCGTGCGGATTGCTGGCGGAAGAGGCGTCGTGCTGGAGAGGGGTGTAGGCGCGAGTGTGAGTGTGGGTGCGGCGCGCGGGATGGCGGCTGCGAGGCTGCTGGCTATGATGAGAAAGAGGGGGGTTGCGTTCATTTTTTTGGTGTGGTTGTTGGGGTTGGGGCTGTGGTGGTTGGACGGGTGGGTGAGTGAGTAGTGAGTGAGTGAGTGGATGTGATGCGTACTGCGTAGCTGGCGGTGTTGATGGGTGGGTGTGAGGGTCTGAAAAGGAGGAGGGGGCTTTTGTATGGTGCGCGGAGGGGATAAAGACGTTGGTGGATGTGCTTTATTTAGGTTGGTGTGGTGGGAGGGCGCTTTGTTGAGTTTTAGGTCGCGTGTCATGAGCAGGGCTTGCTGCTTCGTGGCGTGATGGTTTTGGGGGTGGCGTTGTTGGCTTGTTGTTCTGTATGAATATAAAGTTATTGGTCTGGCGTTGGATTGCTTGAGGGTATGCCCTTGAAGTGGGCGGGGATGAAAAGGTAAGGGGGTTTTGGGGTTGAGGCGCGGTATGCTGAGGTGAGGGCTCTTGACTTGAAGTTTTTGGTTGTGCCTTTGTTTTGCCTTATTCTTATTTAATCTTATTGTTAGCCTTAAGTTTATAGCTCAGGCTTCATTGATATCTAATATTCTGTTAAAATAGGCTGATTCTATAAGTAGTAATGACGAAGTCATGTGTTGATACTTCCTAGGGATAGCTAACAATGTTCTAAATATTTTTTACGCTGAATTAGAAATCGTTCGGATGGGTATACCGATTAAAGAATTGTAGCCTTATCTGCTCAATTAACGATAACTTCTCTTCGTTAATTTTATATTTTGTTCGCTGAGATACTTTCTAATATATCTGTCAATTGTATCCATATCTCTGCGTAAACTTTTACCGATTCTACTGAAACGGAAATGATTAGAGTTGTTTAGGGTCAGTGTAAATTTTAGTGAAACACTATATATCAACTTTTCTGGCTATAATCACCAGCTTTTTTTCTCAACATTGCGGTTCTGAGAGACTTGATAGACGTCTAAATGTACTAGTAATTAGTTTCAACTATACTTATGAGCTTTGATATTATGCTAATCACTAGAGAACCCGAAGGTTAGAGTTCCACAGTTTGATGGCACGTTAGCATTTCGTTATCGAGAGAGTGCATACACTGTTCAAGCTACCGCTGGCAATCTTTATACCTACATACTACAGGCTGACGAGCATGTGAATTATTCTGTACCTTTTATTACCGTCAAAACCTGTTGAGGTCCAGTCATTATCTTGCACAAACTAAAACTCTCCTCAAGCATACGCTCACTCCAGTACCGAAATCAACCACTCAACTCTCCTCCTTCGCAACCGCCTCATCAACCGCATCCGCCATAGCGCCCATACTCCCAAACCGCCACGTCAGATCCACTCTATCCTCCAAATCCTCAATCTTACCCCCCATAGCACTCTCTTCCTCACCCGGCCCCGTGCCCCTCGCAATCCACGCGCTAGCCAGTCCCGCCCTGCCTGCCGGGACATGATCATGAAACAGACTCTGGGCGGTATGCAGAATCTCCTCTTTCTTAACCCCCAAATCGCTCCCACAGCGCTCGATCAAAAACTCGAAGTTGCGGGCCGCGGGCTTATACGACCCGATATCCTGCGCCGTGTACACGGCATCGAACGTCACGCCGGCCAGCCCGCCCGCCAGCGTCCCTGCAAACGACTCGCGGTCCACATTCGAGAGGATGACGAGCTTGTAGCGCCGCGCGAGGCGCTGCAGCGCGGGCACGGTGTCTGTGTACGCGGGCCAGGAGGCGATGGAGGCGGCGAAGGCGGCGGCGTCGCTGGCGCTGGGCGCGGGGAGCCTGAGCTCCGCTGCTAGGGCTAGATAGATCGCGGCTAGGAGGTCGCTGTAGGGGGCTGACGGGTGCGTTGTTTGCAGCTGGCTTTCTTGCGTCATGAAGGCCCGGAGGCAGGCGGCGCGTGAGCTGCGGAAGGGGTGCGTGGGTGCGAGTTGCGTGAGGAGGGGGGCTAGGGAGTTGTAGATCCCTCGCTCCCAGTCGATGAGCGTGCCGTAGCAGTCGAGTGTTAGGCAGGTGAATGCGGTTATGGGTTTCGTGCATGGCATGTTGGTTGTGCTATAGATTTGACTTGTTTGTAGCGTTCTGAGGTATAAAATAGTGTCTTCTAAAGGGAGGCGTAGGTGAGCATCACTGTCTTCTTAAATCCTATATGATATCACGGTGAGATAGAATGTCGCACTGCCAATTACGCCTGTAAGCAGAGCTCATGGTCAGCGTTGGGACTTTGAGCGGGGTATAGGGCGTGGCGTGCCTGTTGTGGCACCGTAGCAAGGAGGGGCACCAAAAACACCCCGCAACCGAGGCAGTCATCGTCACACCGCAGATACCGAATGACTTTTTAGGTAAGCCAGTCGTGCTGGTGGTCATGGGGACACTAGCTGGATACCGGAAATTAAATGTCGAGACTAATGTTTCGCGACGAGTGGTGCATGTAGGCAGACGACTTCATGGATAGCCTGGTCCAAGTGAACCAAGATGGGAACATTGCAGTAGAGGAAATGCTGTAATTATAAAAAACTAGACAGACTTCCAGAAGACCGAAATATTGTTATCGCCTCCCATACTTGTGAATCCTTACTCAACATTGAGTTGCACAACGCCCTTCTCGACCCTATCCAAGGCATCCTCCAAGATCCGCAAATCGCCCTCGCCCGCTTGAACTCCCTGCTCACCCTCCTCAATCCTTAGCTCACCACCGGCCGCCATGCCTTTCCTGAACGTCGTAGCCACTTGCCTCAGCGGATGCAGGTAGCTACCACCAATATCGTTATTCGCGTGCAGTCCATGGACATCCAAAGCCTTGTGCAGCGGCTTCGCCGAGAGCAACAAATAATAGAAATTGAGCGTGGCCAGGTAAAAGCTCAGTTCCATTTTGAACTTGGACCACGACTCAAGGAGCGAAGGCGCAGTGAGGTCGTAAGACAAGTCCGGGAAGAGGAACGGGGACACTGTAGCCAGCGCAACGGGTGTGCTGAAAATAGACTGGTTGGTGTCCGGTTCTGTTGATGCCGTTGAGACATTTCGAGAATGTCCGCGGCTACCTGACGATGACCCTGGTACTGGTGCAGGTGCTGGTTGGGCAGCGGAGAGAAGCTTCATATTGGCTTCGACGGTTTCGCCCTTTAACCAACCCACGGCACTGGCCTTGAGATTCTCGTAAGGGCAATGCTCAAGGGTGTCGCGGATGAATGAAAGGCGGACAATGTCGGAGGGATGAGAGCGGAGGACCGTGGAAGTAAGATAGTGTGCGTGATAGCGGAGAGTGGGAGAAGGACTGTTGGCTGAGAGCAGCGATGTAGTCTGCAAATACTTGGCAAAGTATTCATCATCTGCGGGTTCACCGACCATGTTCTTCTCAATGGCAAGGATGCCCAATGTGAGAAGAGTGTCAATCAGTGCCTCAGGCTCTGTGCCAATGTTCCCCGGCGTCATGCTAAGGAAATTCTCCATGATAGTCGCATGCTCAGGAAAGATATAAAGGTCCTGAGCATCCAGAGGCAAATTGTAGAGAACCTCGCTTATCTTACGAGCAGTGAACAAGAAGAGAGACCCTGTCTTGGACAGCGGAATGTCGTCTGCCGTTGATGGAGGCTCGTCTTCTTCCGATGGCAACCCATTAGGTTCCGGCTTCGTGTCAGTGATTGCTGCATATAGATCTTCAGACGGTATATCAAGATCACGGGCAAGAGCGGCAAGCTGTCCCACAATGCCTGACCTTTCCACCAAAGGTTCGTCCTCGTTGAAGCGCTCCGCATACGTCATTTTGTTGGGAATTTTCCTCTCCGGATGGAGTTTTTCATGTACACGAGCCGTCCAGGCAAGCGCGGGAACATCCTCGGGCGAGGAAAGAGAAAGCATATAATCTTCCAAGATATGAGTGAGGAAGGACTGCAGGAGCTTGTTCTGTAACTCATCATCCCCCTGCGATGTCGGTTCCTTGGACGCTTCCGGATCTGCCGCAATCTCAGGCAAAGTAGCTTTGGCAAAAGAAAAGCTGCTCGTTCTTGGCGGCAAATGCGGTCGTTTCGTGCCTGACAATGTCTTCACTAACTTTGTCACTGCCGGTGTAAGGTTGGTTGCATATGGCCCAGCCTCGCTATAGCTGCTTAAGACAGCCTGGAGAGAAGTTGACAGAAACCGACTTGGGTACTTTGTTCTGATGCGCGGATGTAACACAGCAAGCATAGAAAGAAGCGCTTCAAATTGTAAGATCGGAAGAGGTGTCTTCGGATCTTTATCATCGGCTTTGCTGGTCACGGAATCTTGTGCCTTGCTCTTCACAGACTCGTCATCTGACACGATGGCGCTGTCGCCAGCAAGCGGGTGGGTCTCTTCCTCTTCATCTTGGTCGATGCTCTCAAAGTCAAGAAGCCTCAAAGATTCCGTGACTTTGAGAACCACTTCCCGCGGGTTGCCCAGCCTTGCGATGTCCTGCAGGCATTGCTCGGAAGCCGGTAACAGCGGAAGCAGTAGATGGACCAGATCCCAGCCAATGTTGGTGGTAAGCTCGGGATCCTGAAGAACCGTGTGTAACGTGGGGAGCAGCTCTGGTGTCAGGTTATGCTCTACCAGGGTAAGGTATGTGAGGTGGTCCATGACGGGCGGACGCCCCGCGATGAAGGGATGCTCTTCTTCGGTCATATTGCGCGTCGCGACGAAGGTGGTGGAGATAGGGAGAGAGTTGCAGTTACGCGCAAAGTGGCCGGAGATGATCCTGGATTCGCGATGGCAACGATCAGCTCTGGGGAGGGAGTTATTAGTAACCTGCCTGCGCGACTATGTGAAACACGCGGAGCGTCATCATCGTGGCGTTTCACCCAAGCACTGCAGCCGGGGGATCACGTGCATGCTGTCATGTTCGGTTCGACAGTCTTCTGCAATAGGCCAGCGGGAACACGAAAATCAAGGAGCTTGGATTCTCGCGAAGACGCGTTCGGGTCAAGAGTTTGTCTCACTCAATAACCGCAGAGCAGCAACCGTGATCTTCATAGTTCCCGTCACTGCCCGCATCGCGGAAGCAGGTGACTAGTGTCTTGGCATCAACGTCCCGAGCAACGGCGCGGGCAACATCACTGCCAACGATCTACCCCGGCAAACCCACCCTTCCCGACCCGAACTCACAATTCTAGCCTGCCATGGCTGACGTCGACGACACCGCGACCGCGCCGGTCAACGAACCGCTCGACCTCGTCCGCCTGTGCCTCGATGAGGTCGTCTTCGTCAAGCTCAGAGGTGACCGCGAGCTGAAGGGCCGCCTGCACGTAAGTGCGCGAGCGCGTAGCGCACATTGGCATACCGCGGGAGCATGAGGAGCTGATGATGGTGTGGACAGGCGTACGACAGCCACTGCAATGTGGTGCTGGGCGATGTGGAAGAGACCATCTACGTGGTAGAAGAAGACGAGAACGAGGAGGAAGTCGTGAGGGTCAGCGCAACATGCCCGGAATACCGGCTACACGATGGCTAACTGTTGGGCAGACGGTCAAGAAGCAGTCCGAAATGCTCTTCGTCAGAGGTATGGACGCTGGTGTCATGGCACTCGACTAGATGAGCATGCGCTGACTGAATTGTAGGCGACTCCGTTGTACTGATTTCGCCTTCGGCCCCTTCGTAACGAAACAACGGCACGAATCTGTTTGATATGATATCATTGGTCATGGGCAAGGGGAGGAACGTGAAGAGAATCGTCGGGATTGCCATATCCGAACTGGAGGGAATCAAGTAGCATGGGATCGGATCTGCTTGCGCATCCATATTCCATGCATGACGTTGAACTGAGCATGGGCGCTAAGCTCCTGAAAGACAGTTTGGTTGGTTTGATGCCTCAGGCACATGTTGCCTCAAAAGGGAAAGCGCCACCAACAGAACAGATTAAATGAGATACTCCGTCATTGGTGGAGCCCCGTGATATACACGAGGGCCTCCTGCTATCGGCATGCAAGAGACCAGTTTCACATTCATGGATTACCTCGTACTCGCGTTGGATGCTCATGCCCATCCCCGGGAGAACAGTCATAAGCCTACCACTATAATCAACTGCGGCCCAATCTGCAAATAGATACGTCAAGTCACATCACATGTTACGCAAAGTGCCTCAGAAGTGATTGGATGTGATGGTTACCCTGACAACGAATGTAGGTAGCAAGGGACAACCCGTCGGTCACGCGCCACATGCCAAAAGCAGACGGAGCACGGTTTCAGCTTGGATAAATCTGTTTGAGAACTGCTGGGTGAATCTACCACTATTTGCGGCGCCTATCCGGTATAAAGCCTGACCATGACACAAACCTATCGGTGAATGTCCCATTAACGCCAATACTTCAGGAGTCCGCAGTCTCTACCGCCCATAAAGCTACAGAAAAAACTTGTGTTGAGAAGCACTGGAGTTGCTGCATAAAGTCGGAAAAAGGGGAATTATGGGTTCGTTTCGTCGTGGCATCGTGAACCCAATATCGCCCACTGTACAACGCATTACGCGTGGAAAAGAAGGAGACAGAGGGTGGGGGAATCTGTGAAGCAAGGGGTCTCTTGAAAGGGCAAGTCGCATGTTCAAGAAAAGCAAATCAAATTCCAAAAGGGGCAAAAAGAAAGTCCAAAGCAAGCCTCATGCCCATCCTGGGACGCGCTTGCTAGCGTGGCAAGACTCACATGCGACGCCAGGTGGAACTGTAGCCGATCGAGCTGGCACAATCGCGAGAAATCGACGGCAGTTGGAAGCCCTTGTGGAGCTCCGTTTCGACAAAGAGCGAGGCACGCTTGTATCGCTTGTCGGAGTACTTGTCGTAGACGGCAGCATGATGCTTCTGAGGCTGTTCACTGCACTCCAGAATAACTGAGACGAGGGGACGAAGCTGAGAATAGGTGTAACCGGAGTAATGCACGTGGGCAGGGCTCTGTTAATTATCAGCATAATGTCCTCTTGTGCACATCATGTAGACTTACCCAGTCGCCCTTCTTCAGCATGAAACGAGCCAGACAGTGTGCTCCCGCAGCAGTGAAGCTCGGGGTGCATCCGACGAAGCGCTCATCCATAATCGTAATTTCCAGGAAATACTTGGCCAGAGTACGTGTCTCCAAGTCGTAGTCGTCAGCCTTGCTAATCCTCCGAAGGAAGCTCATCGGACCCGGCCAGCCAAGTTCGAATTGGAGCATGCTCAGCATGAAACGCTCCGCCTTGAGGATTTCATCCACGGTGTATCCGCCGTCAACCATGTAAACGATCTCCGAGACCGAAGGGCAATTGATTTCCTCGTACTTCGCGGCGACAAAGATAGCAGTGGCACCAACGAGCTGAAGCTTACCGAGAGATACGACTTTGCAGGACAAGAAACGATCCACGTAGTTAACCGCGAGGAAGAGAGTCTCCGGTAGAAGAGTGAAACGGTGATGAACCTGGACAAGCCAGTCCATGAGAACAGAGCGCATGGACCACTGGATTTCGGCCTGGTTGTCCATATAGAAGGGGTTGGGCTTCATCCTTTCCTGCGCTTACGATTAGCATAGTGACTTTGCGAAGAACAGGCGTATACGAACCTCAAGCGCTCTCATGTACTCAAAGATTTCGTCACCGTACTCCGCAACCATTGACGTATCCCAGACCTCATCCTCGATATCCTCGGCCGTCTTGTTGTCCTCAACCCACTGCCTAGCAGCTTCAAGCTCCGCTCTAGTACGTGCCGTGACTCTAGGAGCAAGGACCACGGTGACACCACCAGTCGTGGTGTCTGCTCTAGGCCGCAAAGACCTAGTCGTAGTGTAGCCAGTGTATCCATCCGCGTCGTAGTAGTCTTCGTCCTCTTCGTCGTAGTAATCCTCGTACTTGTCCAATTCGGCCACAGCAAGGAGATCTTTCGCTGACAGAAGTTCCACCTGGTGGCGTTCAACATCTTGTGTCTTTTGTTCCGGAAGTTCAACCTGTTCATGGCCAGTGGCGTGCTTAGGTTCTTTGCGAGACAGAGGGTCAGCAGCTTGCGTAACAGGGTGACCATAATTTTCCTCGGCAACGACGGCAGTCTGAAGACTAGTAGTAGACTCCTCACGAGGCACAGAAGGCGCATGTTCTTCGATCGTCTCCTCGGCGATTGTTTCCACCTGAGTCATGCGTTCAGCCGGGGGAGAAAGCTCAGGAGCGGTGTTGCTTCTTTCGCGACGTGTAGAGTGGGGCTTCTGGACAGGGGCGAGGGGTTCCTTGGATGGCTTGACCTCGACGGGCGCAGGCTCTCGGAAAATGGCAGTGCTGCGCTTAGCAGTGATCTTCTTGGCCTGGACGGGTTGCGCGACGGGCTCAGGGACGTTTTCTTTCGAGTTGTCGGTTTGGTGAGGGATCTTTTGGGAGGCGGTGGAGTTGGGACGTTGGGCCGGGCGGAGGATGGTGGAAGACTTTGAGATCTCAAGCGTGGCATCTTTCTTCATGCCTTTTCCACTAACGGCAAGATCGTCCTTCACCGGATGTTGGACGCGCGAAGTGTTGCTGACATCGGCGAAAGCAGTGCGCTTGGCAGCGGCCTTGAGGGCGCCGTTCTGCATGAGCGAGGAGAGGGCGGGAGTGGACTTGTTACGCTGGTGAATGGTTTTGGCCTGGACAGCAGGTGGAGCGTTCTCATCGCGGACACGCAGCGCGCGCAGTGGACGTTGAGGCTATAAGGGAAATGGTCAGTTAAAGGACCGATCAGGATGGCGCAACTGGGGGTGAGTCGCAACGAGTCATGGGCGGCGTGACTTGGTAGGCGGTCGGCAGAGGAGGTCGGAGGGGGGCCCGCTCATGTGGCCACTGGCCAGGCCGCAGCAGACACAGACACTTTGGCGGACGGAAGATGGACGTACCTTGGCATCCATGGTACCTAGCAGCGGGGGAGTTGTCGAGGGTACAGTGGCTTTTGCGCGGCGATCCTGCGATTAAAAAACAACAACAACGGCCGAGCGTCGTCGAGGGCGCGGGCGGACGGGGGTTGGGGGGCAAGCTAGAGCATGTATAAAAAAGGTGCTCTGGCTAAAAGGCGTTGCTGGGGAACAATGAGAGGATGGCGGGATGGAGGAATGGGAAAGACAACTCCAGTGTTTTGAAAGCGCGAACCACGGCCAGCGCAAGAAGGTCTGTGTAAACAGACGGCGGTGTACCGGGATCAGGGATCATGCTGCGCTGGGCGGCGGCCGCGGCGGCTGGATTTCCCCGGGGCCGGGGCCGCCGCACCAACGTCACTTCCTCGCCGCGCCATCGCGTCCGCCGCGCCCGCCCTCGACCAGCTCAAAGCCCACCAACGTCCTCGCCGCGAGTCGAATGCCCTCGCCGACCCGCCTGCGCTTGTCGCGCGCCCCCCAAGGCCCAAGCCCGCTTCGTCCCGCGCCCCAGATCGCCCAGCCTACCTGAAACGCTGCCCGCCTCCCCCCAGCAACCTGCCGATGCGTGCGCGATGCGAAAAAACGTGACATGCCTCGATCAATGCCCTCTTGGCCCCCCCCCCGCCAGCTCCGCCCACAATCCCTCGCGCCGCCATCCTGCCTGTCTGCCTGGCCTTGCGCAAGCGGTTGCACCATGCTGGCGCATCTCGAAACGCGCCCTCGATGTGCCAACAATGCTGCCCCACACCTGAGCCTATCAGCTAGGTTTGGACGCCTCCGCTTAAAACTCACCATCTGCAAGCGCGCCCGACCTCGTGCTTTGCGACTTTAATCGCGCCGCTCTCCGCTGCGCCGCTCTTCCCTCGGTCCATCGCCCATCGCCCATCGCCTATCTCTTTTTTTTTATATGTCCAAGATGCGATGCGATGCGATGCGATGCGCTGCGCTGCCTGCCTGCTCAGGGTCTTGCCTGCGTGCCTGCCTCTCGGGACAAGACGGCAGCGCCGCTGATCTGCGCATTGCGCCCCCCCTCAGCACCAGTCGGCCTGGTCGCGCCCATCATGAGGATACGTAGCTGCCACAGTGCCAGTGACTACAATCCATACCCTCCTCGGGGCCACCCGCCCTCGACGCCCCCCGGGGTGGCTACTGCGACAAGATATATGGATACTCCGCCGTGTGCGCAATGAATGTTGTCGAGGAAACCGGGGTCGCATCATCATCGCCTGTTCCCAGGCTTCCGGCCTAATTGCGGAGAGACAGCACTTGGGCCGCTCGTCGCGATCTGCCAAGTTGCAGCTGCAAGAATGCTAACTCGGCAATCCTTTAAGAGAATGGTCTCGCCGGCACCGTAGTCCAGGTCGCCTCCTCATGCTTTGTTTGCTTCACCGGACGGATCCACTGCTGAGTCGCTGTACGGCGGCCAGCCATGCCGTTGTGGAGCAGCAGACAGCGGAACCCCAGGGCCGCTCTGGGGGCGCAGCGCCACGTCGGTCATCTAGAAAAGACCCCTCAAACGAATCTCTGTGTGTATGCGACCGCATTAGACATGCTCTGGGGCATGTTGGACGATCTGATGTTGAAGCGCATGTTGGTGTAGTCGGAACTGGGGAGCGCGCTCGATTGTGCGATCTTCCCCCGACGCCCGCAACATATCTGCGGCACCCTATGTCATTGGCCGCGCGGAAGCCAGAATACACACGCCTGTTCGCTCATCCTGCGTTTCTCGTAACGACGGAGCGTGTCCGGCCTGCATTAGTTGTTCACCTGCGGGCTGGACCGATGCGCTGCGCTCGAGAACTCTGGCTTCGACCCTCTGCTCCACCGGCACGTATGCGCCTTTGCTGCTCCTAGGAGCCCTGGCTTGCTTTAGCTGCCCTGTCGCCTTTGCCCGTGCTGCGTATCTTCAGGCCAAGTAGTGGTCGGCAGGCTAGTCTAAACTTTAGATACCGTGAGGGCCGTCAGCGGCATCCGAATATCTGACGAGGGGGGCTTGCGCGCAATATCATGGACGGTTCATGGCCAACATGACGGCAGTATTTCAGTTCGAATGCAGACAGAAATGCTTCGCGACATCGAGATTCATCATTTGCGCTCGTAATGCATGTCTCTGTGTCTTGGAGACTACCGTCTGCCTCTTCAGGGTGTCGCATCGCGCCGCGTCACGTTACGTATGGGCCGCACCAAGTAGGCTGCATTCGAGGTGCAATTGGACCAGAAGTGGATCGCATACATCCAATAAACATATTCCATAGTACATGCCTGCTTCCTTGTGTTCGTGGTGCGTTGTTGAGCGGCATAAGTCGACCCATCCGGGCCGCCTGACACTCGCTAGTTAAGAGTCGCTGTCACTCACACATCCTCCTCTCCGACCTGACCTCCCATTCTCCGCTACCCTCCCCTCCCAAAGCCGCAGCCCCCCAGGTAAGTTGACCGAGGCTTTCGCCGTATGCCTAGAAGCACCCTAAGCATATTACTAGCGCCCTGCCGCCAACACTCGCTCATAACGACCCAGCAGAACCTGACCCTATCGGTGTGCCACAGACGACGAACCGGCGCTTGACGGAACTCCTTCAACGTCAACACCCCGACCCCATCACACGTCGAACGGTATGTCTTTGCTTTCACAAACTATATGCGACCGTATCTCCATGCCTCTGGCACGACAGAGCTTTTAAATTCGGCCGAGTCTGAGGCCCGCTCGTCACTGACCTGGGCCTCCGCCCTTGGATCCCCTCAACCGTCTAACGCCAACGACTACCATCCACAGCCCATCCATGGCATCAATATACTCGGCGATGCCGATGAAACACCTAGAACACATCCAACTGACGCTTGTCGCGGTTTAGGCACTTGTCGTCCTTTGACCGCTTCTCCGCCACGACCCCTCTCTCCTCCTTGCGACGTCGGCCGGTTCGCTCCTCCATACTTCTCTACAAATAAACACAAGTTGGCTTCGGCTCTGGGCGATCCGAAGCAAAGCCTCCATACCCGCTGTATTGACTGGGTACACTTGGTATGGAAGTTTCCAACCTCTTGACCGACTCCATCACGAACCAGAGCCGCCACGCCGATACCACCAACTACCCCGTGCAAGCACCGCAACAGCCCACGACGGAGAACCGATTCGGCGCGAACACGACCGCAATGGGTTCCACATACCAGAGCACTACGGTCGCTGAAGGCGCACCGACCGCGAACTTGTGGTTGCAGTCGCACTCTCCGAACAATGCCAAACCTAAGCACGTCAGCTTTGAACTTCTTTTACAAGACACCCCACAGCACCGTGCGCGCCTTCCGATGCGCGTTAACATTTGGCCCCACGACACGACTGAGTCGATCGTTGCGACCGTCAAGAACTTCCACGGCATCTATGATGGCCAGGGCTACGGGGTCAGCTTCGAAGACCGCGATGGCAATACACTCATTGCGAGGTATGAGAACTTTGAGCACAACATGGTCGTGTACGTCCGGAGAATACCACAGGAGCCTACGGGTACCAGTGAGTACAGCCATACGCCACGCCACTCCATGTCGCCCAGGAAGTCTCATTACGACGACCGGATGCTCCCTCCACAGCAACTATCTAGGCCCTCTTCGCGCGGCGCGCGAAACCGTAGTGCATCGCCGCGTGGTCGCCGAAGTGTCTCTGTGAGCACCAACTCTAAGTCACGTTCGCGACCGAGTTTCAAGGGCCGGGCGACCAGCTCCCACGGCAGCCTTGGAGACATGACAGGCGACTATAGCGATAGCGACGGTGAGGGATCAGTCACGAGCTCGCGCAGAGACAACTTGGCCAGCGCGGAGATCAGCCTCGACAACATCGTCGAGGGCGGTCGTCGAAAGCGGGCCAAATTCGACAGCTCGGTAAGCTCGACCACAGTCTTCTGCAAGGTTCCTACTGCTCTAACATGGCTACTTAAAATCAGGAGCTGCCTTTGTTCGCACCTCCTCAAGTACCCATGACAAACCCGGTCCCCTCCGTTTCCCCCCATCGCCGCATCAACAGCAACAATGGAGTGTCGCCCTTTACGTACTCAAACCAGCAAACTTTCTCATACACACATCCTTTGCCTTCGCCTCAAAGCCATGGCCAAGTTGATATCTCATACATGCAGGGTATGCCAATGGGCACTCCTTACGCTGTTTCTAGCGGGCACCCGCACGGACACAGGCTGCGTACACGTGGCAGTGGTCCAGGCCAGCCGTCCAGGCAATCATACGGCTACAGCGGAGCGTTCCCGACACCCGACCCCACGGTCGGGGGCAGTGTTATTTCGGATGAGGATGTCGCGCTCCAGTTGATGCGCCTTGGTGATGCCTCCAACTTTTCTTCGGTCGGTCGCACATCAACCTCTACCCTTGATGATGCTCTGAGCGGCAAGGCTGAGGTGGCTTCATCCGACGAAGCGAGCGAGGACTGCAGTGAGGACGATCTCCCCCACTACCATGGACCGTTGCAGCCCGCTGGGAGGCTGCCTGACCATGAGCTTCCCCGCAGCTATGACAGTGGCGAGGACAGCGGTGATGACTACGAGGACAACAGAGACGACTCGTTCAAGGATGAGAGCGATGAGCTCATGCCTGATGAGAATGGTATTGTCACGTCCAAGGTCCCGAAGGTCAAGCACCGCGCCGAGTCTACCATTTCGAAGACCTTCAAGGTCTCGAAGCCTCGTGCTCACAACAACCCCAAGAGCAAGACCAAGACTGTCAACACTGCTAAGCCTCCAATTTCTCCCACATCGCTTCCTTCAATCTCTCGCAAGACGTCGAGTGCCTCTCTTACCATGCAGCAATTCGGTGCGGACGAGGAAGATTTGTCGACCAAGCCTCGTTGCCAACGCTGCCGGAAGAGCAAGAAGGGCTGCGATCGTCAGCGCCCTTGCCAGCGTTGCAAGGACGCAGGTATCGGTATTGAAGGATGCGTTAGCGAAGACGAGGGCAATGGCAGGAAGGGCCGCTATGGCCGTCATATGGGTGTTCCTGTTAAGAAAACAGTGCCTGAGGTTCCCGCCTTTCCAGATGGGCCCACTGCGGTTCTTGGTGGTGTAGTTGGTTACAGCTCTTTCGCAGCCGCCGCCGACAAGAGCAAGAAGCGCAAAAGATAGTTTATCGCTGAGGATTTCGTTTAGCGGGCTCTAAAAGCCTTCAGGATTTTGGTTTATGGCGCTGGAGTAACGGCGGTTGGGCGGATCCTCGTGGTTTTGACAGCACAGCGAGTTTTTTCCAGCGGCTTTTGAAAGCTTCGTTCCTTACAGTTCCCTTGTACTTTCTTCCGGAGAGTACGTCCTTCGGCACCATCGCCTCGTTCTGCGTGTTTCACCGTTACGGAGCGAAAAAGGAGGAATGTCGCTATGGAGTTCAACACATATCTTGCGGACCTCCAACTACAGAATTGTCCTCTACCGTTCCTTCAAAACCGCCAACCTTTGACAGCCAGAGTTCCCTCGACCTCGACCCTGATCTCTTGGATAGGGGCGTGGTACCAACTCTTCTCAAACATTGTCTTCTCGAGAGTTCTTCGTTATCTATCTATTACACTATCAAGCATCCTCCAAGAAGCCGATTGCGCTTATGCCTAGCAGCCCCCACACCCGAGTGGTTGTAGTCACTCAGCCCAATCCTTTGCGCTTTGTTTCACGGATTTTGACGATTGCTGAAAACGATTGATGGCACGCGGGAAACAGACAGGGCAGAGAAAGGATAATTTGGCGGAGAGCGAAAAGGTTTCTCTTTTCTTCTTTCCCTTTAATGTGTGTTCATCCAGGCGAAGGAAGGCTCAAAGGTGTTGGGACTCTTTTTCTTTTTCTGGAGGTTCGTGTAGCTCAGCCTACAACCAGAGGAAAAAAAAAAAAAAAAAAAAAAAAAACTTAAATTCAATGTGCGCGCCTCTGGCATGCTGGTGATGTTGAGTGAGTGAATGAGGGGTATTGGTACAGCGTGTATGTACACGTGAGGGCAAGCGAGGTTACATCCAGGACGGGCTGGCCGATGACGGGTCCCTCTTTGCCCCTCCCGTATCATGGAAGTCTGGCCACTTTTTTCTGGTTGACACTGAGCAAAAGTCTTTCGACGACTTGCTGCAAACATCTGGCGCTGGCAGCGGCTAGCCGGGTGCCGAAGTTGCTATTTCAGGTAGTGTCCAGGGTCGCTTCGTTAGGCTCCAGTGGCAGCCTCGTGCCACTTGCTCGTAACGGAGAGGCAATACATCATTTAACTGCTGTGCCCTCACGCTCGCTCCAGCTGCGCCGACTAATTTCCCTCTGTCTCGTCCAGCCTCGCTTTCACTCCCTCAATTTTCGCCGACAGCGCAGCTATAACCAGTCATTATCGATTTTCCCGACCCGCAAGCTTATGCTTCTTACCTAGGTACATAGGACCCACCACCGCCATGGCCGACGAGCCAGCCGTCCCGTCGCTCAAAGCCCGCATTGCTGCCCTCAACCTACAACCAAATGCTGGAGTCCTGCCCCCGAGCTACGGTCAAGCCATAGGCGCAAAGAAACGTCCTCCCCCTCCGCCTTCGGCTCCCCCGCCCCGCCTCTCCTATGATGCTCGCAGCGAGAGCACCAACAACCCTCCGCTCCAGGACAATGGACCAACTACTGCAAGAGGCATTGGCAATCTGCCTATGGAGGCCGAGAACCAGCGACGCATTCTTCCGCCTCCCACCATAAGTCGCCCGAACGACGCGCCAGCATTACCGGCTAGACCTCCACTTCCACCGAGACCGGCTTCTATGCAGAAGAGCCCTGCGCTGCCACCACGCCGCCCCTCAGGACAGAGCATACAGAGGAAAGAGAGTCAGGAATCAATTTCTACAGTCGCTTCGGGGCGCTCAACCTTCTCCGCACGGTCTGGTGGTACAAGCCTGAGCGGGGTATCAGAGTCGCATGGGAACAGAATGAAAGCGCCGCCTTTTGATCCCTCGACGCTACCCAAACTACCGCCCAAGAAGAGCAGGGCAGAGAAAGATGCGGATCTTCATTCAGTTCGGTCGAAATACTTGAACAAGTCTAATGGCTCGACATCACCTCAGCCACCAAGTCTGCCCGCCAGACCAGCTCTTCCTAACAGACCGAACACCGTGAGCTCCGCCATGACACCCAGGCCAAGACGTTCTGCGCTCGAATGGGGAATGAACAAGGACACAGAGCAGTCCCCTCCTCTTCCAACCCGTCCTGGTCAGACGATTGTAGAGGAACCCCCGCCTCTTCCAATGTCTTCGAAACCTGACCTTTCCGCGTTGCAAGCCAGCAAACCGCAACCAACAGCGCAAAAGCCCTGCCTCAAGTGCCGAGATTTCCGAGCGGTCGATGCACATGCAGCTCGTTTCCCGCGCGAGGCTATACCATCGCATGATCTGGGCTGGCTGGCTCACCAGCTGACTGATCCCTTCCCGTCATTGACTGACAAAGCCCGAGCTATATTCAGCTGGCTTCATCATAATATCGATTACAACACACGCGACTTCTTTGCCAACAATGTCAAGGGCTCGACTCCCGCCAGTACTATTGCCACTGGTCTTGCTGTTTGTGAAGGCTATGCCGCTCTTTTTTCCGCCCTCGCTTCTCAAGTCGGACTCGAAAGTGTTGTCATTGGTGGTCATGGTAAAGGGTTCGGCCATGCGACTCTTTCTCCGGGCTCACCTGTGCCGCCTTTCGGTTGTGGGCACGCTTGGAATGCCGTGCGCATTGATGACGGCGAATGGAAGCTGATCGACTGCTGCTGGGGTGCCGGTTATATCGACGGGGGCAGCCGTTCGTACACCAGGGCCTTCAAACCCGCCTACTTTAACATGGATAACAACGAGTTTGGGCTCAAACACTTCCCAGAAAACAACCGCTACTTTTTCAGGACCGACGGGCGGGTTATTACGTGGGAAGAATACATCATGGCACCACCAGGGGCGGAAGTGTACGGCTTCGCCGAAGACCAGGGCATCAAGCAGACGTCGTTCCAGCCCAACGTCCGCGAAATCCGCATCTACGACCCGAGCCCCACGGCGCCGCCGATCATCCGCTTCCAGTTCGAGACGGTGTGTCCGCACTACAATCCCGAGGCGCTGGGCAAGGGCAAGCCGTACATGTACTTTTTGTGCGTCGAGGGCCGGGATGGTCGCAACAAGCAGTTCCTCCCGTTTGAGACGAACGGACAGTTCTGGTGGTTGGATGTCCAGCGCATGGAGCTGGGCGCGCCGGGGCAGAAGATCATGATTGCGGCGGGAACGAAGTGGAAGGATGGCGGAGATGGGAGTGGGAAGGGTGTTACAAGGCAAATGTATGAGATGGATAAGTACGGGTTTAGGTATTATGATGGAGTTTGTACTTGGAGTTTGGGTTGAGTGGGTGTAAGAATGTGGTGATGCATAGTAGCTTGTTTGGTTGTTTTGTGGATGAGTTATACCCGAGCTTTGTATGTAGCTATTGGTCTTTTTAGCAATTGGTGTTTTGGCACTTGCTTGGTCTCTTTGTCATTTAGGCGCTTGTTGGTCTAATGAGCATGTTGTGTTGATCGTTGTGAATGGAAACATTGTTATTCATCCCCATAGTAAGCGGCACTCCGCAGAAGATAAAGCATGCCCAATCGCTTTGCATTTAGACGTTGAAGATACTCCAGGCATGCCTACATGCTCCTGTAAATAGTAGATGAAACCTCTCCCTATGAACTACTTCCTATGTAGACCTAGATCTTACGTTTGTAGCTGATTTTTTCTTCATGAGGGTATGTAGATTGTAACAATGTCTCTCCCCCTCCGACCCGTGGTATACTTCCTTAGTAGAGGGTTTCCGACGCGCAACTAGTTACGATTTTTGAGCCAGTCAGCAGCTTCCAACTATCAAGGCTAGCATTGGCTGTTTATGATAAACCTCGTTCCTAGAAACTCCAGTGATTAGCCACTTAGTGGGCGTTTCTCATGATATCCAGTTCGGAATGCAGAGCAGAGACACATAGTTTCAAACCATTGAAATAAGTGAAAGAATAAAAATCACACACTCCACAATGGTTGTAAAGGCCATTCCGACTTACGCTTCTAATCTTTGCAAGGTTACGGCCTAAGACATGAAACGATGCGGCCGCAACGGAGTAGCAGGGTACGTATGACGTATTCTCGATGGGATATTGGCGATGCTGGTGCCCGAGAATCCGAGCAGATGGAATTGGCGAAATCGCGTGGATAAACTAGAAAACAGCAGTCCCTTCCGAGCAAACATCTTATGCGTCTAGACAAACTTAGGGTAACTGGCACACAGCATCCAGCTGTAGCACCCCACTAAGACGACAACCAGCGCGATTAGCTGCTTTTCGCAGGCTGTTTGCCGTACAGCATAAAAGTCGTGCTGTCGATTGCTGACGGCGGGAAGTTGCGTCGTCAGCCAAGTTTCCAATCTTCGCAGTATAACCGGTGATAGCGGCATAATTAGATCCCAATATATTTAATTGAAGAGAAATGCATATAATTGTCCGTACTAAAGCGCAAAAATGTAATGTTAATAAAATAGTCACGGCTCGGAGTGCTCCAATCTGCCTGATCTATTTTTGTTTCATTGGCGCTAATGTAGTCAGCATTCTCTAGTATGTATGACACCTTTCGGAAGCTGCCCCAGTATGTCTTACACCCATTTGAAAAGGACGAGAAAGACCGTGCCACGTCGGTGATGGCGGTATGTGAAAGCCGTTATGCAGCTTGTCGAGGTGACCATCACTGCTGCCTGCATAATACGAAACGGGGTTTCCCTTGGTAGCTGCATGTGATAACACTCGTTTCCATCGCAACTCGGGGTCGGGAAACCTTCTTTGACGAAAACTGAGTTGTGGTGGAAGCTAAAAGGGCAGGATATGTCGTTGGATTAGATCCGGTTAATTTTACTTCCCCTTTTGGCTATTCTCACTACCTTCTATGTTAGGTAACCGCTAGTACACTTCCAGCTTGCGCGATCTCTATGTTTATATATTCGTCTACTATTTTGATAACCCGCGTTTATACCTCTCGTGACTTCCCATTAAATTTTCTACGTATAAAAGCGCGTAGAGTGTTAGTAGCGCATAAGTTAATACTAGGTATAGACTCGGATTTATATTTAGTGGCGCGAAGTAAGCTGCATATTTATACGACAGGTGAATGAGACTGCTGAAGGATTTCGTAGACAACACGCGTTGGCAGTGAGGATGTACCACGTAGGGTGGTGAAACAATCCGGAGCCAAAACTAAACAGAAGGCTCAAACACACAACAGCTACGTTTTTTACACTATAAAAGCTTCCTCTTAGTATACGTACGCATGAATTTTATCCTAACCATGGAAAACATAGCAGCACAGCAGTAGCTAAAACGAAAATTGTAGCTAAATTCAACACCACGCGTCTAAGAGGCTTTGCTTTGGTCGGTTTATCACTATCTTCAGTAACTTCTTAAAATAGATTTTAAAAGTGTATAGAACAATGGAACTTATGATGACGACTGCTTGTGGCGATGATGAACATATTCGCGTCCATCAATCGGGCAACGTTTCCAGTGACTTTCACCAAAATGTATGATTTATCTTAGTGTAGCAAGTTCGAAATATATGGAGCGAATGGCGACGAGGAAACGTGTGAGGTTGAGTGTACTGTTATAGCTTATGTGAGTTTCCCCAACCAATGAAGAAAAAACCAACAATGCTGACATTACATGCACAACAGCCGGTTCCCCACATGTAACCCGATTGAACGACAAGCCAGAGTTAAACTCCAACAAGCTTCCCTAAAGGCTTACTCAGGGCCGCGTACTGAGGCTTAGTTCCAACCTTTTTACAAAGTACTCAAGCATCGTGCAAGTCAACAATTGCAAGATATTGGATATGGCTCACGCTTTTCGAAACACATTGTCTTGCCAGAAATAAATGTGACGTTGGATATGGTGGCTTTGGCATAACCAGCATCACCGGAGACTTCTAAGAGAATCTTAGCGGTGCCAAAGAGTGTAAATAAAAGGAGCCTGTTCTTCTCAGGGAACGACCTTTCTTTCCAGCATTCACATCATCTTCCTTTCATATCCAATCTTTAATCTCTCTTCTTAAAGTTTTTCTTTCTGGCAAACCAGCAAAGCCGTAAGCGAAAATGAAGACTTCTCAACTTATCGCTGTCCTTGCATTCGCCACCATCTCCCTAGCCAGGCCTTCGAAGCGCCAAACCATGGCCTGCATCCTCGACACTGTTGACAACCCATCGGCTCAGGACGCCGAAAACGCCATCAACCAATGGAATGAAGATGTCGGCAAAGTGAACGACTTCCTCAACGACTTCAGCACGCTTGGAGATGCCACAGCCATCCAAGACGCCGCCATGAACGTCCTGCGTTTCGCTCAAGACGAGCCGTGCCAGCTCCAGACCCTCCTCAACAACCCCGACTTCATTGGCGGCTCGACCAACGGGTTCAACTGCGCGCGCGACGACCTTCAAAAGGTGTTTCAGCCGCACGTTCTGGACAACATCAACGACATCATCATGAGCCCGGGCAGCAATTCGACTACCCAGGGTGCCGTCGACGACATCAACACCTTCAGGTGCTGCAATGTTCTGCCCGATCTGGACATTCTCTGGCAGGACAGTGCGACGGACAACGGCATCGCCGATGTCGTTCCGATCATGGCGGGCAGGGAGAATGCCTGTATGTCTATTGATTGCACGATGGTCTCTACTGCCGCGCAATGCAAAGAGGAGAGCAACTAGATGGTTAGCGAAGATGGACACGCATGTGTTCGGAAGAGTTACGGGGAGGAGGGGGGGAGGAGTTACGTTTTATGATGACTGTCCTTACTCTTTGCTGAAATTCTTCTCGATTTCTTTTCCATTTAGTCCTTTATATTAGCCAGTCTCTACTTAACCACTTGCTGTCTGTAGTCAATTCAGTGTTAGGCCAAGTTAATCCAGTGTACTTCGGGACACGATCAGTGTTCGTTTTGCACCGTTAGGTTTCTTGCAAGTTTGAAGTGGTGGATTTTCTTGCCGCCGGACGTGCTGACCCAAGCCGCACTCCGAGTCAAAAATGGCAAGCAGAGCGGTTAATCTGGAAGGATTTCATGCCTCGCTGTCATCTTGTGCAATGATTTACAATCGCACGTGACGAGCTCCGCTCGGCCGCCATTCGAGCGAAGCGCGAGACGATACGACGTCACACACCAACCAGCCCAACAACCAACCTCAACAATGCCATTCACGCCATCCGCCCACGCCGGTATAGTCCACCGTTTCACGCCGAAGCTCACAGCCTTTGAGCACGGCAAAGACAACCAAGCCGACAACCCCCACACGCTACTTTGGATCGGAGGCCTAAACGATGGCCTCTTGACCGTCTCGTATGCGACCGCGTTGGCGCATACCTTACCCCCAAACTGGAGTCTTGTCCAAGTGCTCTTGTCGTCCGCAAACAAGGGCTGGGGCACTAGTAGCCTGAAACAGGATGCACGCGAGCTGGCTCAGTGCGTCAAGTATTTCCAGGAGCGCCGACCGGGGGCCAAAATCGTGTTGATGGGCCACTCGACCGGTTGCCAGGACTGCATGGAGTATCTCGTCGGCGAGGGCCATGCGGAGAGACCGGCTGTCCAGGCTGTGATTCTGCAGTCTCCGGTTAGCGATCGCGAGGCCTTAGCCGAGGAGTTCCCCCCGGACAAGCTCAATAGCAGCATCAAGCTCGCCCAGGAGTGGGTCAAGAGCAACCGCGGAAACGACGTCTTGCCGAACTCTGCCACGGCGCCTCTGACCCCCGTGACTGCAAACCGTTGGCTCAGCCTGTGCAGCCCGGACAAGAATGGCGACGACGATTACTTTAGCAGCGATCTAGAGGCGCATCAGCTGCAGGCCACGTTTGGCAGGATCAAGGAAAAGGCCCAGGTCTTGTTCTTGTATGGCGGCGATGATGAGTATGTCCCCGACTATGTCGACAGGAAGGGCTTGGTGGCGAAGTGGACGAGTATCGTCAGGGAGAATGGGGGAACTGTCGACGATGAGAACGGTGGTATCGTCCCAGACGCGCATCACAACCTCGAAGGTGACGATGATGCCGTTGTCCAGGATCTGTGCAAGAGGGTCAATGGATTCCTGAAGAACTTTGGTGGAGACTAAACGTGTCAATAAGCGGATTGGAGGACCCACGAGCTGTCAAAGCATACGTCAGTAGACGCAGTCTGCGCTGCGTTGTCTCCCATCATCAAGACTTCTAACGAAATATTCAATGAGCACAAGGGAACTGCTACTTAGGTACTGTCCAACATCCAATCGAACCGGTCTTGACCGAGCAAGATGAGTATCAATGCCTTCATTTAAAGATGCAAGGTATAAGCTCCTACGAGCACAAGTGGATATATGTGATGTAGGAGGATACTTCTACCGTACATCAGCATAGCTTCATCAACGTGTTTACGTTGAATGAGCTTTTCGAAGGTACGACTGTTTCCGTTCCCCCGACGAGCCAAGATAAGACAGCAATCCACTCCAACGTACGATGGACCCGGAAGAGGTTAAAGGGATTCCTCAACAAAAACACTCTAAGGCCAAAATGGCAGGCAGCGGCTAATGACGCAGCCGGCATCACCAGCACACGCATAACTCGTATGAGAAAAATGGAACTGCTTGACGCAAGCCTGCGTTCTGTTCCTTGATCTCTGGAATATGTAAGCTATACCGGGGAGTGCGATATAGCCGTTTGCAGTTAAGCTTAACCCGGATGACGAACGTCTGGTTACACAAGCCCCGCGACACATGGATTAGCCCCCAACAAGCTAGTGCGGACCCTTGTCGACTACCCCGCATACCGGATTGGGCGGAGCGCGGCGTGCCGAGGACCAGCGCGGCGCGGAGGGGTACTTAGGTACGCAGGCCCAGCAGCCGCAGCAGCAGCAAACAGTGAGCGGCTACAATTATCCTAGCCTCGAACTCCAGTTGCGGTTGAAGTTTTCTTGAGTGGCACGTCTGCGCGCGTATCTGAAAGCAGCAAAAATGGTCTACGAATCGAACATCAACATCACAATTGACACGATATGTCCCTGGTATACTTTGGATCCCCCTCAAGCCCAGCGCCGCGCGCCTTGCCGTTTCCGTCCCTCTAATGAAGTTCGGTCCAGGACCTATCTCGCGCGGCGACGCGTCCAGCGCGCCCTCGACCAAGTGCGCGCCGCGCACCCCGACTGCCCCACCACGTTCAAGATAAAGTACTCGCCCTTCCAGCTCTACCCCCACGCCAACAAGGAGGGCGAGGACCGGTACGCGTGGTACAAGAAGCTGCGGTACAGCGACAGCGAGGAGAAGATGGAGGCGTACACGGTGCTGATGAGCGCGTACGGCGCCGACTACGGCATTAACTTCAAGTGCGTTGCTCGCCTTGTAACCTACCTACTCTACATATCTGCTAGAGCACCCTTACTTTAACTATACTGGAAACGGCCCGCTGACAGACGCCCACTGCCCGGCAGGTTCGGAGGCCCAGTCGCCAATACGCTCGACGCGCACCGCGTCATCCAGCACTTCCAAGCGCAGAAAGGCGCTGAGGTCGCCGACAAACTCGTCGAATGTGAGTCGCACCACGAGACCAGTCCCGTTTCCGTCCTTGGTCCCGTCCAGACCAGCCCAGCCCAGCCCATTCCATTGCACACGATTTCGCCCGAGTCTCCGCCGAGCCCTCCACCCCACATCCCACACAACCCCACCCCAGCACCAAACGCAAGCATCCAAATCCATACCTCTCATACCTACCAAACCACACAACCCACTAACACACCCCAGCGCTCTTCAGCCAATACCACGAGCACGAGCGGCACCCCTCATCGCGGGAAACGCTGCTCGCCGCCACAGCCGCAGCCGGGATCCCAGAAGCCGAAGCCGCAGTCGTGATCGACGACCCGCGGGCCGGGCTGCAGGACCTGGAGGCGCGGCTGCAGGAGCAGCGCGTCAACGGCGTCGACACGGTGCCGTTTATCGTGGTCGAGGGCCGGCGGCGCGACTTGCAGCTCGAGGGCGCGCGCGAGGTCGATGAGTACGTCAAGTTGCTGGAGCAGACGGTTAGGGAGAGCTCGTAGGGGTGCGTGCGTGGACGGCGGCGGGGTGGCGTTGGGTTGTTTCGGCGCTGCTGCTGCTACTCGTACATACCGCCACCGCCGCCCACTGAAGCGCTTCAGGCCCCACCACGCCTTGCGATGACGATGACGGCGTCGGCAGCGGAACCCAGAACCTTACGGGGCAGCGGTTCTCGATGCGGGCTTTTTCTTCAGTGCCTAGGTAGAGTAGTGCGGTCAGTCGGAGATGTCGGAAGCGATATTGCCGCATCGGGCAACGGAATGGGCTCTGGGGCTCTGGTGCGCCTAGCTACTGGTAGCCACCAAGTGCCAAATGCCGAGCACGAGCGCGAACTAGAACCGAGAAAAAAAGAAAAACGAGAAAATCTGTTAGCTGCTGTATGTACTCTAGGTGGTCTTGCCGCCCGGATGCGCCTCGAAAAATGGGAATGAGGATGAGGATGAAAAAGTATATGCGGATTCTGTGTCAGTGCTAGCCGCCGCTGATATCTACTTACTTTACTTATATTATATACCTACCTAGCTATCATCTCCTCATCTGCCTTTCCGTCCCACATCCCTCATCCCGCCCGCCTTGCCTCACATCCCATCATCGCCCCCCGGAGCCAGCCGGAGCAACCACCCAGCCAGGCAACTACCTAGGCAACTACCGCACGCCACCAACCCAACGCAGGCCGCCTCTCCCGCCGCCCGCCGTCCGCGCCAAGCCGGCCGCCGTCCAGCGTGCCAGCGGCAAGCGAAAAAGTCCCGCAAATATTCCCCAGCAATGATGTGCGTACTGCGAGCTGCCGTGACCCCTGCCGAGCTTACTCCACTCCACCCTACCCTACCCTACCTCCTCAATCAATCGCTACATAATAGACACGCACTTACGTCACACCTCCATCAGCAACTCCAAGACCACTAGCACTAGCTCTTACGACGGAGACGGAGACGGAGACGGAGGCTTTTTCCCCCTCTGCTGCTTAGTTGCCTCCTCCCCCTCCTCCTCCGCCTCCTCTGAGGCGGAGGAGGAGGGGGAGGGGGAGGGGTTGCGCTCTTATGTTTATGCCGCAGCAGCACCACCTCCTTCGCCGCTGTCTTCGCGACTTTATGTACCTGGTCTCTCCCCGCTCACTCTCACTACCAACCACAACCACACAAACCCACCACCGCTACCACCACCACCAAACACAACCAACACAACAACAATGTCCTCCCTTCCCCTCCCGCTCCCCTCGTCCCCCCTTCCCCTCTTCATCCCCCTGCCACTCACACCCCCCCTCAACCCCCTCCCCCTCACGCTCATAGACATCCTAACCCTGCTCCTCCTCCCACTCATCCTCCTCGAATTCACGCGCATGATGGCAGTGCTAGACCCGCTTTTGGACATCGTTTTCGACATGGGGGCGTGGCGACGCTTGCCCGGTTGGGCTGTGGACGCTGGGGCGGCCTGGTGCGCGTGTTGGTGTCTTGCGAGACGGGGGGAGTGGTGTGCTTGTGTTGATGTGCTGGTGGGGGGTGTGGATGTTGTGGGGGAGGGGTGGGGGAAGAGGGCTTGAGAGAGGTAGGTTGGTGTGCTGTGTGTGTGTGTTTGTGTTGTTTGTGTTGTTTGCGTTGCTTTTTTATATTATTATACGGGAGGGGAAGAGCGCGCTCATCCCTCACCCACTCACTCACTCACTCACTTCCTCGGCGACTCCCAAGCATGCATACTTGCTCCACACAGCGTCCGTTCCATCCATTGCAGTTCAGCATACGATACCGACCACGGCTCCGCAGTCCGCACCACCTACATAGCCAGCACTTCCACTGACGCGCGCCACAGAACCCAGACGGATCCTGTAAAAAACCCGTCAGCCAGCACCGCCGCCGCGACGGCGCTACCTACTCCTACGCCCCCGAGAGCCTCCTAAATCCATATACCTAGCACCACACCGCCCATCGCGCCGTCTGGACGAGCATGGATTCATCCACCGATAAAGCACGCGCGTCGAGCCTCCGGCCACCTGCACCAGAGGATTCTCTGTTCGCCCGCACGTACGAGCGTCCGCGTCGGGAGTGGGGAAGTAAAACGAAAAAGAAAAAAAGTATTTGTGCCAAGAAGACAAGAAAGGGGAAAAAGCGAAGAGTCAGTCAGTCAAAAGGAGAAGAAAAAGAGGGAAAGAGAGAGAGAGAGAGAGAGAGAGAGAGAGAGAGAGAGAGCAAAAAAGAAACCCAACCTGGAGATGGAGAATACTGAAACCCCGCCACCGCCCTCTTCGCCACCAAAATAAAATAAAAAAAAAACTCCCGCGGTAGCCGATAAGCTAGCTCTAAGCTTTCTGCACACCATTACACGCCTTCTACGCCTTGGTTTTTTGTGGTGGTTCAAAAGCCATAAACAGAGAAACTTCGCCATGAAAAAACAAAAAGACAGACCTGACCAATCCTCCCTCCCTCCATTTCCACTCTAGCTACCCGTCCCACATCCTCAATCCGAGCTAATTCTACGCTTCTTGCGTGGCGTCTTCTCGCGCTCCTCGCGTCCCGTCTCGGCACCGGCATCCGCAGGACTCGTCGCAGCACTACTCACGCTTTCGACTATCCTACCGCCGCTCTCAGAGACCGCGTCGTTGCCGTCCTCGCCACCGAACAGGTTCTGGTTCGTTGCCGCCTCGAATGCACCAAAGTCGAAGTCCATGTTGCTGCTGCCAAAGGCCGGGAAATTGGTATCGGCGCTGCCTGTAGGGCCTGCCCCTGTATTTTGGAAGTAGTCGCCGGCGTCCGTGTTGATGAATGAGTCCAGGTCGAAGTCGCTGGGGGGAGCATTGGCGTGGTTGTTGTAGTTACCGTATGAATTCAAACCAGGAATGTTTCCGTTCGGGCTCATTGGGGCAAGGCGTTCAGACAAGTGGTGCACGCGCGCTGCCTGCTCCTCCTGGAGCTTCTGAAGCACGTCGATCTGTTCATCGTGGTGTCCAAAGTGCTCAAGCGAAGGCATTGGTGGCGGTTGCGGATTAGAGAGCGCATTGTTCGAGCTATTTGCATTGTCGGCATTCGAATTGGGAGACGCGGCGTTCATGAGAGACAGAATTTCCTCGCGTTGTGCCTGCGTCAACGGAGTGTTGCCATCAGCCGTTTGGTAGTGCGACAGCGCGGCAGGGAAGTCAAACTGCGGCCCGGTTGCCGGGATATTGTTGTTGGCGTTCACCGAGTTGATGACTGACATCATGTCGTCAGTGGTTTCCGGCATTGGCATGCTCGGGCTCGGGGCTGGCTTGGATCTGATTGCGGGGGAAGCGGAAGCGGAGCTAAAGTCATGGTTGAGAGGTTGCTGAGGGCTCGAGTTCATGTGGTTCGCTTGCTGTGCCTGCGTTTGCTGTGATTGTGCCTGCTTCGTCTGCGCTTGCTGCTTGTAGAAGCTGTTGGTCCGCTTCGGGCTGTACGGTCTGGAGGAAGGCGTCTGTGTTTGGACGCGGGGACTCTGTGACCTGGAGTCTCTTGCAGTCGGAGGAGGCAGCAAAGCAAGCGGTTTCTTGTTTTGCCTGGGAACGGAAGTCTGCTTGGGCATCTCAACTTCCTGGTAGTCGCCCATGTCGACAACGCTGCCTTGCTTGTGAGAAGTAGTGTTTTGTGCGAGATTGGTCGAAGGAAACATGTCGGCAATGTTCATGTTGACACCATTCTGGCCCTCGAGGCTGCGGTTGTAAAAAGTAGCAAGGAACGTGAGAATTGCGTTGATGGAGCTCTCGTGGCGCTCGTGCATTTTTTGGAACTGAGTGGCCTCTTGGAACCACTGTTCGTTTTGGCGCCGCATTTGACTGATAATGTTGGATATCAGCTTTTGCTGGTGTTGCAACTGTCGGATCTCGGTGCGCATGCTGTTGTAGTCGGCCTTGGGTATCAGTTGCATATCCGAGTTCGCGCCATCCTGGTTGAAGCCGTGCGTCTCATTTCCCTCATTGCCGTATTTCCTCCCCTCGTCGTCACTGTCGTGTCCTTTCTTGTCGTCGTCCCGTTTCCTCTTGGCGTTGGATTGCGGGTTTTTGGGTTTTTGGATGAGCCACAGCAGTTCCGGGCGACCGCGCTTGAAATATTTGTTATGATATTCACTCGGCGTCTTCTTGTCCCTCCTCTCAGCCTGCTTCATAGAGTTGTCCGAGAGCCCGACTTTTTTGTGGAATCCATACATGTTCAGCTGGCGCACAAACGAGGCGTAGTTGTTATGCTTGAATAGTTCCGGAATGAGAGTTTTTGCGAACTCGTCCTCGTCAATGACTATGAAGGAGTTGCCGTCGTCGGACCATCGGATGAGGTCAGTGTGATTCGAGTTGTCCAAAAAGCTAGCAAGTCAGCGATGGTTTCTACCACACCAAGGCGTGTGACTTACCTGCTCAGTTTCTGCACGAACGGAGGAATCTGCTTGCGCTTGGCCTGCGCCTCTTTCCTGGCTTTCAAGGCCTGTGCCTCCAAATCTTCCTCGTCATCCACGGCCTCCCAGCCAGCGTGGCCCGGCAGGCCTCCTGCATAATCGTATTTATGAGCCAGCTGATGGTTATTGTTCCGCCGGACCAGCTCCGTGCTAGGAACTTCCGTCGCAAGTCTCTGTCCATTGGCATACATGCCGTTCTGCATGGATCCGACAAAGTTCTGGTCGAAGAGTGTAGGGTCAGTGTAGGCGGGCACGTTGGCCATGGGGTTTGTGTCGCTCCAGTTCATAAACTGGTCTTCGGTAAAGCCAGGCTGGTTCTGCTGAGCCATGCCGACGCTGCCCTGCGCGGCCGACTGCTGCTGAGCCATAGGTACGGCGCCTGACGCCGGGCGGTTTCTCGTCGGTATCTGTCTTTGCATACGATTTCACGAAAGCGCTTCGTCGTGGGCGGCGCTCTTCAGCGTGTATCCTCTCGAGTCCCAGTGCGGGGCCGAGTCAAGGATGAGAAAGTAGCGGCGCGCAGCGAGGCAGGCGACTCAGTGTACGGGTGAAAGGTGACGCGAAGCGAACCGCGTAGCGGAAGGGCAGAGTTGTGGGCGGGCGGAGGGCGAAGAGAGCGGAAGCGCAGGGTGTTTTGTAGGCGGGCGGTGCAGCAGCAGAAACCAATCGTCAATGGGAGGGGTTTCCACCGGGCTCAAGCGCCTTGTCGGCGGCAGAATAAAGAGGCTGGTCGTCCTGCAAGGCGAGTGAAAGAGTGCTTGTCGCGTTGTCAGAGAGGTCGGGGAAATCTGCGGGCTGACTGATGTCAGTTTGGCTGAAGAAATGACGGCGGCGTCTTTTTGATGGCGCCTTGTTGCTGCCTAGGCGCGCGGCCACACACACAAGGCTGAAGCAAAAGTCGCGGCGGCACTTGGAAGCGCAAAAAGAGACAGGCGAGCGCAGTAAAAGGTTCCCAAGTTTCCCTTGTGTGGCGGGCGGGATGGATGCGCAAGGTGCACAGGTGATAGGTAGCTCCGGTACGAAGCCATGGCCAAGTCACACTCGCTTCCGCTGACCTCGTTTGGACGCCATCATGTCAACACCTGCCGATGCGCACGTGAAACCCGATCCCCATGCTCGTCTTTCCCATCAGGAGATCCACTTTGCCATCTGCAGACCCTGGCCAGGCAGAAGAAAAGACAATCGTGCAAGGGGGTGTCTGGTTAGTTGTTTTGGTTGGTCCCCGCCCGGCATCTCACTTTGCGATTCACGAACCTCAAAGGAAGCCAAAGACCCACAAAGGAACCATCTAGACAAGAGACGAATGCTTCAAGGGAACAGCACAGACACCGCAGCCAGAGACAGACAAGTCACGGAGCAAACCACCTGTTGTCCTTCTTTCTCCAACATGGCAGATGAGAGACAGACCGTCGGACCTTTAATTGTTATAGGCACAATATATAAAAGAATACTATTAATAGAAAGCTAAATAGTAGCAAACTGCCCAATAAACAAATTTAGCTGCAAGGACTACTTCGTAGGTATGAGTAGGCACACGCCGGAGCCAATGAGGGGGGCAGCGCTCGGGCCCGCCAGACCTGTGACGCCAGAAGTCGCCGTCGCATGCTACCAGCCCGAGACCTTCTCCAACCCCTCACCGGCACCATGAGCTTCAAGAGCCTGCTGAACGACCTGACAGGCTACTTTCTGTATCTGCTATTCACCGCGACGCTAGGCCCCCTGCTCTTCGGCTTCCATTTGGTACAGCTCCCTGCAATCATCATGCCATCGAGCACCCAGCATCCGCTAACGCCCTCCCCAAGGCCGAGTTGAACACGCCGCAGGATGTGATAACGTGCAAGAAAAAGACGCTATTCGGCAGCGCGGCGTCCACGCTGCCGCAGTGTATGCCCATGACGCCCGCCGAATGGGGCCTCGTGTCGTCCATCTTCACGCTGGGCGGGCTCATCGGCGCCCTCTCCGCGGGGCCCATCGCCGCGCGCCAGGGCCGCCTGCGCTGCATGCAATTCAGCACCGTCTTCTTCGCCATTGGGCCCGTCTTCGAGGCCCTTGCACCGCACATGGGCGTGCTCGCCCTCGGCCGCTTCGTCTCTGGCTTGGGCGCCGGTGCGTCCGTCGTCGTTGTGCCCATTTACATCAGCGAGGTCGCCCCGCCCGCCGAGAAGGGCTTTTTTGGCTCCTTCACCCAGATCATGTGTAATGTCGGCATCTTGATCACCCAGCTGCTGGGATACTTCCTCAGCAAGGGCCAGCTTTGGAGAGTCGTTCTGGGCGCGGCTGGCGTCATCGGCGTCGTCCAGGCCGTGGGTCTGCTTTTTGGCGTCGAAAGCCCGAAGTGGCTGGCAGACGCAGGCCAGCCTGGTGCGGCCAAGAAGACGCTCCGCAAGATCCGAGGCCACAAGTTCGACATCAGCGAGGAAGTCAGCGGGTGGGGCATCGAGCCGAGCGAAGAACTGAGCGGTACGTCTAAAAAAAAAAAAAAAACAAATGCCCTATCAAACCAAGAACCCACTGCAACTAACCCACCCCCAGACGAAGAAGAAACCCTCCTCAACAATGAAGAAGACCGCACCGGCGACCACGACAGCACCAGCTCGCCCAAGCCCAGCCCAACGCAAAAGCCCGTCCTCAGCTTCTTCCAAGTAGCGCGGCACCCAGACACGCAAAAAGCGACCATCGCCGTGATAACCGTCATGCTGGCGCAGCAATTCACGGGCATCAACAGCATCATCATGTACGGGGTATCGCTGCTCTCGAGCCTGCTAGCCGCCAACTCGGCGCTGCTGAACCTGTTCGTGTCGGCCGTCAACATCGCCGTCACGGCCGGCTGCGCGCCGCTGATCGAGCGCCTCGGCCGCAAAACCTGCCTGCTGGGCTCCATCAGCGGCATGGGCGTCGCGGCCGCCCTGCTCGCCATCAGCATCCTCAAGCACGTGCCGGTTTTGTCCGCCGTTGCCGTCGTCGGCTTCGTCGCGAGCTTTGGCCTCGGCCTCGGCCCCGTGCCCTTTATCCTGGCGTCCGAGCTCGTCGGCCCCGAGGCTGTCGGCGCCACGCAGAGCTGGGCCCTGGCTGCCAACTGGGTCGCGACGTTTATTGTCGCTCAGTTCTTCCCCATGCTTAATGCCGCGTTGGGCGGGTATACGTTTTTTATCTTCACGGCTGCCGCCGCTCTGTTTGGTGCTTTTGTGGCGTATTTTGTGCCCGAGACCAAGGGGAAGAAGGACGCTGATGAGGTGTGGGGCCGGCCTGGTAGGCGCGAGGACTAGACTACGGGAGGTGGTGTGCTTTTCCGTTCGTACGTACTCGTGGCGTTAAGGCGTTAGGCCATGCCTTCTCTATCGGGCGTTCAGACGGCCTCACCAGAACACGGCTCCGAGTGAGATCTCTCAGTCCAATATACATACTCACGCACGCACAACCACAGCAACAAGACACAAACGCACAAGATCCGAAATTGCCCAACTACTCACAAAGCAGCCCCCCTCTCCTCCCACCCAACCACACACACCCTACTCCTCTCTCATCCCCCCAAGCCTAACACAACACCTCTTCCCCTTGGGCACAATAACGAAATAATTCTCGAGCGCCATGCTCTCGGGCGTCGTGGCAGGCGCGAGCCGCAAGCCTCGACACTGGCTAAACAGCAGCGCGGAGGCGTAGCGCAGCTCCATCCACGCGAGGTTGATGCCCAGACAGGACGTCGCGCCGGCGCCGAAAGCGCAGAACGTCGCTTTTGCGCCTGCCGTCAGCGGCGTGGGTGCTGAGGGGAGGAAGCGCGAAGGGTCGAATCTGTGGGGGGCGGGTGCGTTAGCTGGGGGTGGGATGTGGTTGAGGGGTAATTGGGGGGTAATGGAGGGGAAGATAGATAGGCAACGTACGTCGCGGCATTCGGCCACAGCTTCTCGTCTCGATGCAGCGTGTACGCCTGCGTGCTGACCGTCGCGCCGGCCGGGACGAAGTAGTCGCCGAGGCGGGCCCCGCCCTGGGGCACGACTCTGGGCAAGCTGCCCGGGACGGCGCAGTAGAGGCGCAGCGTCTCGTTAATGACCGCATTCAGGAGGGGCAGCTGTTCAAGGTCCGCATCAGCGAGCAGAGCCGGGTCGGCCGGCAAGCGCGAGGCCAGCTCCTCCTCCAGCGCCGCCTGCAGCGCCGGCCGCGACAGCACCGCCCACGTCAGGAACGTCATCGTGTTGGCCGTGGTGCCGCTGCCGGCGAAGATGAGCGAGGTGCTCTCGGTGCGGACGTCGAGGTCGTCGACGCGCGCGTCGGATTTCTCGGCCTCGGCGATGATGGTTGCCATTAGGTTCGCGTCGTGCGCGCTGTTGGTGGCGCTGCCGCTCGAGGATTTGTTTTCTTGCTGTTGCCGCCGCGCTTGCGCTACGGCTTTTGTGCCGTACCCCAGGATGTAGTCGGAGGAGTTGAACGCTTCTCGGAGCGCGCGGATCGGGAGCCGCGCGAGGATTGCGCGGAGCCAGGGGAGCTCGGCCCCGATGCCGTTGCCTACGAGGGCTGCTTCTAGGACCCGGATGTATTCGGTCCTCTGGGGGCAAGGTGAGGATCAGTCTATGGTCCATTGGGGGAAGAGGAGGAGCGGTATAAAGCAGATCGAGAAATTAAGAATAGAATGGGAAGCGGGAGAGAAAGAAAGAGGTGAAAGACAACAACAACATACCCTTCCAAGCTCGAGCATACCAAAGCTCTCGCCGAAGCCCAGCACGCCGACAATATCCGTCGCCATAAACGTCCACCACTTCATGACATCAGCCTCGCCCTCCAGCTTTGCCTCATCTCTAATGCGCTCGACAGCCTTGCGCGCCTTGTCGCGCACCGTAGGCTCCCAATGCTCACGGAGATAGGACTTGCTAAAAGCGCGAGCGAAAAGGCGGCGGCGGGCGCCGTGCGCGCGCGGGTCGCGCATCGAGAAGACGCTCAGCCGCGGGAAGTTGGTCAGCTTCTCATACCACTCGTCCTTGGTGTACTTTGCGCTGACGCCGTGGATCTGCTTGAACGCAGCCGCGTCGGCGACTGCCACTTCGCGCGGTGAGATGCGCACGATGGGCCCGTACTTGGCGTGCAGCTCGTCGATGTAGAAGATACGCCGCCCGCCCGTCACGGCTGACTTTAGGGGCAGGTTCGTGAAGTGGCTGTACCATGGCCCTGGGAGGGCCCGCAGCGGCGATGTCAGGGCCGTATAGATGGTCTAGTGCCGTGGTCAATGGGGAAGTTTGATGTGGAGGGAAGGAAGTGAGTTGCGCACTTGGATCAGCCATGCGCCTATGGTCAAGGCGAGGGCAGCGCCGATGATGGTCGTGGGACCGAATGATGTTTCCATAGCTGCGATACTTCGACGCAAGCTACGGTAAAGGGTAGAAAGAAAAGATACCAAGATGCGCCGCGTCAGGAGCTCGGGATGATTTAAGGGAGACGAGAGCCTACCTAAATCCCGCGATACCATCCCTCTGATGCGCACTCGCGGCTCCGCATCTTAAGTACTCTCCGCCCTGCTGTATCATTCCCGGAGTGGGGCGTGATGCTTTGCACTGCCTGCTCGGACTCTATTGTGGGGGAATGCGACAGGCGTCAAGCGTGGACGTTGGCCCCGCCCGTTGCCCAATACGGCAAGCGGTCGTCCTATCAGAGCGCAGGACTATCCCAGATTTGCGCGCGCCGCTCTGTCGAGCCTGTCATGCTCTGTTTCCCAATTCCGTTGGTGTCTCTCACTTTGATGATTTCGGCTGCCTACCGTTGCCGATGGCGTCCCCGCTTCCCGTTCGTTCGACCCGCCAGGGCTGGTGTAACAATCCGGGACTGTGGTGCACTCGACCAAGGGTGCTGCGATGGTTTGTGTCACTATGTGACTGTGCGTGCACAAACTTTCGACGCTGTTGCTTGTTTCCCGTTAAGTTTTTCCTGGTAAGTTTTTCCGGTTTCAGATCTGATGCAAACGACTCTTCAAGGGAATCAAGTTGATATGTTTTTTCCTCCCCAGCGAATGTAAATTAAAGCCCTAGAGCAGACTCCCCTGCACCAAGTCTGAAGAAGGTTGCGAGATGATGCGCATACATATCCGTCCTGCAGGTCCCGTGTGAAACGGCGTCAGCGAAAAGCCGTCGGACAAGCAAGCCGGGCCGAGGAGTCGGACAAGACTGTGGTTGACTAGCATATAGTAGGCCAGTATTGCAAAGCTCCGGAGACTCTTGCTGCCATAATTAACTAAACCCACTTTTTGTACCTTGAGCTACTGTCCTCGTGGTACATCTCTGCGCAAGGAGCCGTACGCGCCGGAAGTTGATAAACAAGCGGCGCATCTGGCTGCGAGGCAAAGCAGGTTACCGTATGTAGCTAACCCACGATGCATGCGGATGCAGATTGCAAGGCATCCGTTCTAATCGAGTGAATTCTCACAATTCCAACCAACAGCAATCAACAGCCTTACCTTGCATGTTACACAACGCACGATCATCTCTTCCGACATACATGAAGGCAGCAGCCAAAGAGGTTGTTGGAGCATTGGAAATGGGATGAGGCATTCCGACTTCAGCTGAAGAGTAGGACGTCAGCTGTCCCCGCCGCGCTTACTTTCCGGTTCTCCTCGACCGCCTCGGTCTGGACAAGCCTATGTCCTCGATATCCACAATGCTCTTTGCTGGAACATCCTCCGCTTTGACATCGTCTTCAACCTTTATGACATCTTCTACCTCCCTCTCCGCGACGTCACCATCGCTCCCCTCATCCTTCACCGTAACATTCTCTTTCTTGATCTTCTGGCTCTTACCGACAACAGCGCCCGGGCAAAGACCTCGATCCGCAAGCGCGCACTCTCCGCATTTCCTGCCCAGTGGCAGACATATTGTCTGTCCAAAGCCCACCAACAGATGATTGATCTGGTGCCACTTTTCGCGGGGTAGCCAGGCTTCGAGTGCTGCCCTCGTCTCTTCCGGCTGTCGTGTTTTGTGCCACCCCCAAAGATTCGTGATGCGGTGCACATGAACGTCGACCCCGATGCCCTCGTCCCGCCCCCATGCTGCGCTCATGCACAGGTACGCCATCTTGGGGCCAACTCCAGGCAGCGATATGAGGCCCTTGATCGTGTCGGGTATGTCTCCGTCAAATTTGTCGCGCAGGATCTCGGCCGTTTGCTTGATGTATTTAGTCTTGTTGTTGTGGAAGCCAACCTTGAGAATGAGCTCGTTCAGCAGCTCCGGCTCGACCTTCAGCAAGCTCTCGAGCGTAAAGCCACCCGGCAGATTCTCTTGCAGGTTCTTTATCGCCGCCGCCGTCACCGTGTCTTTCGTCTGGCTTGACAGCATCAGCGAAATCAGCGTCTGCAGCCGCTGGTCGCGCGGAGGGCGCGTCTCATCCGCCAACCGCTCGCAGCCCATCGTATCCACCGGAGCCACCACCTTTTTGCGCATCTCCACCGTGAGATTGTACATTTCCTCCCAGCTCCGAGGCGGCTCCACGGCAACTGCGCCACCCGCGGCAACCGTCTTCTTCGCCGGAGCGCGACGGGCCTTCTTCGCGGCCGCCGTAGGATTCACAATGCCATCATGCGCCTCGAGGCCGGCCCGCGTGCGGGAGGCCTGAGCCGCAGCGGCTATGCCCGCCGCATTGGGATCGCCTATGTCTTCATTTGCGCCGGCATCGCCGCGCTTGCGTTTGCGCGACGATTGCAATGTCGGTGCGACATCCGCCGCCTTGGCCTCGGTCCCGCGCGCTTCGTCGAAGTCGGAGGGAACAGAAGACAGATCAGAGTCGGAGGTGGACGCATCGTGTTTGATCGGCGCGGAGGGATCCGTGGTTGCAGCGTAGCGCGAGACGCGCGCCGTCTGATGAAGCTGGGCGGAGAGGCGTCTCCGGCGCGGAGAAGAGGACAGGGCGCTCATTCCGGCGGAGGTGTCCCGGGATATGCGTGATGTGCGCATGTTGGGCGTTGGGTTGAATAATTAGAGGGTCGTGATAGGAAGCGAGCACGCGAGAAAATATGGGGAGCAGCTCAATTGAAATTCTGGGGCTTGGGGTGGCCGAGGAAGCTCAGACCGGCATCCCTTCACGTGTCGCCGGCCGCTGTCTTGCAGGTTGTATAACGTTCGTCACTGGGAACCGAAGATCCACAGTTTAGCGAGATGGGGACGATACAAGCAGTCACTACAGAGTGCTCCTTACCTAGCTCCCAGCCCGGGCTCTGGGTATGGGTGGAAAGCTCTTAGAAGGCCGAGAAGAAGCTCAGACCGGTCGATGAAGCAATGACTTTCCGGGTCTGTTGCAGGGGTGTGCAACGCTGTCTGCCTTGGCCTACGCCATTGAGACGCGGAGGCAGCTGATGGTGCGCTTCCAAAACTTAGCACTCTCAACTATACATCACCCCGCCCTTCCACCCTGCAACCAAACAATGTCTCCCACTGATATTCCCTCCTTCGCTGCCACACAGCTGCAGCTCCTAGACGCCGAGCTGCAGGCCGAGCTGGCCGAGACGTCCGCGCTAGCTTCGCAATCCGCTCCCCCGGCCCTGCAGCGCGCCGGCCTGGCCGTCCTCAACCTGCACGTCTCGTCGCAGCGCACCGGTCTCGGCGGTAAGACGGTCATCGACCTCGAGCTTGACCCGGCGATCAAGGGGGCCGGCGGCGATCTGCCCGAACACGGCATCCGCGTGGGCGACATCGTGGGCGTGCAGGAGCAGCCTGCAGGCAGTGCCAAGAAGAGGGAGAAGTCCGACCTGAGCAAGAAGGGCGTCGAGGGTGTCGTGTTGAAGGTAACGAATACGACGGTTGCCGTCGCGCTAGACAAGGAGGATGTCGACATACCGGGAGGGAAGCTTTGGCTGTGCGTTCTGTTCTTTGCTGGCGCCTTGTTCTGGGGAAGCATGTATGCTAATTGCACCGTAGTATCAAGCTTGCAAATGATGTTACATACAAGAGGTATCGCGACCTGCCTTGCTGGGGAAGTGGTGCATTCTGACAGCCTGCAGGATGAACCAGACCATGACACGCCTCCAAAAATTCACCGAATCAGAATACACCCCCTTCATCCGCGCCCTTTTCGGCCAGTCTTCTCTCAGCCCCCTTCCGAAAGACCTTTCCGACCCCGAAGTAGGGCTGCACAAGCTTGAGTGGATCGACCCAAGCCTCAATGACTCTCAAAAAGATGCCATCCGGTTCGCCATGGCCTCCAGGGAGGTAGCTCTGATTCACGGGCCTCCTGGAACAGGTAAAACGCATACGCTCATCGAACTCATACTTCAGCTTCTCAAGCAGAATCTGCGCCTGCTGGTCTGTGGTCCTTCCAATATATCGGTGGACAATATTGTAGAGCGGCTGGCGCCGCACAAAGTCCCAATCATTCGTCTAGGCCATCCAGCACGCTTGCTGCCTTCGGTACTGAACCACTCATTAGACGTTCTGACCAGGACGTCAGACGCGGCGGCCATTGTACAGGATATTCGCAAAGAAATGGACCAGAAGCAAGCCAGTATTCGCAAGACCAGAAACGGTAGGGAGCGCAAAGCTATTTATGGCGAAATGAAAGAACTGCGAAAGGACTTTCGAGAGCGCGAGCGTAACTGCGTAGATCAACTTGTTAGGGGTAGCAAGGTGGTTCTCGCGACACTTCACGGCGCGGGAGGGTTTCACTTGAAAAACCAAGAGTTTGACGTGGTAATCATCGATGAAGCCAGTCAGGCACTGGAGGCGCAGTGCTGGGTGCCGCTGCTGTCTGCAAAGAAGGTGGTGTTGGCGGGCGATCACCTGCAGCTGCCCCCGACAATCAAGTCGCTGAACTCTAAAACGAAAGCGCCGAAGAAGGCTGATGAGAAGAATGCCAAGAGTCTGACGTTGGAACAGACACTGTTTGACAGACTATTGGCTTTGCATGGCCCATCTATCAAGCGCATGCTCACAACACAGTATCGCATGCACGAAAAGATTATGGAATTCCCTTCGCAGCAGTTGTACGAGGGCAAACTGGTCGCTGCAGACGCTGTCAAGGCCCGCTTGCTAACCGACTTGCCTTACGAGGTTCAGGAGACAGAGGACACTAAAGAACCCCTTGTCTTCATAGACACTCAAGGTGGGGATTTTCCGGAGAAGCCGGAAGATGAGGAGGTCAGCAAGAAGGGGCTGATGGGCGAGTCCAAGAGCAATGAGATGGAGGCCGGGTTGGTTCGCTTGCATGTCAGTAATTTGGTCAAGGCGGGCGTCAAGGCGGAAGACATAGCTGTCGTCACGCCTTATAACGCGCAACTAGCCGTGCTGTCCGCTATGCTCAAGGAGCGGTTTGTAGGGATCGAGCTGGGGAGCGTCGACGGGTTCCAGGGTCGTGAGAAGGAGGCTGTGGTGGTGAGTCTCGTGCGAAGCAACAGCGAGCGCGAAGTGGGTTTTCTGGGGGAGAAGAGGAGGCTCAACGGTAAGACCTGCCCACACCTTTCCCTTAAGGTTTGCTCCCGCGCGAGACAGACGTTTCGGCAAGCCTGAAACAGTGCGTCGCGGGAGGAACGGCCGAAAGGAGGAAGGGCTAACGAGATTGTGCGCGCTGACCGGAAGCGGTGCAATAAACAGTGGCCATGACTCGCCCCAAACGACACCTCTGCGTCGTCGGCGACTCGGAGACGGTAGGCGGGTAAGTTGGATGACAGAAGCTGAGTCCAGACGTTCCAAAGGATCCAGGCTGACTGTATGTGGTGGATGCGACAACAGGGGCAGCAAGTTCCTGCATGGGTGGATGTCGTTCCTCCAGGAACAAGCCGACCTGCGGTACCCAGACGTCAGCGACGTCTACGTGGACGAACCTCAGTGATGTGGAGGATGCGGGCATATCAGTGGCTGGTGCAAACGCTGCATGATGGGGGCGCTGGCTGGTAATTTCAGGGGCGCGCGGCCGAGGCTTGGGGTGCTTGGGGCGGGCGAGGGCCGGGCTTTATTGTTGCGTGGTGCGTGTGCCTGTTCACCTCGTGCAGCTCCCAAGACGGCAGGCCCCGCCTGCCTGAGACGGCTGCTGGCCTCTGCGCCGCTCTTCCCGTCTATCTATAGCCCCGGTTCCCTCTATCTGATGCGCCTCTAAGAGCCTTACATATCTTGCGCCATCTCCCCGTCCTTTTTCCTGCTCCAGTTTGCTGCTTCCGTGATGCTAGTAGCTTGAAGAATCCCGCTGCCCCATGACGACGACGCGCATCTAAGAAAGAAAATATATCCCGCTTACTCACCGACCATGGCGACCCCGCTCCACGACACCAACCCAGGTACCGTCCAGCGCTCGCCCTGGAAGGCTGAAGCCATCCGTCGCGGCCGCTTGAGGATCAGCGGCCCGCTGCCCGTCGCCGACTCCGCCGACCGTCCCGCCTCCAAGCGCCACGCCACGCCTACCGAGGACACCGGCTTCGCCACGAGCAGAACTCCCGAGCTGCCCGAAATCGACGAGGAAGATGCTAAGCCCATCCGTCACAAGCGCTCCTCCACCGCTTTGGCCGAGTCGAACCGCCCCGACTACCACAACCACAAGCCCGTCGGCACCTCATTGGCCTCGAGACCGAGCAAGCGCCAAAAGCGCGGCTCGCTCAGAGCCACGCTGAAGAAGATTTTCAGCAAGAAGAGCAGTAGAGATGACACGAGCAGCATCTTGCCAACGCCGCATGAGCACCACCACAGCGTAATGCCCCCAAAAGCGACTGTCTGACCGGCGCAACGGCTAACGCGATATAGGAACCTGTGGTGGTAGACAGGTCATCGCCGCAGAGACCCTTGACTCCGCCCAAGTCCGAAACCCCCAAATCCTCCCACTCGAACGAGCTTTCCTTCCCTGTACAAACAATTCGGCCCCGCGATCCCCTGGGCTCGCACCTCCCGTTCCCAATGAATGTCAATGCACCGCCGCAAGACGATGGTGCCGATCACGAATATATCATGTTTAACCGCCCGGCGCTGGCTCACCGACGGCGCGCTACGCTGCCCAGCTTGATTTTCTCAGCAAATGACGTCGCTTCGATGTCCGCCATATGGAGCGAGACCGGAACGCGGGTAACGGCCACGGATGACCAAAGCCTAGTGCACGAAAACGAAATCGGTGTTGCCGTAACAAGCATGCACCAGCAACCGCGCAGAAAATCCAATCGTCGATCAAGAAGTGCTGGCGCACTGGAGGAGTTGAGAAGAGCGCAGGAGCGGGCATCCTCGTTGAGAGCGAGTGTGGAAGGCACTTTTTGGCGGCAAAGCGGAGATACACAAGAAGACCCTGATCCGCACGATCCGCACGATCCTTTCCTCCACCACTCCGTGACTGAACAATTATTGAATGGTGAAGAGGAGGGCGCAGCGGAAACCATGGCGCGCAGTCGCGATCACAGCAACGAGACGGTGACAGCGAGGAGACGCCATCCCTCCCCACGCGAAGGGGAGTCCCAGGGATTTGTTTTTGGGCCTTTTACGGGTGGAGCCGACAGTCCTGCAGCGCTTGAAGCTGCTGGCGAGCCGGTCGAACCGCCACTCATCACGCTGGATGAGCGTATGGAGCGCCTCGAAAGCAACATGCGCTACTTTGACCAGTCGCTCCGCCGCCTGTTGAACGGCAACAACATCCGCCAATCCGTCATTCTTGAAAAGGCGCCCAAGGGACGACGCGATCCATCTCCTGATCGCACCGGTTCTGCGCACTCCTCTGTCCGCTCGCAGCCCTCTCTCCGCCGTCCGTCGGCTCCTTTTACTGAGGCTACGACGGTCCAGGCCTCTGAACCCGTTTCCGCATCCTCGTCGCCCGCATACCCGCCCACATCCTACCCAGCTTTCAAAAGCAGAGGGAAGACGGACAAGACACCGCCTTTCACTTTCCCCTATCCATACAACGAACCGCCATGTCCTCTACGCCAATCCTCCCGCAAGACCTCCATGCCCAACCTCGTCAACTCTCCGAGCATGACAACCATGTCCAGCGCTCCAACCATGGTTGCCACCGCCACCGCGACTACTGGGATTTACGCTGGGCCTGGTACGCCCATGACACTGGGCAACACTGACCGCCTCACGACGCTGTACACACTGCTCTACCAGGAACGCTCTGCGCGCAAAGATCTCGAGGCGCAAGTGCAAACGCTGCAGGCTGAAATGGACGACCTACGCATCTTCGTCGGGAACAACACCCGCGTCAGGGGCGCGACAGCGTACCCGACGCCGAGCCCCGATCAGCTGCTGCGGTGCGAATACGATGCGCCCAACGATGTGCGCAAGAGCCATTTCAGTGTCGAGAGCGGCGAAGAAGAGGAAGAGAAGGAAGGCGAAGACGAAGATGAGGAGCGCGGACGCGTGCGCAGCGCAGACAAGGGCCCCAGCCCGCTCCAGGACGAAGATTCGAGCGGACCAGACGCGTGGCAAACGCCGTACGAGACGCCACGGCGGCACGAGAGCCCGGAAGCGTACAACTACGAGCTTGCGGCTGCCGACATGCCCGCGATTCCGGTCAGGGAGCCCGTCGCCGGCGGCGCGCAGTGCGCGGTCAACGCGCTCTGAACGGGCCGGTCGGGCGCGGGCGGGCTTGGCGCGTGCGGAATCACCGGTCCGCTGTCCGCTGTCGGGAGCCCTAAGGGGGCTCGAGGCAATCCCCACAGCTACCGGTGTGCCAGGTACCTGCGTGCCTTTTTACGTATCTATTGCATCGACTTAAACTTGACGGAGTTATATGTGCCGCCTTTGCTGCGAGGCGAGGCAAGGCGCAAGGGCGACGGACGAGACCCGGACGGGATAGAGCGGGCGGGATGGATGTGCAGGCGGGAGGGAATGAGGGTAGGGGAGGCGAGGCTGCATCCAGCGCCTCGTCGCTGCCGCGGCCCGAAAGATCCCTCCTCGTCTGCCTCCTTCCCGGCATGCATGTTGATTTTTCTTTTCTGTTTGCTTGCTTGCGGCTTTGTAAGATACCCTAATGTCTCTGTCGCCTGGTTGCTTTTTTAGATATTTTGTTTTATTATGCGGGCTCGTCCGTCGCCATCTCAGTACCTATTTTCTTTTGTTCACGGAGGGGAGGGTCAAGTGTAGGAAACGGATGGATGAATTATTACTATAACCAAGACCAATATCAGATACCAAATACATACCAAATATTAACAAATTATTACTATATACCAACCGAATCAGGCATCATGTCACGAGCAACAGGAGGAAGGACGAGAAGAAGGAAAGGGAAAGGAGAAGGTCGCGTGGCTGGCCGGCCGTGCTTGCTTGCTTGCTTGCTTGCTTGTGCAGAGCAGCTATGTACAATAGGTGGCGATGATTCACGGTGCAGGAGAGGCAGTTCGTAGGGTGGTGGGCGCGGGCGCTGCTGCAAGGCCGTTCTGGTCCGTTCTGGAAAGCAGATGCGGATGCGGAGGAGGACCTGGAGCGGCAGGGCGGCAGGGCGGCAAGGCACAGCGAGCGACAGGGGTACATGGACCGGTCCGGGTCGGGAGCGGCACCGCGGCATGTCATGGAGTAGGTTAGGTTATGTAGCTAGGTTGCAAGGGCCCAAGCACTGGCACTGGCACTGGCAGGATCCCAGGGACCACGCACTAGGGACCAGGGACCAGGGGGGAGGGGCGGCGCCTTGGTGCAAGCAATCGTGGGTGCCGGATGGATCTCCTGCCGGTGCGCACGAGCAGTTTGTGCCTGCCTGCCGTTGGTTAGTAGGTGGTTCGTGCCTAGGTAGGTATTGTATTTGCTTTGCGCTTTGCTTTGCACTCTATTGCACACTGCGGCCTATAATGGCACGCGCGTCGCGGCGTGTGAGTGGCTGCGTGTTGGGGTCCGACGCTGGTGTGTACGTATGGGCGCCCTGGATGGGGCCCCAACAATTACGCTTGATTGACTGGGTTGCTTGCTTGCTTGTTTGCGTGCCTGCCATGGAAGCTTCGAATGCGTGCTAGCCTGCTGGTTGTTGAGACGTCGGGGTTCCGAAACCGCACACACGCACACACGCCTTGTTGAACTTGAGCACGAGCACGAACATCGCCGATGCGGTGCGGTCCTGTGTCAAAACCGCCGCCATGTTGCTGGTTGGCAGATCCTACCTAGCCAGGAACGGAGCCAAGGCTGGATTATCTAAGACTTGTTGGTGCGAGGGGGGTGAGAGCTTCAGTTGGCTGGCTGGCTGGTAAATAGTACCACAGTGCTGTGTACATAAGCGGCCCGTCCACTGCGGGAGATGCGCGGTTGCGACTGCGGGAGTGGCTGGGAGGGTGGGAGCCTTGGAGCGGGAATGGGGCATGCGAGCGTAGAGTACGAGTACATAGGGGCGGAGAGTGACGGGTTGAGTTTGGACTACTGGACCCTCAGGGACAACGCAGAGGGTCACAGAAGAGCCAGGGAGGGTGTGGATTGAAGTGATTCAACAGCTGGCCCTTAGGACTTTTCTTTTTTTCTTTTCATACCATGATGGCACCACATCGTTGTGGTCTGGCCGATGGCATGCTCGCGCCTCTGGATGATGAGCAACGAGGATGATGATGACAGTCTTACTATCGTAATCCGGCATACCTTAGTTCTCCCCCGCAAGTCGCCCCAGCCATCTAGTCTTACATGTAGCTGACAACAACAACAACATCATCAACACCACCACCACCATAGGTGTAGATTGTCACTTGCACGTTCATTCCTAAGACAGCGGAAGGTGCGGACTTTGACCTCCTTAGTCTGGCCCCAAGGCCGATGCCCCGGATTACGGCTTCGCACGTGATGCCCACCCAAAGCACGCAATCTGCGTAGGACGATAGCGCCACCAGATACAACCGCCATCGCACGACGACCACGACACGCCCACACGCCTTCATAAACCCTGCCGCAACCGTCCATCCCCCCCTTCCGTAGTACCACGGCTCCCCTGAGCACACAATCCCGCAAGAGACCGCGACTCTCCCGACTCGACCAATCGCACTCAGCAGCCACCGCGCACTCGCACGCCATCCGTCATCGCAAGCTCGACAGCGACACGCCGCCCTCGCATGGCCCGTTTCTGAGACGGCCATATACCTATCCCTTGCAGCCAGCACATCGCCCAGGGCGCGTTCCCTCCATCGACTCTGCAATTATGGCGTCCAATTCGCAATCGCTGTTCCATGATCCGCACAACCCACACGGTAGCCCGGGTCACCGAAGACTCTCGCTGCGTCACCCCCCTAAGCTGCCCCACGAGGCCGACGACAGCAGCCTGTGCGAGCACGACCACCACTCCCGCCCGCGCACCAGCAGACATCCGCCCGCCCAAGACTCCGACGACAAAGACGACGGCATCTCGCTTTCCTCGACCAGCAAGCAGGTCGTCAAGACCATAAAGCCCTTTTTGGCCCAGCACATCCCCCACCAATACAACCCCTCCGGGAGCATGGATCAGCCAAGCACAAAGTACTGCTACCGACATCGCCCGGACGTCAAATGCCGGCGCCAGGCCAACGAACCCTCCATGGAGCAGCTGCAGATGGTGCGCAGTCCCCGCCGCGCAGCCCTATGCGCCTACTAACGTTTGCCAGGAACTTGGCTCCCTCTCACAGTCCGATCAGCAAGGCATCGCCCACGTATGGTCGCTCTTCTCCGCCGCCCCGTCCAAACACCGCAACCTCATTCTCCAAGGCATTCTTGCGCAATGCTGCTTCCCTCAGCTTTCCTTCATCTCCGCTTCAGTTCGCGACCTAATCAAGATCGACTTTATTTCTGCCCTCCCGCCCGAGTTGGGCTTCAAGATTCTGTGCTACCTCGACACGACGTCGCTGTGCAAGGCCGCGCAAGTCAGCCGGCGATGGCGGCAGATGGCTGACGACGACGTGGTCTGGCACAAGATGTGCGAACAGCACATTGACAGGAAATGCACCAAGTGCGGCTGGGGCCTGCCTCTGCTCGAGGCCAAGCGGTTGAGGACGGAAAAGCGGCAGATGCAGCTGCGCGCCACCGGGAGGGGCTTGAACGAATGGTCACCGGTCATCACCCCTCTTCCCGCCCAAGACACCGCTAGTCACGAGACCACTGCTGGCCCCGGCACCCTCAAGCGCCGCGTCTCCAGCGACCTTTCGGCGGGGAGCTCGAAGCGCCCCTGCACGCAAGGCGTCGGCGCAGACGGAGATGGCGCCGTGGATTACTTCCAGCCCCGGACCAAGAGGCCCTGGAAGGACGTTTACAAAGACCGCTTCAAGGTGGGCACCAATTGGAAGTACGGTCGCTGCACCACCAAAGTGCTCAAGGGTCACACCAACGGCATCATGTGCTTGCAGTTTGACGACTCAATTATCGCGACTGGTTCTTATGACGCCACGATCAAGATCTGGAACATTGAGACGGGCGAGGAGATCCGCACGCTCACCGGTCACCGCGCCGGTGTCCGTTGCCTGCAATTTGAGGGAAGCCGGCTGTTCAGCGGGTCGCTCGACCGGGAGATCAGGCTCTGGGACTGGCAGAAGGGCCAGTGCCTGCGCACCTTCCCTGGCCACACCGGCGGCATCGTCACCCTGCACCTGGCGAACAACGTCCTGGCGACGGGAAGCATGGACCACAACATCCGGGTCTGGGACTTCCCCGACAAGGCGACGTTCAACCTCAAGGGCCACACCGACTGGGTCAATGCCGTCAAGATCGACTCGGCGTCGCGCACCGTGTTCTCGGCGTCGGACGACTGCACCGTCCGCCTCTGGGACCTCAACACGAAGCGCTGCCTGAAGGTGTACAAAGGCCACGTAGGCCAGGTGCAGCAAGTGCTGCCGATGCCGCCGGAGTTTGAGCTCGACGACGACGAGCCCGACATGCACTCTGACCACGACCACCTGCCGGACGAGGAGTCGGACACGGACGCCGACGGCGCAGCGCCGCCCGCAGCCAGCACGGCCGACATGCTGCGCTACTTCAGCCCAATGACGCCGCCAACCAGCAGTTCGTCAGACGAACGCGCCTTCTTCGCCGATCAGCCGCTGCGGCCGCAGCCACCGCGCTACATGCTAACAGGCGCGCTGGACGGGACGATACGGCTCTGGAGCGTGGCGTCGGGACGCGTGCTGCGCACGTTTTTCGGGCACGTCGAGGGCGTGTGGGCCGTGGCGGCGGACACGCTGCGGCTGGTGTCCGGGGCCGAGGACCGCATGGTCAAGGTGTGGGATCCGCGGACGGGGCGCTGCGAGCGCACGTTTACGGGCCATGCGGGGCCGGTCACTTGCGTAGGGCTCAGCGACTCGCGGCTCGTTTCTGCGGGCGAGGATTGCGAGGTCCGGGTCATGAGTTTTGGGTGTAGTGATGGGGAGAGTGGGGGGAGTGCTAGTGGAAGCGCGAGTGCGAGTGTTACGCCGACGGGTGCGGCGGCGGCGACGACGACGACGACGACGACGACGACGACGACGACGGCTACGGCTTCGACGACTGCGGCTACGGCTACGACGGCGTCGTAGTGCGTGTTGTGTTCTTTTTTTCGTTCCATTTCGTTTTTTCGAGAGCCAACTCGGCTTGGTCATTTGCTTGTTCATCTTCTCTCTCTCGGTTTTTCGGCATCATCATCATCATCATCATCATCAGCAGCAGCAGCAGCAGCAGCAGCAGCAGGGTTTCGCAGCGAGGCGCTCGGGTCATTATCAGTCACATCACATCATATATAGTTGCACCATCACCACCACCACCACCACCACCATCATCACCTTTTGGTGTGTGAGTGAGTGCATGAGTAGGGCAGGATAGGGGAAAACAACGCGTTAAATGGATATATACATCGGGTTCTGCGTCGGATCTAGGGTTTGGGTCTTGGGGATGGGGGTTGAGGACGGAGGTGGGGGATGGGTGGGGGCATTGGCGTTTTTTGTGTTTGTGTTTGGTTTGGGTTGGGTTGAGTGGGCATGGCATGAGAGTGTGGGGGTTAGCGGTTGTTGGTTGAGTTGGTTTGATTGGAAGGTTGTTTGGATACAGTGGATGATAGGGATGGCATGGGATGGGTTGGGCTGGGCTGGGCTGCGTTGGATATGGGATATGGGATATGGGTATACCCCCTCGCTTTTCTATCTATTTTATTTTTTCGGGCTTTGTGTGTGTGTGTGTGTGTGTGTGTTCTTTGGTGTATGAATATATGATGGCTGCTTGGTTGCTTGGTTGCTTGTTAGGTGCGTGCGTGTGGTATGAGAGAGAAAGATGAGGCAGAGGGCATGTACCTACCTGGTGTGGTTGTTTGGTTTGTGAGCATTGCGGCATTGCGGCATTAGGGTAAGGTATATGCAGATTGAGGGCCATTACCTAGCTAGCTTCTCTTCTGTTTAGTTGGCGGGACGGACAGTCAGGCGTGCTCGATGGTACGGCATGGTGGCGTGGTGGTGTGTCTAGCATTACTGTACTGGTTGTTAAAGTATTTCGTAGCTCCTTGACGTACGTCGACGGGCTCTGCCTGCTCCGCCTAGGTACCTATGTATACTTGATACAGGCATCATGTGTTCTGCCGTCCCTTACCACCCACCACCACCATCACTCATGACCCAAAACCCCAGTGCCAAGCACAACTCCCCCCTCCCCCCTACTCCAGCGCAACAGCCGTCTTGGCCAACGTCCACATATTCTCCATCTTAGCCCTACTCAGCGCCTCCTTGGCCTCGGTATCCGTCTCACAGACCCGCGAGCCCCACTTGCGAAACGCGCGCTGGCGCTCCTCGCCCTCCCACACCAGGGTGCAGCGATTCGCGCTCAGATCCTTGAGGGCGCCCGACTCGTCCGTCGCCTGCAGCCACGCGGCGTCGGCGTCGCGGTTGCCCTCGCGCACAGACGTGGGCATGGCGTTCTCGGTCCAGCGCATGCGCTGCAGCAGCAGTTTCTTGTAGTTGCGGATCGAGTGGGCGCCGCCCTCGACGATGACGAGGTTGAACTTGGGGTGCAGGATTGTGATTCCCGTCAGCGCGTTTTGCTTCGCGTTGATGTCGACTTGGTAGCGGTGTTTGCCGAACGAGAGGTTCTCGATGCGGAACACGCAGACGTGCAAGCCCCGCGCGGCGTCGCCTTCTTGCTGCGCGGCTAGCTTCTCGTGCTGCTGGTCTTTGGTCAGCTTGCGCGCTGCGTTGTCTGCTTCGTGCTTTGCGGCGCGCTCGGCGATCTCGCGGTTCACGCGCGCTTCGACGGCCGTCGGGTCCTTGACTGCTTGCTCGCCCAGCACGCGCATCAGGTTGCTCTTCTTGACTTTGGGGGGCGGGGGCGGTTCCAGCCCGAGTCGGATCTTCGCTTGCTGCTCCTTGTGGTCGGCCATGCGGCGCTGGCGGCGCAGCTTCGCTTGCTCGGTTTTGGTGAGGGGCATGGGCTTGGGCGCGGGCGCGTTCTTGTCCTGCGGCGGCTCGAGGAGCACGGGGTGCTGCACGTAGTGGGTGATGATGGAGTCGGCCGAGTCGATCTTTGCGGTGCTGTCCAGCTCGTTGTAGTGCTTGGCGTCGACCAGCCCCTCGTCCCACCACTCAATGTCCGGCGGCGCGGGCACCAGGAACGACTTCTCGTTGTCCTCGTCCAGGCCCACCTTCTTCGCCTGGTCCGCTATCCGCTTCTTCATCTGCTCGAGCGCGGCCTGTCGGCGCAAGGCGTTGGCCTGCGCGATGAACTTGCCCTTCTGGTTGAAGACCAGCTGCTTCGAGTGGCGCGCGCGGCCCGACGGAGCAATGGCGATGCTGGGGTCGTAGTAGGGGTTCTTCTTCAGCTCCTCGACGCTCGGCCCCGACAGATCGAGCTGCCTCTTGTCCTTCCCCGTCTTCTGCAGCGGCGACTCGGTGCGGCGGTTCGCCATGGTCGTCGCAAACTTGGGCTGCATGGCCTGCTTTCCGCGCGCGCCCGCCCCGGCCCCAGCATCCGCCATGAGCGCGGGGTGCAGGCCGATGCCCAGCCCGCCGCGCGCCCGCGACGATGTGTCCTCCTCGTACTGCGACGGCGGCGGCGGGGTCGGCGCGGCGGCAGGAGCGGCCTTCTTGGTTGCGGCCGCGACGCGCGCCTTCATGGCTTCGATCTTGGCTCTGGCGGCCTCGGCGGGGGTCATGCCTGCGGCGGCGGGCGGCGGCGTGCCTGGCGCAGGCGAGGGCGAGGCAGAACCGCCATTTTTGGTGGCGGCGAATCTGGCTTTGGCTGCGGCGGCGCGCGCGCGGGCTTCGGCGAGGGCTTTGGAGATGTCGGGCTTGGCTGCTGCTGCTGCTGCTCCGGGCGGAGCTGGCGAGGCGTTGTTGGAGCGTGGGCGTTTGGGGTCGCCTTGTGCGTCGGCGCCGTCGGGGTAGGGGCGCTTGTCCACCATGGTTGTGTTTGGGCGATGTGGGTGGGGAGTTGGGTGGGTAGTTGAGATGGGTTGCGATGTGAGTTTGCTGGAGATCGGCGCGCCAGGTGGACCTTCCATGCGCATCCTGGCGTGCTGACTGTCTGACAAACATCCATCGCTACTGACAGCTCTCTCTCTCTTCTCTCTTTTTATTCTTTAATTCTTTTTTACTCTTCTCCCTCCCTCTCTCTCTCTCTCTCTCTCGCCATGCTGAGCGGCGGCTACACCAGCAAGAAGCGCGTGCAGGAGCGCTACAAGATCCTCGGCTTCATCAGCAGCGGCACATATGGCCGCGTCTTCAAGGCGCAGAGCCGGACGGGTCAGCCCGGCCTGTTCGCCATCAAAAAGTGCGTGCCCGCGTGGTCCAAGGCCTCTCCTCCCTGACGCGCCATGCCAGGTTCAAGCCCGACAAGGAGGGCGAGATCCAGTACACGGGCATCTCGCAGTCGGCCATCCGCGAAATGGCCCTGTGCACTGAGCTCTCGCACCCCAACGTCGTGCACACGGTCGAAATCATCCTCGAGGACAAGTGCATCTTCATCGTCTTCGAGTATGCCGAGCACGACCTGCTGCAGATTGTCCACCACCACACCCAGACGCCGCGCCAGCCCATCCCCGCCCGCAGCATCCGCTCCATCCTCTGGCAGCTGCTCCAGGGCCTGCACTACCTGCACAAGAACTGGGTCATGCACCGTGACCTCAAGCCCGCTAACATCATGGTGACGGCCAAGGGCGCCGTCAAGATTGGTGACCTCGGCCTGGCCCGCCTCTTCTACAAGCCGCTGGGCTCTCTCTACAGCGGCGACAAGGTCGTCGTCACCATCTGGTACCGCGCCCCCGAGCTGCTCCTCGGCAGCCGCCACTACACGCCCGCCGTGGACCTGTGGGCCGTCGGGTGCATCTTCGCCGAGCTGCTGGCGCTGCGGCCCATCTTCAAGGGCGAGGAAGCCAAACTTGACAACAAAAAGCAACCGCCCTTCCAGCGCAACCAGATGCAGAAGATTGTCGAGATCCTCGGCATGCCCAAGGCTGACGAGTGGCCGCTGCTGCGCTCCATGCCCGAGTACAACCAGCTGCCTTCGCTGGCGGCCGGCAACCCGCGCATCAACCGCCCCATGGGCCTCCGCAACTGGTACGACCACAGCTTGCGCACCAACCAGTATCCGGACAGGCCTGGAGAGACGCCCGGCCAGGAGGGCTTTGCGCTCTTGGCCGGCCTGCTCGAGTACGATCCGCAGAAGCGGTTGACGGCCGAGCAGGCGCTGCAGCATCCCTACTTTAGGGTCGGCTTGGCGGACGGCGAGAAGCCGAGCATGAACTGCTTCGAAGGCTCGACCATTGAATATCCACGGCGCGCCGTCAAGGCTGACGACAACGACATCCGCACGGGCAGTCTTCCGGGCACTAAGAGGAGCGGGCTGCCGGATGACAGTCTCATTGGGCGCCCGGCGAAAAGACTCAAGGAGGTCTGAGCGGTCGCATCTTTGCGGTATCGAAGCTCGGATTTGGTATTTCCGGCACTATCACATGTCGGATTTAACATTTCCGATCATGTACATCAAGCATTGACTCTGCTTCAGCGGTCGGGCCGTATAGCTGAAAAGCGCTGTAGGCAAGAGGACAATGCTGAGGACTGACTGTATGCTTGAGCAACCCGAAAACGAAATCATGGAGAGGCTCAGATGGCCTTCTGGACTACGGGGAACGCGCTGGCACACGAGGATCAGACCTGGAAATGGACCCCTCAGCCAACGCGTGTCGTCCTGGACAAGCATGACTACTGCGAAGTCCACTATTATATGACCGACATTCTCATATCACACGCTCACTAAACACATATTACCCCCATCTACGTAATAGTCATGGTTTCCTATTGCCGAGGCCGCCGACGGGAACCCCCATCATCCAAAGGCACGATAAGAGAGGATGATTAATGCCAATAGGTCAATGTATGCAAGTCAAGAGCAAAACAGACAAGAGAAACGACACGGAGGCACGACAAGCAAGGGCATTGCGAAGGCAACATGGGAGGTCCCTGAAAGGAAAGGAGGATCAATGGGTCAGGAGCGGGGCAGCAGCAGCAGCAGCATGCAACGGGAGGTCGGGCGCGTGGGCACGATCAGCGACGAACGTCAAGGGGGGATAGGTGTAGCAGAAGCAATTCAAGGCACATCCGTTTGGCGGCGCAAGCATGTTCCCCATGGGTTTCCGAAAGAAGGCAGCCGGATGCGGGGAGTGCGCAGGTTCGCGTGGCCTGCACCCTGCCCCTCAGCGGGGACGCTCCGCGCCGGCCTGACGTCGCCCGTCGAAATGTGCCGCCGTCTCCACCACCACGACCACCACAACCAATCATGTCGCCGGCATAACGCACTGGGCCCTTTGGGCCCTTCGCCGTCCAGCGCCGCGCGAGGGGTCTGCGCTGAAAACTACTTATAGGTAGCTCTTGGGCGCCGTCGTCGAGGGCTGGAAGAAGCTCACATAGTCCAGCAGATTCCCTCCCACCCCTCTAACTTCCCAATCTCTCCGCCGCCACCACCATGTCCGCCCACCAGCTCCACCGCAACCCTCCCTTCCGCGCCGAACACCTCGGCTCGCTGCTGCGCCCGCAGGACCTGCTCGACAAGCGCACCGCCGTGCACAAGGGCGAGGCCAGGGCCGAGGAGCTCAAGCCCGCCGAGGACGCCGCCATCAACGACATTGTCAAGAAGCAGCAAGAATGGGGCTTCCGCGGCATCAGCGACGGCGAGTACCGGTACACACACTCATTCTCCCCCTCTCGCGCTACCCGAAGCCGCCAATGGCTAACAAAACCTACAATGCAGGCGGCACATGTTCTGGGGCAGCTTTTTCCCAGGCCTGGACGGCATGAAGGAGGTGCAGAACCCGTCGCTGGACATGTTCCGCACGTACGTGCCGGACATGGCCGCCTTCCTCGAGACGAACCATATCCCGGGCGAGACGGTCATCTGCACGGGCAAGATAGCGCACACGGGCAAGAGCACCTACGTCGACCAGGTCGAGTACCTGAAGACGCTGCTGCCGCAAGAGCGCTGGGGCGAGATCAAGCTCACCCTCGCCGCGCCCAACTGGTACCACTTGCGCTACCGCGAGGGCCAGGCCTACCCCGCCGACGTCTACGCCAGCGACGACGAGTACTTTGCCGATATCGCAAAGGCGTACCAGACTGAGTTGGATATTCTGTACAAGGCGGGGCTGCGGAACGTGCAGTATGACGACCCGAACCTTGCTTGTGAGTCTCCCTTTTCTTTTTGGCTGTCCTGCTGCGTTAAGAGTGCTGATTTGTGTGTGTTAGACTTCTGCTCCGAGAAGATGCTGGACGGCTGGAAGGCCGATGAGAGGAACAAGTACGGCACCGACGAGCTGCTCGACAAGTACATCAAGCTGTACAACGACTGCGTGTCCAAGGCGCCCGCCGACATGCACATTGGCATCCACCTGTGCCGCGGTAAGTTCAC